CAGCGCCACCTGCACTGCATAACTGCCGGTTGCTGCTACTTCCTCGTCCAATTTGCGCCCCATATAAAACACATCACTCAGAAAACGTGGAGCCCGGATGTGGCGTGAGTGGATCCAGCTGGCGGGAGCTGTTGTGGAATGTGTCTTTATTAGCACAAGCCAGTCACAATGCAAATTTTGTAATTAAAACAAGATTAATTATAACAGGAAAATTTCTCTTAAGTTGTCCGTTACATCCATAGTTCCAAAAACGGACACCGCATTTCCCCGTTGAATTTCGATAGACAGACGCTGGCGTAGAAATTCATGTGATCGCGGTTCACCAGTGTGCTGCTGCAGTCGCTTGCCGATTTCCTTCACTAGAGCGGATGCCGACTTTCCCCATGGCCCGAGTGTTTCGAAGGCTAAGGGCGCGAAAATGTATCTGCCGTCAAGGTACGCGTACAGACTGCTCTTCCTGTCTTCGGCATGGGCAGCGGCGGATCCAGCGGTTGCCGAAGTGGACTTGATGTGCGATGGGGCGACAGTGTCGACGCAAGTGACGTCCCAGGCTAAACACATGCCACGTTTCCAGGCGAACGTCGTGCACCCGTCCGGGCGACGATCGGACGTGTGGGATGTGCCGCGGGGCTCGAACTTCGCTGGGATACCCGCCGAAACTAATGATCGGCAGACAATACTGTTTAACCCGCCATGGCGAGCGTGTCTACCGGCAGAGAAGGAGCATGACAACCCGTGGTGGCCATGAACGTCAACTGGTTTGCGGCATTTTGCACATGAGTGTGCTTCACAGATTACTGCGCCCAGCCTTAGACCGACTGAAATCTTTAAAGTATCGTCATCGAGGAGGTTTCCAATGTGTGCCGAAGGCAGCGCATTTAACCAGATGCCGGCTTCTGGTTTAGACTGGGCAAGGAGGCGCGCTCTGTTAATTTCATCGTCGCGAAAAACGTTCAACAATGTTGACAGCGACGCATTGCATAGCGGTAGGTCCCATGATCTCTGAGACTTTTGGAAGTTGAGTTCGGGGGGATCTGTCTGGCCACTCTCTTGTGGAATCAAAATTAATAAACATGAGGTCCTCGTCGATATCCTGCACGTATCCTAGCCACCATTCCCCGGTGTCGCGCTGCACCATCACCGTGTTGCCGTAATTGATCTCGCATGCCCCGCACGCTAGACCCCGAAAAGGATATGTTGTGATAGCGTCCATGGCACTGTACATAAGTGTATCAGGAAAATCCGATAAGCGAGCGCAGATAACTTCTTCAGCTATATCTGCGTAAACCACCTGGCGCCGAACAGAGTCAACGTGGGAAAAAATGGTAGATTCAGCAACAGGTGGGTAGTTTAGTTGCACAAATCACTGTGGTCAAATTTTTGGCACTGAATAATGTTAAATACAGATAGGTAGTAGTTCTGGAGAATTAGGATTGCAGACTCGCGTAAGAAACCTATATGTATACCTAACCGAAGACAAGCTGCGTTGACCGTCACTTGCATACGCGATTCTGCTAAAAGAGTGGAACGGGTGCAACGCGTTTGAAATTCGAGCGGTTGTCAATACGGATCTATCGGATCTCAAAAATGACGAAGCAAGACTATTTGTGCGAGGTCAGGTCATATATACCGTACATAATAAAACTGCATAAAGGTCATGTATATATACTAAAACTTTCATCAGTAACAGGATTTTGCGCTGTTTTTAACGCCATATTGTCATAATAATTATGGACAATTGCTTTGTGTTTCGTTTTACCGTGTGGTTTTGTGAAATTGTACCGTATCTCCAGTGCGGTTGCTCGGGCCGCACTTTGACGCCATTGCGCAATTATTTTCCGTGATTAGACAACTTTAAATATCGGTTGGTCAGAGGAAATGTGAGCTGAGCAAATAAATCTGGGATTTCCAAAAAAAGTATGCGGCCTACATACGTATTGGCCGTTATTTTGAAGTGGTCTATCTAATGACCCATTTGATAATTCAGTGCGCGCAATGCGGCATATAATAATTGTAAGATTTTTGATGGCATCAAAATAAAAACTTCTCGTATCAAGGATCGCCGTTACGGAAAAACGATGCATTAGGTAATGTATCAAATGCTTACTTTTCGGTTGCGCAATATCTGCACAGTCACACTTCTGAATGCTATAAACTCGGTTTATTAAAAAGTTTCACGCTTTTAACCCTCTCATAACATTGGTCATCGCGATCACTAAAAACGAGAACCGGGCCGCAAAATTAGTGCTGTTCTGACCGGACGATTCCGATTAGGACTTGTACAGCATCGATAAATTTCCATTTTATAGTTTTTCGTGGGAAATGACTAGCATGAAATCTTATTTTGTTCTTCCAATACCAAATGTTCTCCTCATACCAAAGGTGAACTGCATCGGTTACTTCGGCAAAAAATTTCGGAATTCTATGACAATATTTTGTAAAATATTTTTGCTTGTTCCAGATTTTATTACTTGTAGTCGGTGGGTGTTCGGCGGATATTGATCAAAACAATCCCTACCGGAGTCCTGCATACCCCCAGCCAGTGGGAACCTATAATAATTATCATCAGCCAGCGTCAGCCGCAGATCAAGTAGGATGGTCGCCGTATGACGGTACGTACGCACATATATCAGGCATAATTAATTTTGTATTTCTTTAAAATATATATTTATTACGTATGCCTTGACATTCCAGGCCTACCGTACAACAATCGGATGAACTACGACGTCCGCACCAAAAATGATTATAGCAGGGACTACGGGAGTGATCCGTACATCACAAAGGTCAATTATTATGAATTACCTTCTTTCGGCGCTCACAATCCAAGCACACATCCCGCGGGTGACAACAATCCATCGCGTTACGCTAATTTTGGCAGCAGGAACGGTCCCCACGACAACCGGGAAATAAATTACTCATACAATAAGAACGGATATTCTTACGGCAGTACTAACAATGGGAGACGGTTAACGTCCTTAAACCAGCCTTATGGATGGAACGGTGATTTCAACAACTATGGAAGCGTTGCTTACATTCGCTCGGATTACCGACAATATCCAGCCACAAATATGGTGTGTTGCGCTGATATGCCCAGATCCTTATTTCGTTTTAGATAACCGCGGTTTCATTTGCACTACTTTTTGTAGTCGAAAGCTGTTTATGCGGATCGGAACACCTGCCAGCCGACGGCTCAGAAACCACTGTTTTGCGGTGCCGAATCCCCAGAATACAACATTGCCGCCATTAACCAGATACTCAATTCCGTTGCCTGCATACGCCGACCGGGAGAAGCGTACGCGTTGTATGACTGGGACAATTCGTGTATGTTTGGGGATATCACCGAAACGTCCGTCTACTATCAAGTCCAAAACCTCAACTTTCGCATTCTCCCAGAACAGTTCGCCAGCATTTTTGCCCGAGGATACAATACCAGTAATGGTGATCAGTGTCTACCGCAAGGAATCAACACCGTTATCGGGCAGTCGGCAACCCAGACATTAACTGTTCAGTCACTAATACAGGAAGTACTTCAAGAGTATCTGAAGCTTTTTCACGCTTATATTGGTCCAAAATACAATCTGCAGTCAACAACCACGCCTCCTAGCTTTACGACATCCCTTCAGCCTAACATGGCTTTAGATGCCATTCGCCAGACAACGGAATACAAAGACTTTGTCGCCAAATTCGGCAACTTGGTTTTTGCGCTGAACGACGCCAACGGCGGGGATGATTTCCTACCGTGTGCCCAAATTCTGGGATTGACAACTCTACCGCAGTTGTGGGATGGCATGACCGAAGCCGAGATTAAAGATCTTGCTCGGCTGAGTATCCGATACAACTTGAACGCGGCCATTGGTACCGTGTCGTTCACATCGTCCAGTGGGATTCAAGGGAGCTATCCAACGGGTCTGCGCATCTTCAACGGCCAGGAAGCCAGCATGCGAGCGTTCCAGGCGCGCAACATCAGCGTCTACGTCATCTCCGCATCGCCACAGTATTTCGTCGATGTGACCGCCACCTTCTACTCCCTGATGTACAACGTTCCCAAAAATAATATTTTTGGGATACGATTCATCATGCAGAATGGGAAATTCACCGGGAAGTTGGTAGGAGGAGACTATCCGATCACATGGGGACTAGGGAAAGCCCTTGTCGCCAACAACATTATCCGTCCACGGCACAACGGCAAGGCTCCCATCTGGGGCACGGGAGATTCCCAGGGAGACTGTGCGTTTTTGTCACTGGTGCGGGATGGGGTGGTTCTAGTTAACAATCGATTACAAACAGTGGGAAGCTGTATACAGCAGCTGTATGAGAAAGCGTGCCAGTTGTTCGGTAAAGTGGATCCGGTCACATATAACCGGTTTTTACTGCAAGGTCAAGATAAACAGATCGGTTCGTGGATCAACTCAGGATGGACGAGTACGGACGGGGTGACCTATACTTCCGGTACCACTGCCGACTGTAGTGCTTATAAAATTATTTGATTTTACATGTAATTGTTTTAGGCAAAAGTGCTTGACGTAAGCGCATGCGATTGTTAAACGAAAACACGACGATCGCGGTTTGATTTTTGAATAATGCATATGACTGATGGTTAAGGAGTGGTGCGAGGCAATCGACATATAACGTCGTCCCAGATGAATAAAAATAGTTACAAGTCTGTGTAAGTATTTAATCGATGATTATCACATTTTCGTATTTGTGTTTGAGTAGGTCAACCGGCAATACCGTTTAAAACTAAGATTTTATAGTTATAAATTAGATGTACACATTTTCCAATGCATTGGAAGGCATTTTCCAAAAATGGTTAATTTTTTGTATGAGCGTACGGTATGGATTATAATTTAGTGTTTGTTTCCGAAATTAGTTTGTTATTATTTTGTCGTTGGTTGAATGACAGCTTAATTGTGTTGGAAAATTTCGCTGATATCAAACGCTGTGATTAAGCGACCGCAGGGTACTCGATAACAGACACGAACTTACTTAAATAGTGTCAATCGCATTCAAATATACTGCGCAGACCGCACAAAAATAAAAAAATAATTAGTCTCAAAATTAAACGCCATCAGAATACGGTACTCATCACATTTTTAGCATTAGCCGGGAAACGAATATTTTCCCTGCATGCGGAAATACTTCGTCACCGGCGCGTCGTCCCTCGCACCGGCGCTACCCGTCCGACCGGATGCACTTATCCGATGCCGCTTAGCATGCGCTGTTACTTTCGGCTTAAGCCGGTCGCGTGGCGATATGACATTCCCGGTCTTGATCGGTTTGACTTCCAAACTAGCCGATACCTCCGCTGTTCGGGTTTTAGCTTTACTGGGAAAGACCACACCCCGTCGCTCCACTGACCTTTCCTGTCGGCCACCATACTGAAGGGGGACCGCATCAAAATGCAGCGCGTTCAACGGATCTGTCCGATTCTCCTGATTTTCTGCCGGCATTTTCGGACCGGAGCTGCTGTCACTGTTGGAATCATCCGAATCACGGACGTTCATATTCGTCTCCGCGACCGGCTTCGGATTGTTTATATTATTCATATTGGGCATAACTGCCAGCGCTTCTTTGGGTGGATTCACCGATAATGGTTGTGGTTGTGAATGGAAATTCACGGGATAATTTACCGGTGGATACATCGGTCCGCGGTTTAGCGGTGTGCCTAACATCTGACCGGCACCCAACGGTTTCATCACCGAGAAGTTGATATGAATCTCCGGTACGGCTTGCTTCTGTTTTTGGAACTTATTGGCGCCCTGCGCGTACGTTTTAACAGGAATGGGTTTTTCGGTTTTCTCTATGGTGTTCTCTGATAAAGGTCGCGTTTGTTGAGCTGTCTTGACGAGATTGGTGTAACTATGGCCGATAGGTGGGTAGAAGGGAACGACAGCTGCGCGGATGTTTTGGTGCTGCATGGACATATCGTACTGGAGGTCACCAGGTGATGATGGGCGCAGCTGGGAAGCATAGTTTTCCGCAGGTTGCTGAATTTTTTCCGGTTTGGTCGGATAAGATTTGGATGCGCTGTTGTCAGACAGGTAGAGTTTGGAGCTGATCTTGTTGCAGGTTATGCCGCAGGCGATAAGAGGCTGAGCAACTGGTACCGCAGCTATCACTAAACAAACCAGAACATTATTACCTCAAGTAATGGGAACATCGTTATTAAAAAACTAGTGAAAGCCGGTAAAATTGTAGCGATAACTAGCGATAACCAATAACTCAGAAGCTGCAGGATTGCTTAGAAATTAAAAAAGATTTCACAGTGTCATTTACAACATACATATATAATATATGTACAATTATACAAATGTACAGTATATTCATTGCTACCGTTTTAAAGCCTTCACGAAACTTGTTTATGTTAAAAACTCAAACTTGTTTAATTTAACTTCATAAAATTTCAAAGGTGAATAGGTCGTTTACTGGACGCAATGAAATCACAAATATTACCAGGACGTTCATGAAGCCAAAATATTGTTACGGATTACTCTAATCACGAGACTTGTTTACTGTTAGTCTGTTAAAGTATACACTCACGTGCAGCACGTTGTACCGGAGATCCGAACATGGCCGACAACTGCGCGCTAACCGGATCCGGGAGCGGTCCAATTTCCGGTACACGCGCACTCGGCCCATTACCGCTATTTCCGTTGCCACCTTCCTTGTTCGATCCACCGCCCTGCTCCTCTTCATTCTGACCAGCCTCATTATTTTCCTCTTCGTTGTTCGCCGATTCCGATGATTCCGAACTCTTTGAATCGCTGTTATCCTCATTATCACTGCCGTTATGATCGTCATCCGACTCTTGCGCATCCTGTTCCTCCTCCGCCGCATCCTTGGCCTGATCGCGATTAGGATACTGGTTGCCAGTGGGATAACCCGTGGGATGGCCATTCGGTTGCCCGGAGGTCAGCGGCCGCGGTTGCCAGTCATTTAATGGAACGTTGACATTCGTATAACGGTTCGGTAAATGATTGGCTAATCCATCTTTTACACTGGCGGTGAAATTCCCGGTTATCTGCGCGGTGTGCTGGCTCTGGACTTTTACGGGATAATCCGGTTGATCGCCGCTAACATATCCGAGTCCGACGCATATCCAAACGGAAGCAAAGATTTGTCCATACATCATTGCACTGTGTGATAGAAAAACCGTGAATGGCGCAGCGAGTGGAAAAAAGCCGCAACTATAAGGCCGCCTTGCCGGCTAATCAGATTCCATATTGATGATGTTTATCACACTGGTCACTTGTGGTAAGAGGAAGGAAAGATGTACCGTTACTTCCGCGTCAAGTAGCCCTTGCAACAGCCACTCGAAATGGCAGGCTCAATGCACGTGTAAATCAGCCAATTTACAATTGTAATATCCACACTGTCGGCAAGATGATACAATGGTTATCGCTGCATGCGTTAATACGGGTTTCCAGTAATGCCGGCTTTTTCGACGACTTGTTACATTGGAATGATAGTCAAGAGAAATGGTCTTGATCCAGTTCTACGGCTACGTCTGCAGCGTTGCAGTGATGCTGCACAATCCGCATCAATTCATAAGTACTGAAATCTGAGCCGCATCCATCTCAAACAGGCATCATAAATTAGTTTATGTGCTGCAATAATTTCTTTCGTAAAGCTAAGATTTGCGTACCCGAAACGTGCACATTAAAAATCCATCCAGCGAAAATTTAAAGTAATATTATGACGAAGCCTACTAAGTATCTACTACCGGCACTTACCGCTATAGGCTTAACGGCTTTCTGGTTTTGTTAAAAATACGAGGTATGTCAGTAATCTTGGCCTTATGTGTTATAAAAAAAAATAAACTGCAAGATGACCAGATCGTTAAGCATTGTTACTTAAAGATACATATACCACAGCATAGACAGTGATAACTACAACATTGCAAACATACTAGCTTTGCTGTTTAATAAAGTCAAATGAACTACAGTATGTACCGGCAAAACTACTGCAAAGAAACTCAGATGATCTCTGTAAGCATAATTATGATACGTGCTGTTTTCAGAGAACTACTGTATTACTCAAAGCAGGGACCACGGTACGCGCTGTGAGTGTCACGAGTGACCTTGCCTCAGTTCCATTCCCAGTAAATACTCGTACATGGTACACCGTTGTCCGTATACCGGTTACGCCGTCACTTACACGCAATGGAAGATATGGTTGCATGATGCATGTACAGTAGCGTTTGCATCTAGTTGTGGTTGTAATATAAAGCTGAATGCACAGATGAAATAGTGGCGTTTTGGCACGTTGTCGTGTACTACAGGTAATTTTCCAGTAAGGTTTGCGAATTAGTAAATTGTTCAGAGCAACTTCTGTCAGTTTGTGCGGCTGCTATTGTGAATTCTGGATCCGTGAACCGCCAGCCGAACGTGTACAGTATTTGTGTGGAGCAGCACGTAACTTCGTTTTATCACAACCGGTTTTTTCTGCATTGCGAAGTACAGATAAATCAGTAAACGTTTAATACACTGTATAAAAACTTAATACACTGTAATGTCTGTTGTACAGAACTGCTTGGAAAGTAAATAAAATCAATACGAAAACTTGCAATTATTAAATGCTGACGCTTTTTTTCCGGCGTGCTCATGCGCACTGCACAGCTATGATTGCGGACACCGTGTGCAGATACATTCTTCTTTTGCGAATGTACAGCAGAATGCATGCCACAGTGTATGTTTCCACCGGTCGCAGTTTCCACGAGGCACAAAACTAACAGATTCTGACCAATGTACAGCAGCAACAGAAGACACTGATCACGCAGAGCAAGTCGCATCCATCTCCCGGCATTCCCGCTCTTTTGCCTTAACGGTGACGCGATACGTGGATCCGATATACAGGATACACCACGCACTGCCGCCTTCCGCCCGTCCACGGCATTCCTCTTGGTAGCTGCAAGCGTACACCCCTTCGTCGGCCAATTTCACGTTCTGTATCCACAAATCGCCATCCGGGATGCGTCGCAGCCGACAATGACCATCCTCACAGTGGGCGCTAAAGGCTGCAACACCTTTTTGACGATGGAGTATTCGTTGCTGACCGTCTTTGATCCAGTAGTATGAAGGCTTCAGTATGGGGTTCTCGCGGGTGACGTCCATGGCGATAACGCGGGTGGTCCTGGCGAAAGGCAGGCAGGGCAGTTTGACAGTATTACCTTCCCAAGCTGTAACAGGCGTGGGAGCCGGTGCACTGTCTGTTTAAAGCAAGGGATTTTTCACCGCTAACGATGACGGTTGACAAACTGTGGATTGCATCTCTACTCGAGTAGAGAGTGGTTAAATCACAATATTCATACTAATTTTAATAAAAAAGCTGAAAGAGTTTCGCTAATCCCTGTTATTTCGTTCCAGATGATCAGTAATGAAGATATAAAAAACCACAGAGGTATCCACGTCACTCCATAAACTCGGCAACGAATATGAGTACACATACAGATGTAGAAGGAAAAATAACCGTTGCTACTCAGTACTCACACTGACAAAAAGGAACGAAAAGGTTATTTTGCAACCACTTTTTTACGTTCAGATTCTTACTAAACGAGCAATTAAATGAAGAAGACTTGAAAGGTTGAATTACAATTCATTTACAACACATTAATTAATATAACCGGAAAGCGGTCGCTTAGCAGCTTTCTTTTCTACGCACCTTTTGTTAGTTCTGTGAGCATACAGCTGGTAAACCTACGGTCATCGAGGGATCCTACGAACGCATCGCGGCTGATCGCGTCACATTTTCTCATCGTTTCCCTATAAGCATACAGCTGCCATGGCGAAAAAAATGTCGAACACGAACTGACTTGGCGCGCGCCGGTTAGCAGTACCAGTACGATAAGTGCGATAAATAAGCGAAACATAGTGAAAATCGTTGTACAGCATATGATTTCGCCTTTTTTTTACTTAATTCATAATATAGACTTGCTGGCTGCATCAAAAGAGGTTAGCAACTGTTGAAACCAGCTCAGCTCATCATGTAACGTTTGGAAGATCTCGATTCGAAATTCGAATGCAAGATTGGCATGATCGTGGAATGCATGGAAATGATGGAATGCACGCAATGGCAGAACTTTAAAGTTAAGGATTCCTACCGAGTAAACTAGCGCTCATTGTTGACAACGCACCGTTGTTGTTATTTGGCTCGCAACACGTGGATTCGATGTCCTGGCAGAAGGAAATTTGGTGCCAAAAATTTGCACTAGCTTGATTCGACTTTGACTTCATCTACTCCGTATTTGTGTGTACGAACTACGGAGCTAATGCCAACTGGTACTGCTCCTGCAATAACTGACCCAATGATATCAAGTACTGCACGCGAATATTATTACATCGTAAACCGTTAAAAATTTCTATACAGTGGTTAATTCTTTAACTGTATACCGTCTCCAGTGTAAAACTAAATTCTGTTCAACAATTGTTACTGAACGTTTAGAGTTCAGTGAACTTCCGTTTCGCCAACTTATTGTTTACTGAATTTTTCTGGCTTTAAGTTAATAAGTTGTGATAGTTGTGATAAAGCAGACCATGTTGATCTGGTCTGTGGTCGTCACTGTGCTGATCGCTTTTCCATTCAGAACTTGCTGTCCTGTTACAGGTCCGCCATGGAAGCAGCAACCTTACCGAGCAACAATGAGTAAATGTGACGCGGCCCACAGGAATTCAGGAACGGGAGCTTTCGATCACCTGGGTTTCACCAGCTGTATGCTCTTGGAGTTGACCAACAGTAAGACTAGATTCTGCAGGTTTATCTAGCGCGAATGCCTCCTGCAATTAAGTACCCATCCTGAACTGGAAAATTAAGCTACGTTGTGATTTGCGCCGTAATAAAATAGCCTGCCAATTTTTTAGTTTTCGAACACTTTAGTACTTTGTAACTGCAGTTGTACGACTTACACTAGCTGACTGTGCACTGTAAACCGCTTAAACATAAAATAATGTTGACAACAACCGCGTAATTTAACGCTTTAAGATTCTTATGAAATACTTATAATAATTCTGATAAATGTACAAAGGTGACTTGGCTTTGTGAAATATACGCAGGTAAGGTTGATTGCAAAGAATTCACCGGTTGAATAGCCGCAAGCGTATACTGTACAATGCATGCGGAAGCCGAAATATCATTGTTTAATTTTTCTAACGCTACATATTAGAAGCAGTGATACCACTCTCACTCTGTACAATCATACAAATTAACCGAAACTGTTTAGGTCAATCGGCGGCATCCAGGGAAGGAGTGAACGCACTGGATGGCGAGGCAGTGAAGCTTTCATGTAAGCCATTCAAGTCGTCGACGCGTAAAATTGCAATGGATGTGACATCAGAAACGCCAACGCTTCATCCTACTTACTATTGGCTTAAAGATGGCCAAATGTACGCTTAGCGGACTGAAGGGGACGAATACATGGCAGTCCGTTGCAAACAAGGCAACTGCAGCGTCACCGGTCGCCTCCCGGACGGAGAATTATGGTTTCAGAGTATTCAGCCGAGGAGCAGCGGATTGTACGTTTGTGCATACTTGCAAGATTGTTCAGGCCTTGCTGACGCCGGTGTAGCCTGGTGCAATCTGCATACTGGACGTTCCTTCCAGGTTAAGGTAACACAACTGAAAGGTAAGATTATAGCGCGTTGTTACACACATGCAACATACTTTCTGTAAATGACTTTATGCAATTTTTTTGACTGCCTACAGAAAAGTCTGTCGAACGATCATGGGTCACAACTACCACCAGGACACCGTTGCCGGTACCGTACGCTACATCCAGTGCAGCGTCTCGGACAGTTGCCGTCTTAACAAACTCTCTCAGCGCATTCTTGCCACGAAAATCTCAGTTGCGACCCAAGTTAGGTATGTTTGTAACAAATGATAATAAAAATATTTCCATATAATTATAAGTTAAACTAAACGGTATTGACATGCTATGCGGGCGACAACCGCACTACGATATTGGAGCCGGTTGAGTTGCCGAACGTGGTTTTAAAGAATAATCATCTGTAAAGATTTAGCAATGCTGTATATCTTCCGACTTACAGATTTTGTTTTAACTAAAGCAAAAATATTGACATGCTATACGGCAGTCGCACTACGACTACCGTACTAGATGGCCAAACCTACTCAATCGGTAGAGTGGGAATATGCTCTGGACTCCGTAAGTGGTACTGCTGCCTACTTCCGCTAGGTACGAGCGGATTGCTGTGGCTAACGAAAGTTACCGAAACCGAAACACCCAGGAACTTCCCAAATGTTTAATCACCAAACCGAACGAACAAGCAAACAGAACAGAACAGAATGAGATATGAACTTCCTTCTAACCTAGAGTCACACGACCTTTCAGCTAGAAACAAGCTCACAGATTTAGTTGAGGTTAGAAACTTCAGACTGATTAGTTAAACCAGAATCGTGGATGGAATTAGAGATCAAATCCGTTATATAAGAACAGCACATCGTACGTAACGGAACAGACAACACGTACGTCATAACACGTACGTCGCGCAAACTACGCATAGCGCGTTAGTATACGGAATGTTGGGGCCAGGTGCTTATGGCGGGCCCCCGCCTTGGCGGGTGCGATAAGGCGGGCATCAATATCAGTGGCGGGCACAGACGAATTGCACACTGCACTGAGGCATCAGTTGCGCTGCACTTGCCTAATCGCTAGTGCACTTCTACTGTGTCACGAGCCTTTTCGATTTAAACAGCTTTGTGTATTCGCCTTTTTGTTTTTCGTGACTAAACAGTTTTTTCAATTTTTAAGTCATAAAACCGAACGTTTACACATTTCTTGACATTCATACATCTAGGGAGTAGGTTCATACACATTTTACGTTTACACAGAAAACCGATTAAAAGCCGAAAATGATGTAAAGCTATTTGACATAGATCGCTTTACACTTTCAGACTTTTAAATAAGATTTCCAAAAGTCAACACGAAAGACACCATATCCTGACAGCATCCCAATTTTTCGAAGCAGCCGTTTTTATCTGCTTCAAAGCACCTAACAAAATAAAAGAACATTTGTGAAAAACTAACGGTAAATTAAAAATAGTAAGTCACGCAGATCAGAAAAAGTGACCACATTTAAACATAACAGTAGGTTCGTAAATTAGCCGCAGTACGTACAGAACAATATTATAGATGTTAGCAATTTACCAAGCATAATGCATTTCAATGCTCAAAAAGCTATTGACCGTATTTTCTCCGAATCTCGTGAATATCGTAATGCCGGAAGGTTGAGAAGTTATTTCTCTAATAATCTTAGTTTTCTGTTGCTAATAGGAAAACTTCAAGAGGTCTTCTAACCATGCCGTAAAAATCTGCGGGACAGTCAACCGAACAGTCAGTGATATGCAAACCAAAAACGCAAATCGATCTATTAACAGTTTATATATAATATGTAGTTTTTGCGATACCCAATAGTCCCCATACAGCTCGGTTTACACCCACAATGGTTTCGAAACACAAATAAAAGAAAGTTCCATATGTATGAATTAGATGAGGTGAGTAAAGCGCGATTTGTCGCTGTAACTTTCCGAGTGTTTTTATTAACTGAGGCTACAGCCTAAGTTTTCTGACTTCCGTTCACTTCTTTCACAAAACCTTTCTCCCAACTGATTCTATCTCAGAGTACAAGCGAAATAAGAAAGAATTATTTGGTATGCATTTCTTGATATCAAGACACAATTATTGATTTAGGCTGTAGCCTAAGTTGCTATTTTATTGTTTTCCAAAACAATCTTTTGAATTTAGGTTGCAGCCTATTATATTGCGGTATACTACAAGCTTTCCCTTTTCTGTGTCAATAGAAGCTGCGACTTATTTTTTTCCGAATATGTAATTTTCAACGGTGAGACCACCTTTAAGCTGAAGTAAGATACTCTTTGTGAGTCAAAGTACTTTTTTCTTCGGCTTTATCGAAAACTGTTGCCATTTTTTAATTGTTGCTTTTATCGGTTTTTGTTTAACCAAATACCGGTACAATAGTTTTGTTGTTCTTTAGCGATGAATGCTGCATGTTAAAAACATGCTAAAATTATATGCTAAAAAAACTGTGTCATTTGCTTGTTTTTTCATTGTGCATGTTATTGGGACTTATAATAAATTAAAATTCGGTCCTAAGTGGGCTCATTAGACACTAAATTACAAGACAAACTGCAAACATTAAAGCATGTGTTATGGTTTGCTATATGGTAATAATGATTTTCACCAGTGCGTAAATGCTGAAAATTGACAGCACTGTGGACAATTACATATTAGAAGGCAAAAATAACAGGACAATAGTCGTCGTAAATAACAGGACAATCGCTGCAAACAATGGTCGTAGATATTGGTGTGTGTGGTCAAGTCAGCTGAAGTTGTTTTCTTTTTAAATGCGGGCTTTGAATTTATTTAGTAGTTTTGCACTGCTTGTTTTAATGTCATAGATTTAATCGCTCACGGCTGGTAACTTATGTAGGCAAACTATATGTATTTAAATATTTTGCGACTATGCCTTTTACGTTAACAATCGTGTAAAAGAAATAGGTTTTCTGAAATTAAAGGCATAAAAATTCTCTGGCAACTTAAGTGAGTCTCTCGAAGCCATTAAAAATAAGTGGTTTACCAAAGTAGCAATCACTGGGACATGACCTGCATCTTGCATTACGCATTTTTTCAGATTACAACCAGGTTGCCCAACAAAACGATTTAGAAAGATCTGCGTATTTTTTTGTAAACACTGTTGCAAGGGGTGATTTTTGAAGGTCTCAAAGTTATAAAGCGTGCAGCAGCGTGAGCAAATATAGTGTATATGACCTGCACTGGCGGCAAGGACGCGCTCTAGTGGGAAGGTGCGCTGTGCAAATGCATTTCTGCAATGCCCGCCTGATGGTTAAGACCCGCCTCATCGCACCCGCCAAGGCGGGTGCCCGCCATAAGCACCTGGCCGAATGTGGGGAATGGGAGCGCACGACCGTATAGCCTTAAAATATTGCATTTAGGTTATTGTTGCTTCGAAACAAGTAACGGCGGCAATCTTTACAACGTTCATAAAATTTTCAATGCATGCAGTTTTTGCCAATTAGCAAGCAACTAAACAGCACGCAAATCAACATACATCATATCCGCGTTACAGGGATGCAAGTCATGCGCCGGGGTCAAGAAAGATACGTATTATCGTGCGTATTCTTTTTTGACCCCGGCGCATGACCTGCATCCCTGTAATGCAGATATACTCGTACATGTATATTATTACGATTTTCAGATAGATTCTCTGGAATCTTCTCACATGTGGCCCGTCAAGTCCAACAAACAGCAAACTTATAATCTGACAACCAGGGAAGCCAGCACAAGTGTCACAGAGATTACGGTGACCAGCAATCGACTCCCACCACGTCAATGTTTTTCCCGTTGACACTGGACAGCACTGGCCACAGATATGCATCAAGAACGTAAACCCATGTTTACAACAATTACTTTAGCTTGGGATTTCAATATTTTTGCCTTGGGACTCCTTGGGATACCTTGAAATTCCAATATTTTTTGCCTTGGGACTCTTTGGGATTCCAATACTTTTGCTTCGGCCTTACTCTGCTTCGTGTCCTCATTAACTGACAATTTACTTACTTATACGTATTATTAGTGAGCCAGTTCATTTTTAACTGCGACGTTTGTTTAAGGTCCAGTGCCTGTATTTTTCAGTTCTTAATGTTCTTCAGTTCTTACTGTTCATCAGTTCTGTGCTGCAGGACTAAACATTTTTGACGGAAATCTTTTGACCACGTCTAGTTTGGCGGGAGCAGGTATGCGCGATTTTTGCAGCCTAAATATTATTAGCCAACCTCTTTTCTCCACATTCACATATTATCGCAAAAGTGCCAGTGTCTCTGGTTTTAGATATAAATATTACGTCCACTTCGGAAATGATGCCAAGATCGGCAGATTACAACTTTGCGGTCGCTATCCAACGGCACCGGCTATTCGATTCCGTGCTTCCACGCATCTACTCTGTAGTCTGTAGTCTGTACCACTGAGGCACATTACATCGTCGGTCTGAATAAAAAAATCGTATTTTGCAAATACCTGTTCATGTTTCATAAATATTTAATTTTGCAAAAAAGTGTCATATAACCTACTCAAACATACCGTATAATACTTTGTACAAATCTTTATTGATACTGGTATGGCTACGGTATTTACGTATCGTCTGTATCGATAAACTCCAGCAAGAGGAATACCCAGTTACCGATGGAAATGGGAACCCTGAAGCATCACAGAGGCTGAGCTGGACGGAAACTTATTACAACCAACGTAGATTTCCTTACACGGAGGAATGCCCAACATGCACCGGCAACTGCTCCTGTCCACCATCCACGCGCAAGCGCGCGTTGTAGATTAACTTTCGGGAGTGTTGAAGTTTGAACCTTTCTTTGAAATTGCCAAACTGCACGTGCTAGCATAGCTTGCATTCTGATGTTAGCTGCAATTTGAAGGTGAGCGTTTTAGGTTAAAACGCTCACTCTTAAATTAGAGCTAATATCAGAATGCAAAAGCAGCTCTATCGCTTTGTAGCCTGTGCTGATCCCATTTAGCGTTCTGTACTGATCCGATAATTTCGATACGAGAAACTTAACGAATATCTCATTTAAAAGTCGTAAAAACCAGCAGCAGTTGTACGTAGCAAAATTCAACAGCGCTTTGCCGAACATCGGATTCGTATAAAGTTACATCAACGCGAATAATAATACAACGTAATAATCATAATAATAGGCAGAAGGCAGCTAGCGCTTGTAGCTTGCAATTTAGGATTATTATGTGTTGTTCCACTTGGCCATTGGTTCGTTCAGCACCCTGATGAACCGACTGGAGTTGCGGAATTCTTTTATTCCCTTTAAATTCTGTAGGAGAAATTGCTTTTGAACTTTCTCAATAATATATATCATAAAAAGTTCACAATTCAACCTCACCTCAATGCTTTCGTGGAATTGCTTTAGGTTCGGGTAACTATCAAAAATCCCAGGGAAACGAATCTGAATGGCATCCAACCGCTGCAAAACAACGCATGTATGAATACTATTAAACAGACATCTTTCTTGTCCAAAGTAAGCAGAGCGCGATGAAGCAAGTCTTACTTCGAATATGCAGAAATCCGAGTATGTAAGATAGGTGCCCACACAGTACTGGCGATTTTTCAGGTGATCTTCGAGTTCCTGGAGCATAATCTTTTGAAATTCCATATCGAACGACAGTTTGTCCTTTTCGAAAAAAAATATGCACCATGTCAAACCTCAAATTAAAATGCTAAGGAACCACACAATGCACTAGTACGTACTTGCTCGCCATAACCCATCCAACCCCAGTTCACAATCAAGTTAAAGGTCATACCGTCCATCATGTCCTGCTCGATTGTGTCCTTATCGTTTTTTGCAACTAAATACCAACTGTTACGTAAAGAAATGGAAGAGACTGTACAATGCTGTCGATTAGCATACCTAGACCATGTTTGCGCCCCAGATACCGAATGATGGCGATGGAATGTGTGATCTTTAGGTCACCGTCGGCATAGTACGGCAGCTGTTTTCCATTCAAGAGTTATTATTTTAAAGAATGATAGTAAATGAAAGCGTGGCCACATATGATTATTTGCCGCAGAAATATTTTTGTCTTACGTTCGGCACGTCAAGCGTTGGGTCCTTCTCTTTTTTGTCATGAAATTCTGTAAAAAGAATTAGAAGATCAATCATAGGTGTCAGGATCCTCATGAGAAATTATACGAATAACTGCCATGAAAGCATTTGTTTGTTTCAACTAGAATGCGTTTAACTACCTTTGCAGTCGAATTCCTTCCATTCGTATTCTTTCTCCAACATATTCCAGTAAATATCGGATTGGTGCTACCAGCTACAACGGGTCCAGAAGACAAAAATACAAATGAAATTATGCAGTTGCCAGTTTTCTGCTGCTTACATTGTTTGCTGGTAATGTCGAAATCTAGCCACTTACACCTCGAATATTCCAGTAAGCCAACACCGGCGCCATATTCAGGAATTACAGGCAGACTGATCATCGACGACTGCAAATTGGGACTCCTTTTTATGCAATTTACATGCAACGGTAGACCTGAATATTGTCGCGACAGACTTTTTACTCTGCCTTTTAATCTTTCCAATCACGCGAACAGTCGGTCTGCAAACAACAAGAACGCCGCGCACAGGTAAGTATTAAACAGCAACAATTTGCAAATTATTCTGCTGACAGTCCGTTTTGAATAGTTGAACTAAGCGTGTTCGAAACCAGTTAACCGGCTTGAATTATAAATCAACAGAAAGTAATGCAAAGCACCACCTTCGCGCAGGTCACTTATTTTGTTTCACGTTGCCGCTGTAACTGAAATTTGATCGTGTGCGCATGAATACTCCTTCGAAGCACGATATTTAATTTTTATATTACTGTATCTATTATACAGTAATGGTAAGACATGCCTGAAAGGTTACCTATGTGCAGATGAAGTATACTGGTTGTACATAGTTGTATCAAAGCTGCCACTACAGAACTGATCACTAAACTGTAAGCGTAAGTAAGATACGCATTATTTGTGCTAGTTTACTTTTGGGTTGAAATGAAGTCAAACCGAAAACATAATAATATTTAACGCAGTGCTGAAAAATTAAAGTAGATTAAGCGTCTAAGTTTTACTGAGCTAGCATTAAAAAACATGTGTCATTTTACTAGGCAGCTATTAAATTGCGAAAACGCGTGCTGCAGCGGTTTGTGATGTTGCTACATGATAGTAAATTTTATAAACTAAAATTGGCGGTTGCATTTATTGAATACGAGTACACTGTTGGCGCGCCAATGTGTCCGAAAAACTCTTGTGCCGGCTACACCTTTCCTGTAGATTGTCATCGCAACCGCTTACTCGTTAAATTCAATATAATTCACGCAAACGGAAGTTAAAAAGAGAGCAAAACTGTATGTATCTTGGCTTAAATCTCAAATGCACGTTAATTGCATACATCTTAATTGCAGAAAATTATACGAGTAGAAAAACGTTTGAAGGATTAAACACCTACTACGAAATTCTGTCATGTAACAAATTCCTGACCAATGGCGGTGTCCGGCAATCGGTACCCTATCGATTGAGCTGCAGTATTTGTGTAATCTCGGTATTCCCGTCCTTGTTTCGTGCAAAGCAAGCCACATGTTCCCATTAATAATTCCTTGTTCAATAACAATTTGTTCATTGCATTATCTCATTTTTAGCCGGGATGCTTGGCAGTTGGCACGTTTCATAACGTGCAGAACATCACATGCGCCGGGGTTAGGAGCACACGCGTAGTTCGCTCCACATACTTGGTTTATTTCCACCCATTCTAATAATAAACTGCGCTTACCGCGGGCCTCGATTACCGATTAATCTGTGAATCCCTGCATTTCGCCGGCCGCTGCAGCATACAAAAATATCCCGCAATCTATCTTTAAACAACTGCGCCAAGTGGCAGCTGCGTCGCTTCGGTACGCCGTCAACGGTTAAGTATGCCGGTTAACGTTGCAGCAACCGGCGCAAACCGAGAGCAGCGTCTGTAAATATCCTCTTTCTCATCGGTCATGTCGGGCAGCATCAACGGAGACTGTTTGTTTAAATTATTACCCATGCTGGCGGCTTGCATGTGGAGTTAATCGGAGTGGAATGGGTATATAAATGCGCTATTGCATCAGAAAAGCGCACGGGTCCGTTTAATCAATTACCACCAAGATTCTAATTGGACGCATGACTGGAAGAACTCTGGGATTCTGAACAGCCTAACGCCAGCGGAGAGGCATACTGTATTTATTTCTTTAACGATTATGGGGTACAAACGAGGCGACGTGATTATGGAGAATAAGCCCTGGGCTTATATTGTCAATGATGATTACCGGGATAAATGCTGTCATTATTGTTTTACAAGGTCAGTTTGTGTACCAGTTTCTTAAGGTTTACGTGTGCCTGAACAATGCAAAATCTAACAGAAATGCGCTGTATTTTTGGGTCATAACTGTTTTAGTCTTGTTAGTATCTTCTGAGTCGCAAGATTAAATGCAGCCAAAAGTAATTAGTTTGGTTTTTAAATAATGATGAATATATATAAACTTTATTACGAATGAATTATAAACTTAGTTGTGTACAGATACCTGACGAGTATAATGCAATTTGCTATAAAATAATAAAAAGAAATTCACGTTTTTTCACTTATTATTTTTGGTGTTACGTATTTTGCCGACATACCTAAAAACTGTTTTCTGGGTGTTCAGAAAAAAAATTAGCACAGTAAATCTCGTCGAATTAACGTCAGATATCCAGTAATTTGTGAGCAATCTCAGATTGCAAAACTTTCGCTAACCGCCTTTTGAAATCATTTCGTCGTTTGGTATTAATGCAGTGAAATTGCGGACGACCCTTTATTTCCGAGCAAAACCAATAAACTGCAACGCTGCTCCGGCTGCCGTTTTGCATACTTCTGCAATGCCTCCTGCCTGAAATTTGCCTGGAAAGACCACAAATTCGAATGTCAACGTATAAAAAAACTCCAAGAAACCAACACTCCCCTACCCACGGCCCAGGTGCGTCTAGCCGCCCGGGTCTTTAACAAATACTTCCGTGGCGACATCATGGACCCGGCCTGCAGACCGACGTCCAATCGGACGTTCCTCACGCTGTGGCACCATGCTGATAAGGTACCGTGTGCGCATTGTGCAGCGATTGGTGTGTGTCAACCATTTTTTTCCCATTTGTTCTCTATGTAAAGAAAAAGCACGAGACCAATTCCGCAGCCACTGTTGTTTGGACGATCATCTAGTACTTGAACGCATGCACTGTGTGTGTTGCGGAACCGTTGCAGGTACGCGAGTCGGTTGGACAGTTGGCAGCGTACAAAAAGGTCATGGGCGAAGTGCGCCAGTTTATAGGGAACGAGAATGTGCCTGTTAGTGATGATGATGAACTGCTGCCGATTTATAACCGGATAACCGTTAACAGTATCAATATGGATGATGGTGAAGTCCAGAAAGGAATAGGTACGGGTCAATGCATTGTGAGTAAATGTAAGGTTTTACGATGTTACATTTTGGACATCGGTAGTAGGTAGATCGTCCACAAATGTACGTGCAATTTAGGACATTGCTGTCTTTTCATCAAACCGCTAGATCACAAGAACCAGATGACCAAAATTTGGATGGTAAAACACACATCTATATTTTGGTCGATTGGTCACACGCCAAAAATGGTTTCTTAACTCAGAAAATCGGTTTTTGCGCCACTAGAATCGAACATACGTATCCTTTGCTGACACATAAAAGCATTTGGTTGTGCTTTAGGCGCTAATGCAGACGTCTGTATGTGACGGGAAGAGAATGTTGTTTTAAACAAATAGTATTAAATTTATTAAAGCTCTTCCAGTAATAATATAAGTGAACACAGTAGGTACTTACGGATTTTTTCGAGTACTGACAAAGTATACAATTGACAGGAGTCTTCCTGGGTGCGTCCATGTTTGACCACTCCTGCCGGCCCAACGCGGACTTCTTCATCCGCGATCACGGCGCCACTATCTACATTGTGGCGCTGGACGACGTCCCCGATATCAGCTCCGTCCGGCTGCGATACGGCGACGTCTTCGAGCCGACCTGGAAACGGCGCGAATACCTGGAGAAAACCTACTTCTTCACCTGCGACTGCGAGTTATGCCAGGACACCAAACGCGATAACCTGTACCGCGCTGTCTGCTGCAGCAACTGCCGCGGACCCGTCCCACTATCGGTGACCTTTAAATCCACCGGCCCCTGTAGCCGCTGCAAGACGATCCTCACCGCCGATATCCTCAAGCAAGCCAAACAGCTGAGTAGTGAGATACCGCAAATGTTGACACAAAGCGAACGACTGTTATCAAATCAGAGCCGGCTGGATGGCGAGGTTAAAAGGGTCAATTTCGTCGCCCTGCGGAATGTTTATAATAAATCGATTAAAAATGTCCTGCATCCGTGGAACTGGGTGTACGTAAAGTTTGTGCAGCACATCATGGACTATTACATTCTGCTGGAGGGTGAAGAGGATGTGGAGCTGCGTGCGCAATGGTTTATGGAGTGTGTGGAAGCGTACCGGCGCTTTGATGTTATGTCACCGACCCTGGGTGTGCGACTGGTGGTCGTGGCGGAGTTTTTGGCGCTGCATGAGCGGTCTGACGAGGCTAAGCGGTATTTTGATGAGGCAGAGTCAATTGTGCTGATGTTTTTTGGGAAGGAGCATAGTTTGTACCAGAGAATGAGTATGTCGCGCAGCGTGATGGAACAGTTTGAAGTTGTCAAAGCGTTGCGGTTGTAAATGGTGTGATGATGTCGTCGGATGTCGTAAAGATTTGACGGACTGTACATCACATAATTTAAATGCATACAGAACAAGCTTGGAGTAATAATCGCATTTACATTTTTGCACATTACCAATATTCCTGATAAAAGTGGAAAAATAAAAAAATGCTACGGTATAGTGATTTCATCTATCATGCGTCACACTTGGCCCTGACAGCCGCGGTGTAATATATATCAATGTACAGTAATTGCGGTGCAACGACTGCGGGAGCAGCGGAACACACTAGAAATGTGGCATAATTACCATCATTTTGCTCTGCTCGCTTTAGGCCGATCTGTTCGTTTGAGACAGTCCTATGTACTATCGGTAATTTGCTACAGACATGCAGATTAAACAATGCTTCTCGAAGATCTTTGCTTGAACCGATTATTCACCCCTTGGAAGGGGTTTCTAGCTGTAAGCAGTTGGAGGGTATGTAAGGTCAATGATACATTTACGATTGCGTTTACATAATAAGATCGAGAAAATACCATTCATTGTGGCCTGGCAACATGCTCCGTCTATTAGACCTTTTCACGAAAGAACCGAAGCAAAAGTCAAGGTCATAAAGCCATTACCTGTAACCAGCTTCCGTTAAATGAGGATGGACGGGATCTGTAGTGATGCTGCGATGGCGCTGTTACCTGTAATAACGCGACTTCAACAGGACCTCTAAACGAGCCGCTTTCCGCCAACTAACAGTTGTTTGAAGATTCTTGTTAATTTGGCCATGCTGCCATAGTAAGGATTTGCACCTTTAATCGCATCATATCGCCGTAGAAACTACACATCACGGCGCTGCTGACGAACGCGAAAACGGCTGAAAAACTACTAGTATCATATTAATAATTTATAAATTAATAAAAGCGCTGTTTAGGTAGTTTTACGGTCTTCAAACGATTGTGGGTATTCTCTGATGTCCGGCAATCATCTATTCAAATCTCTACAAATTTAATCTCTATCTCTACATTTCCTGTTGGTAGGAGTTATTTATACTGTTGCCACTAAAACAGCCGGTCTACGTAATACAGTAAATGTTGTCGATACGTTACTAAATTTGATTACAGTGTGCAGAAAGCTTCCTTTATGTTTACGTTGGTTAAACATGTTGCGCCTGGCGGAAGTTAAGCTTATCAAACGTAAAAAATGGCACAACTGCACACGTGACTGGGTTTTCATGTTGTCAGTGCGGAGCGTCGATTGTGGTTGGAGAATAAAAGACAATCCGCTGTATTAATGTTCAGATACGATGGTTCCTTTAGGCAGGTTTATATACTGCTCACTCTCAATACAAATAGAATACCTTTGACAAAAACTAACCGTGGCATAGTACCACACAGCGTATCTGTACGCTTACGATTTTGACCGGTATCGAGACCGACAGAAGATTGGCAACTTTTGTCGGCACATATTGTGGGAGATCAAGAAGGAAAATTTGCGACCTAGCATAACTGTAAGATTTTGCCTGCCATCGGCAAAAAGCTCTATCTGCACAACATAAAGAACCGGTAATTTTATTATTAACGCTGCTTGTGTAACACATCGCGGCGTATGGCGGCAGAACAAAGAAAGTGAGCCATACGCTAATGTTTGAGTAATTTGCAATCAACATTGATTATATTTATAGCAGAACAAAAGAAAGTGACAAATCACGGTGTACAGTAACGCGTTGTATGTAAGCTGATGCGGTCGACGGATTGATTACGCCCGCTGACCACAATACACTGCCTGCAACGGAATGTTATGCCACGACCTTTTTGGCGAACTGTGTTTGATGGCCTTTGTTTGCATGATTGGTGGGTATGTAACGCTGCAACGTGCACAATACATTATGCCTGATGACAGTAACCTAATTAACCGTGGGCAGCGTTCACAAAAAACGCCAGATACAATTATGTTAACACGTTTACTGCGGGAAAAGTTACAGTTAAAACAATTCAAAAGTTGCCGGTGACAAGTTAATGGTGTAGCGGTTCTTTTTTATGTCTGATCTCAACTGAACATTCCATTTTTCATCATGAGGATTTTAATTTTATTGGCGTTTGTATTGGAAGTGTCTTATTGTGGTTTAGTAAGCTGTTGTCTCCTCATTTTCGCTGATTTTTAATTACAAAAACTAGATTAAATATGTTGGGGAAATGTATGATCTTTGCAGATCCAGAAGCAGAAACCATCGGATCTCTTTGTCCAGACCCTGGCACAATTCCGTAGGAAAGAGCACCCCACCAATGCCGATTTGCTGAAAGTGGCCCTGGCCGCGAAACCCGGTCGGGAATATCCCAATCTACCGGCCATTCCGGCCGACAGCACCTTCGACTGCGAGAGCGTCGGCCCCGGCTGGTACGCGGATGTCAGGCTGCAGTGTCAAGGTAAAGGGGACAACGGTCGCCGTATGCAGCCCGCCAATCGCTCATGCTCGTTGTCCGTTGTCGTAGGTGTGCGTCACTGTGCTGCCAACGGACACCTAACGTCGTACCTATGTCCAAATCTAACGGTAATATAACAAATTTAAAGCTGAGGGTTCAAAGCGTGTGATTATGTACCATTTATCTTTTGGATAAGTTTAATTTTATGAGTACGTACATATTCATAATCATAAGGGCTAACCATAAGTAGTGCAACACATAAAAATACATCGGTATCAAATCGAATATAACTTTATAATATTTTCTATTGCAAATGTATTTATTAAGTGTTACTGGTTTGTGCAGAAATAATTTAAATTGTTCACAATGTAGTATTATTACAACTACAAACCAGCAACACGTGCAGCATATATGTATTGAATGTATTAAATTACAGTACTAATGTCTGATTCTTTATATAACTTTGCAGCTGTTCGACCAGAAAATTAAAGACTGCAACTGGTTCTGGGACGGTATGTACAATAATTAACACCGGTACAGTGTACATACTCGTGATAAAATGCATACAATCATTTTTATTATTATCCAGTGGACTGCAGTCAGTCCGAATCCTTATTCGGCTTGAGCAACAATCCCTTGTACCACACCGATAAAGCCGAAGCTCCTTCCTGCATGCGACGGGCACCGTCCAGGAACCCGTCCACAGCCGGCAAAAACGCCAAGGCCTCTGGTTCGGCTTCAACGGTCTGCAGTCCATTTTCGGGACCTCCCCCGTCAGCAATGTCCCCGCACCGGCGCCGGCTCCCGTGGCCACACCGGCGCCGACACCCGCTCCTACTCCGGCGCCGACCCCGGCACCGGCTCCTGGTCCTACCCCAGCTCCCGCACCTGGACCTACTCCCGCACCCGGACCCGGTCCCACTCCGGCTCCCGGATCTGGTCCGGCACCAGGACCCGGTCCCGCTCCAGGCCCCGGGCCCGCTCCCGGTCCCGGCGTTTCGCCGCCACCAGGCAGCATGCCCCCGCCACCACCAGGCAGCCAGCCACCGCCACCGGTTACCACTTCCAGTTCCGTGGAGGTGACCACCCAATGCGACTGCTGTATCGCCAGTTTTGCGGCGGAGGCTATCGCCCAGTATGCCAACGAGACCATTGCCCTTGCTGCCGGCACCCCGGTGCAGGCGCAAGTGGCCGCCTTTGCCGCCATCGCCAATGCCGCGTTCCAGGCCGCCCTGGCGGCCGAAACCTCCAAACCCGCGGATATCGCCGCGGCCAACGGGCGGCAGCCCTGGCGTCGGCCTTTAACCTGGTGGCCAGCGTTAAATGCCGTGGATAAAGCGTGTTCCTTGTGGTATTTTTTTATACTAATTATTTTTTTACATTTTCCGATTTACATTTATACCACCAGCATTGGTTAGATTTAAACGCGATTATGTTTGTATTAATAGATGGTTTCTAAAGCTAGGGTAGAAAAATTTGCTAGTCACCCATGTCAGAAGCCATAACAACGGCTGCGACAAACAACGGACAAAAGTGCCAAAGATTCGGTAATTAAAGCGTAATTTAAGCCGTGAGGAAAATAAAAATGTCTGCATTGTTTCAATCAAGTGTCTGTAATAGTCACATCTCCCACATGGCACTGATTATGTGCTTTACGACTTTTATAATCAACATCGGCATAATGTGAACGCGCTTAAAGTTGCGCAACAACTTCAACGCCGACCGCTGTGCATAATGTGGCCAAACCATACTCGTATTAATTTTGGTTGCTTGCCAAACACAGCCGTCTATTGTTGTGGTCGCATCGAAGCAGCGGATGAGGCGCATGTGCCGTATATCCAAACGAACGAATCAGCCTCCGGCAAGTTGTACAACAACGGTACAACCGGCGTATTGGTTCTGCTGGCTAATTATATCTTCTGCAAACAAACAAATTTCTTCCAGCGTAATTCGGTTTTACAACAATACAGTACGCTTTCCCGTGCCTTTGAATTCAATTCAAAAAATTGTAAAAAAAGACTTTTTTTTGTCCTTTTGTTGGGTTTACAGAATTTCCGGTAAATATCACCGGGCAAAATAAATTCCCCGGGGCGCACAGTGTAATTTGCGGAAAGTGGTGAATCGTGCCAAGGTTCGCGTGTGTTTCCGTGTAAATTTACATGACCTCACCAAACGTCCTGCGGGCGAAAATTTCACACTTTGTGGTAGCGACAAACTGTGCCGCTGTAATCTGCAGTTGCATGAGTCGGTTTAGTACCCGCAGGAAACGCACGCGAACAAAAGGACATCCCCCGAACTGTGCATTTTTTGGCTGGTTGTGATGAGATAACGGGAGTACGCGGAATCGTCAAGTGGGTTGGATAGCGCACTAAAAGCAGGCAGTACATATGATTAATTTCACCTGGAAGCACCAACAACCGGCGGTAGCAACGGCAGACGCATAAGAACTTGCTGCATCAAACCAGTAAAGCTTTCATAGCTTTTATAGCTGGTAGTGAAACTGCCAGTTGAACCAGCATCTAATGGACCCAGGAAAAGAAGGCTCTGTTAACGTAACACTGACCGTAACATAAAAAGGAAATTATTACAGAAACAGTTATTAAACATTTCTTTTCTTGTGTTCTATAAAAATCCATATAAAAAACTCGGCAAAAACTTTTATGCAGGCTCTCACCATTAGGTAAATCATGATATATTATGAAATTTAATACGAGTATGTCTCAGGCCGGCTGTGATGGCTGGGATCATTGTGAGTACCTTGTTGGTTATTACCGTGCATTCGAAAGTATACGGAATAAAAGGTATAGTTAAGCTGCATAGTATTACTGGCTCTATAATTGTTAATACTCGTAATCATAAGTATAACCCTATAATTACTATAAAAATTAAGCATGGTTCTAGAAGACTCGATTATCGTAAAACGGGCTAAAAATACAAAGTAGGAGTTTCGTCTTTTGGGCAAAATCAGACAGTTTCTCCCCTCAGGCTACTAAATTTTGTTTTATATAAGTTTTTAAAAGCAGCCACAATGGCTGAAAATTTCGCGCAGTTTTTTCTGTAAACTTTGATTTTATTGCATGGATACCGCTAGGCAAACAATGGACCAATTCAAGTTTTATGGGTAAAATACTGGGAACTGTCAAACTATTGCAGAGAGCTGGCGGCTTTTATGACCATAAATCAGCTGCAGTACAGTGAATGCACTTGTACTAACCCTTGAACAAAATTCCGTGCTTGGTTTGTTGGAAAATCTTCCTGTGCCGTTATGTAACTGCCCATGCAGTAGTTACAACAATTATTCAAAATACTATATGACTGCAGATTAGAAAAGCTTTCGAAAAAAAACCACGCAAAATGGTTTGATTTTGACCCTCCTTTCTTACTACTGTCGGGGAAATAGGCTTTTATAAATACGTAATGGCAGGAGACAGATAATGTAAAATGATAAAGGCAGATATTGTAAACTTATAATGGCAGATAATGTAATTATCATCCCTTTGGCGTTACCGAAGAATTATGAATCACGAAATTAAAATTACGGAAGCGTACAGAATCCATCGACTACAGCAATATGTACCCCAGTTAGTCACCATTATTGTACAACAGACGGCCATACCGGAAATCTTAATTGAAAACGACCAGCTGTTACGTTCTACCGTGTCATTAACAAAAGAGGCGGAGCGGCTCCTTATTGTTTGCTTTAGCCAAGACGTACAAATTCGCCATACACTGTATTGCCGGTAGCTAAATTAGAAAAAAAATCAATAAAATCGGTTGAAATGGCAATGATTTATAACTCGCTCCGGTCAAGGTTAGGCTAAAACGTAAAAGCATCATTTCCGACTACACATGTGCCGAGTCTGCCGACATTAGATCTTTCTTACCCATCTTTCAACTGGATCTATTACATTATGGCGGATTTAAATTATATCAACGTGAGCAGCCTGAACTTGTCCGTTCCCGATATCAGTAATGATACCGTTATCAACGGGACCTGTCCATGGGGCAATGACACACAGTACGATCCCGATCCGACGTTGGATATGGTGTATGGCGTGGGATTCGGGGTGCTGTTTGTGATCTGTACGATTGGGAATATAATCAACATTGCGGTCTTGTCGGCCATGAAATCATCACAGAGTTCGGCGGTGTATTTATTGGCCATGGCCATTGCCGATATTGTCACAGTGTAAGTGCCAGTTCAGTCACATATGTTGGTGTACGTTACCACACAAAAAAATTCATTTACTTTGCCACTGAAACTGATAAAAAAATGAGTGATTTATTAATAAGCATAAACAGGCATGAATTAACACATATCATGTACGTGGTTGCTGTATGTGCACTGCGCAGTTTAATGTTTATGTACTTCGGTAAAATAACGTTCATATAACCGGTACCGTTTCGATATCTCGCAGCCAAGAATTTTACCATTTTGCAGTTTCGCATGATATTATACCAACCGAAGCGCTGTAGCTACTGCACTAGTATTGTATAATGGTAATTTTTCACTCAAGAATTTTTATGATAATTTTTGCAGGTGGTTGTATTTCTGGCAGTTTCTCTTCACCGTTCGACCGGACATTTTCGTATCGACCAACGGATTCGACTGGTTTAACGACAACATTCAGGGCGCTTACGTGTGGCTGCAGCAAGTCTTTATGGCGTTTTCATATTGGTCAGTGCATTTAGTTTTACCGCATTACGTATTTTACGATTTTTGCCGACTCAAATTTAAATATGTTTTTAACTACATTTGAGATTTAAGATTTATATTACTGTTTCATAACTGGGGAATTGATTGTCCCATCGTATACAATTTGCGGTTTACGTATTTTAACTGAATAGCAAATACTGTATAAGCCTTAAAAAATTAATTTTACAAATATTGTTCGGGTGACAGCATCGGGTGTGTTGAATATCCAATAATGTTATCTCCTGTTACAGGGTTCTTGCGGCGTTTTCCTCCGAGCGTGTAATAGCTGTGATTAACCCTTTGAAATTTCGCACGACTCGCCGTACCACACAGATTCTGGTCAGCTGCATCTTTATCTACTGCTGCATATCCAACATTTGCCGGCTGGTAACACAATACTGGATGTGGGCCAATCTGGATATCGACACGTTTGATAAAGAGAGCGCCAGTATGTTTAGCTCAACCTGGCCATCGTGGCTGACAACGTGGAATTCCGTACAAGTCGTCTACACTGTAAGTACCAATAATTTTTAATAGTGAACACGAACCTTTGATTATTAATTTGTTATTACCTTTCGTTGTTTCTTTATTAACACTTTCGTTATTAGTAGTGATTACGCACCTTTCCTTATTAATGGTGATGTTATAACGAAGTCATACAGTATTCATATCAGCAGTGGAGTTAATATACTAAAATTGTTACTTTGCATAGCTGCCGATATCGGTTATCCATTTACGACTATGTACAGTCTGATAAATAATTACTTGTTTTCAAACATTTTAAAATTGTCATATCCGGTCATTTTAATCATTCGCCTTGATTTCATCCGTCGTTTTGGTCTAAAATGCATCTGTTTGCGTACTACGTACTGTATTTCGAAGCAATTAGGCTTTCTTTTAACAACCAGTTTCACGATTTTATTACAACAAAAACTTCGGTGCCAAAAGATTAAACTAAAGAGTTCTGGCCTAGAGCACACTACAGAGTATAAGGAGAATTTAAAAATAAAAAAAAACCGGCATCTGCAGTGTGGAATCTGGCTAGTAGCGGGAGGCATGTTATGTTTTGGAAGAAGAGTTTAAAACTGTCGAAAGTATGAGTATGTTACCGGTTTCCACAAATCAGCCAGTAAAGCGATAGCACTACTGCACAGCTTTGCGTGAGAGTTTCTTCGGCTAATACTGCAACCGAGCAAAAGACAGCACCGCCACTGCTGCTCATTACAGTAATATTTTTTCAAACAGAATGTGGAAGTGTTCATCGTTTGTACGATCCTTATCGCCAGTACCACCATCATCCTGACCTCCATCGTGCGCCACCAGAAGACCCTGGGCATCCGTGCCACCACCAACTCGGCGGTGTCCGACAAGAAGAACAAGAAGGATTTCGGCCGCACCATTCTCATTGTGACCTCCATCGGTTTTTGTCCTCTCGCAGCTACCCAGTACCATCAATGACACTCTCAAACTGTTGTCCAACTATCCTTACTGCTACTTGGAGTATCCGCTGTACTTTAAACTCTGGCGACCTTTCCAGGCCATGATCCTCATCCCCAACAGCGTCAACTTCTACCTAAACTTCGCCTTCAGTAAGAAGTTCCGGCAGGAATTTGTCGACCTCTTGCAGTGGGTTAACATGAAAACCGTGAAGAAACGATCAAAGTTCTTGGAGACCCATGGCACCAAACAGCGCGCCGCTCTGCGTATGAGTGACCGCAATGCGTCACGAATTAGTACGATCTCCACGGTGACGATGGATGTGGAAATGGAAACGCCGAAGATCGCAAAGAAAAGCACTACAAATAACGTTGTACAACCGTTGTTGAAAAAGAATGTGGAGTTTAATCGGGCGCCGGCGTATACCAACCCGACAATCATCGAGGATGATGAGGGGAGTGTTATGGAGATCAAGCTGGATGAAGAGCCAGAGACCGAGACGGTCTTTAGCGAAGATCGTGTTGAATCGGTGGATATCTTGGATTCCGGAAACGCCACCTTGGCATCGACACCCAGTGGGACTAATTTCACAGTCGGAGATGACGTTCAAGATCTCGGCAGCGAGACCATGAGCTCAGAGGAGGACCTTAGTGATGAAATGCAGGACAATGTGGATGAATTACTCCGGCCATCTACTGGTAGACGGTTTACGTGGTGGTACGGTAATGAAAGACCGCTGAGAGACTCGGAACGAAGAAGAGCCTCCCATTCCCACTGATGTTCGCTGCGAATTTTTTATATAGTGTATAAGGACCATTAGTGATTGTTCATTAAAGACTGGTGTTTGATTTACAAGCGCCGGTTATGTCTTTCTAATTGTACGAAGTGAAAGCTTTGTGCAATAACCCGCTGTTTTGTTTCTGAGCAGGTGCTTTCATTGGCGTAAATTGTTTTGCATTTTTTGGCTGGTGCCAGAAATTTAGTGTAATTACTGTTATTTTAGTACATTTTTATTTACTTATTATAATATACACATACACAGCTGCATAGTTACGATATTATCAATAACAAGCACCGAAACCAACAGCCGGAACAGAAAACAGCAAAAATGGCACAGTGTCTACATTATGCGCAGTTAATTTGATTGTGGTTGTGTAAGACGTGCCATCGTCTTCGCTTTCGGCTCGAATCACAGACGTGATTGAAACCTGGTCTTCCGGCACAAAAGAACGTCGACTTATAAGATTGTCGCCACTCACTGTGGTACTGTTTAACTGTAAATAGAAGGGATATTCCGGATCCCTTCCGATAACATACTCCACTCCGCTTTGTATTGACTTCTGATTCAACTGGCCGTTGACTGGCACCAGGAGGATTGTTACGATGCACTGTTCTGGGACGTCGATGGCATCCTGGGGTATGCGAAAACTTTCAAAGGTCATTATGAATGCCGCTAATGGTGTTATGTCAGTGGTTGGCCCTTCAGCTAAAAACCCCGCATGAGTTTGGAGTAACGGGTTAATGTAATTTGTTAACGCTTCTGAGCGGAACCTTAAAACCTAAAAATGAATGGAAGTTTCGTATTACCCATATCCGATTCTAGTGTATAGTTATATACAGAACTGCTAGCAGTAATGCGCTTATTACTGTCAGCAACTAAGAAACTTTTTATTATTTGAAAAAGGTTCGCCAACTGGACCTAACTGGAATAATCCAATCACTCCATTCCATAGGGAAGGTGTGATCCCAGTGAGCAGCGGCATCCTCCGATGGGGTTTCAAACACCGACACTACCGTTAGGTTCCCGTAGGTCGGTGGCCCTTGCCATTGCGCAACATCCGTGTTCAGCGAGTAATCCCATACAATTCTGGGAATACCTAAGTTGGGGGTCGTCAGCAGTAGCAGTACCGTTGCTACGACTTCGTCAGCACGGTCCATCGCATCGAACACCGGATAACCCCATGCGGTATACCGGTCACCATGGATAACCTCGTGATGTTCATAGGCGAAAATTTTGACTGTACCAAAGGACAGCGTCGCTCCGTAGCCGGACAGTCCCAAAACAAAAAATTCTGTCGTATTAACGTGCTCATAGTTGAGCGTGGTTTCATTGTGGTAGTCTACACCGTGTCCCATGATTGAACGAATATGAGCGGCCATTCGTGGACTGAAATAGGTAATATCGGGTAATTCCCGGAGAGAATTGCGCGATGGTTCGGAGATTTTAAAGGCTTTTTCGGGTTCTGGTTCATTTCGGATTTCGAAGTATACAAACATGTTTTCCGTCAGGGAAGCATTGCTTGGCGATGATAAAATCAACTTCTCTGTTATCGCTGTTCGTAACTGTTCAATGTTAGACAAACCGGCGGAAATTATGGAGATTCCTTCTACTCCGTACTGTCGCAGGCTGACAATAAAATCCGCTATCTAAAGAAACAGGCAAGTAACGTAAAGATTTACGATCTGTAAATGGCTCTCCTTTCCCGTCAAAATTGGTGTCATACCTGCTGTTTCACTTCATCCTTCCTCAAGTCCAGTTTGAGTACAGGAGTATCAGCAAACGTATACGGCGTACCAGGGTGGCATTCGCCGGCAAAGTTGCCATCCGGCGCTGACGAACATGATTCGGTACTACTGATCAGGGTATTAATTGCCGTATTGCCGTTCACTCTGCAAACGCAAACTGACATTACCAACAATATACTACAATTATGTAGGCAGAAATGGTGATACTGTAACATTTCCACTCGGACTGCATATAATCAGCCTGGTCAAACAGATGCGCTATCTTTTCGACCTTCCAATGAGCCTAATAGGTACTCTTTTGGCAAGCTGGTTATAGCATACAGTCACAATATTATGGTCCGTACAGTCGTACTTAATCCGACAAAAGTAATAATATCATACTTCCGCTTTGGTACTTTAAGGATTAACACTAACACGGTCACACCCAGCAGATTCACTTGTACTTGCGTGCGCTACTTCCAGTCACGCTTACTTCATAGTTCGTAGTTGCTCGTCCACGGAATACCATGCCCCATCACTATCACGCCCCAGCCCGGCATCCACGCCGACCAGATGGTTAAGAACGACTTCCGCGTAAATGGAAATTCCTGAGCGGTTGCACGCAACTATCATTCGGCGAAATTCGTCGGCTGTGCCCGACCGGGTTTTGCCGACATAGAGACCGGTGGGTTGGTAGCGTTCCCACCAGGGCCGTTTCACGCTGCGGTCGCGCAGCGGCTGGTTGATGATGCGATGCGGCTGCGGTGGACTGACCTGGCAAACAGTTTAATCGATTATCAATAACTCAAGAGCTTGTGCCTTTTCTTTAACATAGCAGTGCTCGAAAAATCGAGCTGGTTTTTCTTGAGAACAACTTGTTTCTCGTTAGATAAACACACAGAAAATAACACACATAGTTAAGCCATTTTCCGTTTCGAACTTTTGAGTTCGGATACCTGTAAAACCACCATTCCCGAAATGCTCTGCAGATGCTCAGTGCATAAGCGAGCGACATCGTTCCATGGCCATTGAAACAGCTGAATGATGGGACGGTAATCATCATCCGGCCGTTGGAATCGTATGCCCAAAGCAGGCACTACGAAAAAGATAAACAAGACTCGGAAATCGAACATTTTATTCACCTGCATGTTGAGTCTTCCAAAACAATCACTGCATAATGTTACAGCATTGGATGAATTATGCACGAATATTCGCACTTGTGGATAATGTCATAATTATCTGACTAACGCAACATGCTATGTACAATTTGTATGCACCGGTATCACTATAGTATTATGCTGATAAGAATGCGCGTAAATCAGCCGTGACACAGGTGATACGGAAACGCCAGCGCTAGTGATATGATTGTGCGCCAAGTTGAATTACACCGGTGAGTATATTTCATAATCTACTAGATAAGTGAATGTGCCTTTTTGTTGTTGTCAACGGTTTTCAAATAAATTAAGAAAACTTTTACACGCTATGCTAATTTACCGTTATGCCAAAACCTTTCATTAACACTGATAAAATTAACGCGCTCCTTTGTTCCCCGTTTCCGTTCTGTCACAGTTGAACCGATAAACGTACAACTTGTATTATTTTGTAATCTTTATTAACTTCCGCGGTGTGACGTGTGATCTTTCTAAGTCAGCTACAAATGGCCAAAGCGCAAACAAAACTAAAGCCGACGCATAACGCCGGCACTCCAAATTCACCTTAAATTGCTGCTCCAGTATTCCTGTAGTTTAGCTAAAAGTAGTTCCTTAATAATCCTGTTTTCTGGGACGGAGAAACAGTTTTTTGGTAGTGCGGCTGGGACTGGTTGGGTAGAACGAGTATTCTCACTATTCTGGTGTTCCGACACAACGATCACAGTCATAGCTATCTGTAGAAGGCGGAATAGCGTTTACGTACATGAAAGCGCAGCTTTTGTTAAAACAATACAACGTGCCCTTTACTGAATAATATTGATGAAGTAGTGGCGCCAGGTTAACCTAATTATTACTGCGCAGAAGCTATCACATTGTTCACAATTTTATCACCAAGTGCCACTTGGCCTGGATCAGCGATACAATAAAATTCTCATTGTTACTACTTACAACTGCGCTCAACTGCTGCAAACCGTAGTGAATGGACTTTTTCCATTTTGTTTCCGTGGTGAATGCCGTCAAACTGCAATCGGCTCACGTGAGTACTACGAGTAGGTAGAATCGTCTTAAGTTATTTCGCGTCTGAACTTAACAGTCTTAGGTACTTCCCAAAATTTTTTTACATGCAGTTCAGTTTCGATTTCGAAATTATGAGCGTAGCGGTTTGCGCAGTTCCACTTTACCATATATTGAATTCTACCAAATCTAGCAAAGTACAGTGGTAATTTCTGCTCGACAAGAGAGGCTTGGACGCCGGAAAATCGAATTTATTTGCGCAGATGTGTGGTTGAAATTCAGCCGAAGTAAGTTCCAATAAGCAGTACTGTTGATATAATTATTATCCTGTCTTTCTGTTCAGCCGCTCCAGTTTTTTTTGTAGATCTTAATACCTCAACCGTCATGGACGCCATCACGGAGTACCCTTTTCGGGGTTTAGCATGCGGCCCACGCGAGATCAATTACGGTAATACGGTGATGGTGCAGCGAGACAACGGGGAATGGTGGCTGGGATACGTGCAGGACATCGATGAGGATCTCATGTTTGTGAATTTCGATTCCGCAACGGCTCCCGCCAGCTGGATCCAATCATGTCACGTCCGCGCTCAACGCTGGTTAAACGATCGTGATCTGTGGTTAGCAGTGGACAGGGAAGTGGCTGCAACCGGCAGTTATGCAGTGCAGGTTGCTCTGCGTAACACTGAGCACGGACCACATGTTTTTCGTCCGGCCCGGCTCCTTACATCAACAACTCGTTGGGCGCATTCTTTGCCGAATTGAACCATCTGGCCATGTCGCACTGTCTTGCGGTCCACTCGTGGCAGATTGCCTTCCCGATTAATCCCGCCTTCGATGCGCCACCGCTCCGCAACAAAACCAGCGGACTATACTATCAGAAGTTCACCATACCTTTCATGAATGCTCGCTGGATTACGGCACTGGATGTGGCTGCCATACGGGAGTGCCTGGTCAAAGCCGCGCTAACCCCAAACCCACATGGACCGGGCTGCTATCCTGGTAATATCTTCGTGGCATACCGAATCTATGTACATGGCTGTCACTGGGGACAATCTCACTTTCGTCTGCGCTCAACTGCATGATGATAACCTGAACTCGCGGGCCGAATGGAGCCTAGATACCTTAACACATGCCTTTGCGAGCTTGTATCCTGTTCCGAATCCACCATTGTCACCTGCAGTCACTGCAACTGAAGAATCTCAACAAGAATTAACTTTCGGTATGTGTTCTATAAGTGTCTATACATCTATCGATCGAGCAGGATCGGTCATTTTTTACAAGCACAAAAACCCAGTTGGGTTTGGCCATAATGCATCGCTGCTCTAGTAGGAATAGGAAAATTAGAATGAAATAAAAAAGCATGTTTTACACTACATTTCAAGCGTAAGGAAACGAGAATTCATTTACTTCGTGAATTTAACAAATGCAATTACTGTTTACCAGCTGAAAGAATTTTTTTTGCAGTTCGCAAAATGCAGTCACAAAACTTATTATCAAAAAGTGGTTTTTATGCTGTACTAAATTGCAGATAGTGACGGATGGATCGGTGATGTGGCGCATTCAGTTATAGCCGATGTTCTCGTCAGTTTGGATTTGCACACTCAAGCAAAACGGTAACGGTTAACATTGCTTCTGGCTTCTGCAATCAGATAAATCACAGCACACAAAAAAGTTTGGTATTTAAAGTATTACAACTTGCAACCGTGCTAATATCCTAGTACGTACCATGTCAATCTTTTACCGTGTAGCAGAAGAAGGTGTCTAATTAAGGGTCTGCACATTGTGGCATTACCTGTTATCCGACCGTTTCGCCACCCGACACATGGTCGTCGATAGCTCAATACTGAAGCCGACACAATTATCTAGCCCCCTTTTAAATTCTTGTGGAAATTCCGTACGAGAGCAGCGGAAGTAATTGGGCGTTTGCGGGTAGAGCAGGTCGGCGGCGCGGCGGCATATGCTAAGTCGAAGGTGCAGGTGATGACCTCACCGGTTCGAGCTTCCGATATCCCCACTTCCACCCGACTGCCCCCGTTTATTGCACTGAGTAACAGGACAGTTGCGAAAGCAATAACATAAAACGCCACCTTGTAGGGTGGGTGGGTGGTAAATGAAAACAGGAGAGAGCTAATCAACGCAATGATAAACAACAGCTCGACAACACGACTGATCGGAACAGAATGCGAAAGGCAATCGGGCCGCGTGCACGGCCGGCGGCAGCTAACACGTATTCGCCAGGCATGACAAAGAAAGTGGGCTGAGCCTGCGCGAAACAAAGAAGTACATGGAATTTACCACGAATTTAACTTCACTTAGCTAGCTAACTGTCCTTTAAATTCTTGTGGAAATTCCGTACGAGAGCAGCGGAAGTAATTGGGCGTTTGCGGGTAGAGCAGGTCGGCGGCGCGGCGGCATATGCTAAGTCGAAGGTGCAGGTGATGACCTCACCGGTTCGAGCTTCCGATATCCCCACTTCCACCCGACTGCCCCCAAACAAATTACTCCGTCCGGTAAGAGTTCACGATAGGAGGTGGTCCGGTGTGGTGAAATGTACCAGTAAGGCAGATGCTTCGCCAGCGTCGGTCCAGCTGGATTTCGCTGTCAGGCAGTTGGTTAGCGGTTCTAACGGCGATATCCATCCAGTGTCCGGTGGCATTGTGCCTAAGCGACGATTGTGACTGAATGAGCATGTAGCGACGGATGAGATTACATGTTTGCGGTGGTGCAGGTCGGCGGCGCGGCGGCGTATGCGACAATGAAGGTGCAGGTGCGACCTCACCTTGACGTGTGTCCGATACCCACTTTCGCCCGACTGCCCCCAAACAATCTGTCCGGTCCGGTAAAGGTTATAAGTTGAGGTGACCCGAGGTGTTGAGGGTAGCGGCTGTGTGATGACATCACCAGCGCCCGGCTGGGTAGGGTTCAGGTTCAGGCACACCGATGCGGCCATCGTAAAGTTGGTTTTATCTTGTCATTTATGGAGACAGTCAGGCAAGCAGTCCGGCGATGGCGAAGGCGTGGCGCATGGGAACGCGCATCCACCGGCAGTGTCACCTCAAGGGTCGGTTTTCGTGCAGTTGACGGCCCGGTGGCTGGAATCCCCACACCGGAAACAAGTGTGAATCCGGTGCGCTTTGCAGGGCGTTGTGCAGCTGCCGAAATTAAAATTGCGACATACTTCTCCTTCAGCGGCGGCGACGTTTTGGATGGGCTGCCCATAACCTGGTTGCCCCTTCCGTGGCAGCGGGCAGCTGCTAATAAAGTGCCCAGCCATGCCACAATTGCGGCATTCATCGTCCTTCTTTTGCTCCTTCACGCGGCGAATATTGTCAGTCGGCTCTACACGCGTGTTACGAAGCGGGTTCTGGATACAATCAATGTACGTATCTTCGTGCTGATGCGCCCAGAGATCGTACTCCCGCGGGTGGCTGGTAATAAACGCACGGAACTGCCTGTCGTACTCAAGCCAGTTAGCGGTCGGGACATCACGCTCAGCGTACGACGCAATAATGGCCAGATATTTAAAAAACTTCGCAGATAACATCGGTGCGACGGTGATGCGGTAGCTGGCAAATACGGAAAAGGCTCCTGCCCATGCCTCGAACGAGTCAATTCTGACTTTGCCATCTTCAGGGGTGAGCGTCATTTTCCCGTCCACAAAGGACAGATTAGACTGCAGTTTTTTTGGGCTTCTCGACCCTGTTTCGCCGCAGCAACAGATCGAAGTCCACATACTCCTCAAGGTCCAGCAGTTTCTTTCGTAGCTTTTTATCAGGAATCGATGGCAGCTGATGAACAGAGTAATCAGACGTAGATGGCTGCAGCACTGGTGGCCCTAAGCGGCCGAGCATCTCGGGGCGGTCGCCATGGCGCTGAGGCGCTGCGCTACGCTCTGGCGAGCTATTGCTGTCGCTGTCCTGTTCAGAGGATGAGGAACCACTTTTCTCACCTCGATTTCTACGGCGCTTGCGTTTTCCGCCATCTGCCTTGTTTACGGAGTCCACCTGATGCACGATTCTCCCGAAGTCGTCACCAAGCTGGATCTGAAGGTTTGACGAAGGGGACAAGGGGCGCACCGCTTGAGGCAGCTGAGTTCTCATTACGGCGAGCAGCGAGTCCAGCTGTTGCTGATGTTTTGCTGCTGCTGAAGGACAGACTGAAGAGTAGGTTCTACTAATTGAACTTCACTCGATCCAGATGGTTCAGGGCGAACTATGATGCTTTTCAGGCGCTGTTTTGGTGGTACTTTTTGGCGAGGGGCTCTCCGGTGTTTTTTGGCCGTCTTCTTGCTTCTGGTGGCTGGAGGCATTATGTACCGATTCCACAGGTGGAATTACTCTCTTAATTTTATCAAACTGTTGAGGAAAAATAAGTGCTGAAAATGAAAACAGGAGAGAGCTAATCAACGCAATGATAAACAACAGCTCGACAACACGACTGATCGGAACAGAATGCGAAAGGCAATCGGGCCGCGTGCACGGCCGGCGGCAGCTAACACGTATTCGCCAGGCATGACAAAGAAAGTGGGCTGAGCCTGCGCGAAACAAAGAAGTACATGGAATTTACCACGAATTTAACTTCACTTAGCTAGCTAACTGTCCTTTAATTTGCTGCGACAACATGTACAACTTCAGTTGGATTTTAAACAAGACCATAACCACTGACACGTGCAGCCTTACTCTGATCGACGACCGCCAGTTCACAAACTTGATCACCATTACGGAAGTTTTGGTAGCACTACTGACCACCAAGAAGATTCAGCTGAATTTTATTCTAATCAAAAACGGCTTCTCACGGGAAGATATCACGAACCTCCCTGATAGATTCCGTTTGCCAGAACCAGGTGGCCAACATGCCGCTGGTACGTGGAAAACTGGAAATGTGACAATTTAACCAAACTCATCACCGTTTGCCGACACCTGGTTTTGCGGAATTATGCAGAGGAGGGTATAACCAGAAAACTGGAATGGGAGGCCGAGTTGCCCCAGCAGGAACTTGACTTCATCACATCCCTCCGGAGAAATAGATACCGGAAAGTCCCAATTGCGATTCCGCACGTTGTGCTGCATTCCGGGAATGATAATGCCGCTATGCTACGCAAGTTTATGCTGGCTGCTGAGATGAACTGTCCTCCGGTCGATGCAGCAATGTCCAACCACGCACGTTCCATCCATCGGCGGTGGGTGGACAATCTGGAGTATCCCAGTCAGTGGAGTGGTATTCGGCGTCTTTTTCAGCTGTGAGTTTGAGGAACATGTATATGCCTGTATACAATAAATAACTAAATAATTAATTAAATAAATAATAGTCTAAATAATTTGAAATAGTTGTGATTTTGTAGGTACTGTGGTTTCCAACTTGATGGCAGTGAGCGTAGCTGGACGGATGTTGATCTCCGGCAGGTGGATGTATCCACTCTTAACAAGATAACAACTGCGGCAATTAATTCGATTTTTGTTCTGCCATGATGACAGAAAGCCTCTGTTATTATTGCTTATTGATAAATCGCTGAATTAGAAATCGCGGAATCAACTGTATCGTGAAGCGCGACATGCGACCCTTTTTCATAGGTTACGAACTGACAAAATGCCGATGTCTAGTGTGGACGATCCATTAAAATAATTTTGCGGGTGTTATCTTGGTGTCAGTACAATAATACGTCAACAGCATGTACTGCAGCTGATGGATTAAGAAGTTGGAGCAGCGCATTTCACTCAAAAATTGTCCCTTGCTAATCCTGCAAGTGTATACTTCAGATGACCCCATTTGTTTGCTCGAAGTACCTGTAACATTGGTTGCTGAATAATTAAAATGGCGCCATACGCTGTCCGTCCGTCCATCATGTACCTTTCTGCCGGCCACAGGTGTGGCGCCAGCAGTACGTAACTCCACACAAAGATTAAAGATACTAACAAAATACCGCAGCGCTAGCAGCACACTTCAAGCTGAACAGGAGCACCATTAATTTTGGCGCCGATAAGCGAGTGATTATAAGGATGACGCGTGCAGCATACTGTACAGATATAGCTTTTAACCTTCTCCATTTGTGATATATTAATAGTAAAATATATAATTACGTATGGATTTCTATTCGGTCCCTGTGGACACTGTCGTTAAACTGCAACCTGCTGCTGGTGCCATTAAATAAAGCACACACAGAAGCAATCACCTGATTCGTTTTTGAAGTCACGCAGTCTCATATTCACGCAAATTTTCCAAATGTCGAACCTTTATTTAACAAAATCAATTTGCAGTATCGAACCTTTATTTAACTAAATTAATTTGCAGTAGTTTGGGGAATCCTACTTTTTTGAGTCTTTGGTCTGTCACATTACGTTACATCATTTGGAGGTGATTGGTACAGCCGTACAGATACCTGGCGCAAAGTTGTGGTAGCAAATAAGGCGGCAGTATATCTAAATACAATATCATTATCCCATCATTCCTGTCCGTCGGATTGTCTAAGCAGACCTGAACACTTACGTTCAAATGGAAGCCTTCACATCTTATCCTTTTCGGGGCCTAGAATCCGGTCCATGCGAAATCAATTTGGCGAACACGGTCATGGTGCAACGCGACAACGGGGACTGGTGGCTGGGATACGTGCAGGACATTGATGAGGACCTCATGTTTGTGAATTTTGATTCCTCAACGGCTCCCGCCGGCTGGATCGACTCACGTCACGTCCGGGCTCAAAGTTTGTTAAACGATGATCTGTGTTACAAAATGGACAGGAAGGTGGCGGCAACCGGTAGTTATGTCGTACAAGTAGCGCTACGCAACACCGAGAACGGACCACATGTTTTCCGGTCGGCCCGGCTCCTTACATCGACGACTGCATTTGGTCTGTTCGTTGTCCAGTTGGACCAGGGGATTACGCCGCAACGTTTGGTGGTTCACCTATGGCAAATTGCCGTCGCGATTGATCCCGTCATGGATGCGCCGCCGCTCTACAATCGAACCAGGGGAATATACTATCGCAAATTCAACGTGCCCTTCGTGAATACTGGCAGGATTACAATGCTTGATATGGCGGACATCTGTGATTGTCTGGACAGAGCCGCACGAACCCCCGCTAACTCATCTGATGGCTACTACCCTGGTAACGACCACGTTGCATATCGTGTATATGTAGCTGTCAGTGGAGATCATCTCAAGTTTATTTGCGCTCAGCTCCAAGACGAAAACGAAAACAATCGTGCCGAATGGAATTTAGATACATTAACAGAAGCCTGTACGAACTGCTATCCTACGCCGGACCTGCCAGTCTTACATGATATTGTGATCGACGCCCCACAGCAAAGATTAACTTTCGGTAAGAGTATACCTTTTATCTATAGATGTATGATTATTACAACTAAAGATTAATGCCGTAATTTTGCTGCAGACAACTGAGAAGGGCTTCGTATTAGTCAGTTGCGTGATACGTTTTTTTGTACAGATAGTGGAGTGTTATGATCTGAAAATAATGTATTGCAGCGAAATGAAGATGGTATTAACCTGCGATTGATCCGGCAATCGTAATCATGTGATGGTGTATTGTACAATACTGTGTGCACATTTAGGGCACAAACTCCGCTACTCACACAGATAATATAAAATGTATTTATTACAAATATAAAAAGTTTTATATATTTGTACTAAATAGGTCGTACTAAATATTTATACTTGAGCATGCGTTCAGCAAACGGATTTGCGGTGTGGCGCATAAAAAAAAGCGAAATTTGTTTAATTTTGAATCGTCCAGCTTTTAGTCAGAACTAAAACTTGCTACGAGAGGCATGTTAAATTGTAGATAATGACGGATGGATAGCTGATGTGGTTTATTCGGTTATGGCCTACGTCCTCTTCAGTCTGGACTTGCACACTCAAGCCGAAGCGAAAAGGTATTACATACATACGTGAAACGAAAAGGATGTTACAACATTAGTAAGTTAAGGATCTCACAGTAAGGCCCTATGTTATAGTGCACAAAATGTTTTTTTTAATTTTTGTTTTGTTCGGATCAGATAAGTTTTGTTGGGGCCTGTGGTTGTACATCGATATATTAACACAAAAACGGCTTCACTTTTAAGGGTCTGCACTTTATGGCATCAGCTGTTGTCCGAACGTTGCGCCAGCCGACACGTAGCCATCGATTTCTCGATAGTGGAACCGAACGAACTGATCAACGACAGCTACGGTACTCCTTCCTGTCACAACATATTTAATTTAAGCTGGGGCTTCGACAAGGCCCTAACCGCGGAAACCAAAAGCCTTACCCTGCTTGACAATCTCCAGTGCACAGATTTGACCATAGTTACCCAAGTGTTCGTAGCGCTAATGAACGTCCGGGGAATTCAGCTGGACTATATCCTAATCAAAGATGGTTTCTCCCATCCTGGTATTACGAGCCTCTCTGATCACGTGTCGGTATCAGATGGCCATCTTGCCGAGCGTGAATGGAAATGTCACTGTTTAACCAAACTAAGCACCGTATGTCGACGTCTGGTTCTGCAAAACTATACAGTAGGGGATATTACCGACCCTCTGGAATATTTGCATCGGTACGACGAGGTACCACGAGAGACGCTTGGTTTGCTATCGGCCAGATTTCACCCGCAAGAAAGATTCCAAAAGGTTCCAGTTACGATTCCTTATGTTATGCTGCAATCCGAGGATGGTAATGCCAGTACACTCCGACAGTTTTTACTAGCGGCGGAGAGGAACCTTCCTCCGATGGACGCATCGATGTACAACCACGTGCGCTCCGTCCATAGTCGTTGGGTGGAGATTCTGGAATATCCCAGCCAGTGGCACTGTGTTCGACGCGTCTTTCAGTTGTAGGTTTGGTGTAAAATTTCCTTTTCTTTTTACCATTAAATTTTATTGCGATTCTGTAGATACTGTGGTTTCCAACCGGACGGCGGCGAGCGCACTTGGACGGATGTTGATCTGCGGCTGGTAGACGTGTCCACTCTGACCAAGCTAACAATTGCAGCAATTAATGCATGTTTCATCGTGCCGCAGTGATCGCTACACATATTTGTTGTTGAACCCGCTTATGAACCATCTTGGAAGCAAATTTATCACAGGAGCGTTTTTCTTGTTACATTTCATATGCATCTAATGTGCTCGATAAACATTTTCGTCATTAATCGCAGGTACCAAAACTGGTTTTGCAAATATTGCATGACTGGCATAGGTATCATAACGTGTACAACGCAGCGTTCAATACTTTTACTGTTTCGTATAAAATTTATCAAAACGTTTGCTCAAAAATACGTATGCGTGCAGCGGCGTATAAACTGGTTCCTTTATTTGTTGCCATTATGTATGACTGCGCATTTAGGTTGATTAGTTCCTGGAAATTTGCTGCTGGAAAAATATTCAAAAAACAAAACCGGTATATACTTAAGTGTAAGACTGTAGGCCCTTTCTGGGGATGCAAAAACACATTCACTCGCGCCAGCGTTATATAGGAGGCCAGTTTTCAAGGCCAAATAAGATTCCATCGGAGTCTTTGAGCAAATAAACCAAAACGCGCAACAGGACACATGAAGCCTAAGAAAACTGCCCTTAATTAACTTCGCCCTGTAACTTTTTCCTATCCGGCATCCGTCTTCGGTCCATTCATTCGATCACTGCTGGGTCATTTGACCTCGTTACACTCATATCGTGTTCTTTAAAAAATCTTTTCATATGGATGCAGCTTTGACCTGTTTCGAGTTAGTTTGCAGTCATACTCTTTCGAGCCTGTACGAGTACTGAAAATTTGTTCCATTCCTAGCTGATTGTGCGGTGATGTGCGCAGTTCGACTAGTACTCTGTCACATTTGGCAAAGTATATATTTGGTCCGATAGTTGTGGAGAAGCGGCAACGGATTTATGGAATAAAGTAAACGATATTATCGCATCTTGTTACTCCCGTTTAGCGAGGTTTCTTTACCGGCCTGCGCCATTACGCACCATGGCCGTGATAACCGCGTATCCTTTTCGGGGAATAGCATGCGGGCCGCGCGAGATCAATCATGGGAACACGGTAATGGTTCAGCGCGACAACGGGGAATGGTGGCTGGGATATGTGCAGGACATCGACGAGGACCTCATGTTTGTGAATTTCGATTCCATAACGGCTCCCGCCCAATGGATCCACTCACGCCACGTCCGAGCCCAACGCTTTCTAAGCGACCAGCAGTGGCACACCAACTATGACAAGGAAGTGGCAACAACGGGTTACTGTGCAGTGCAGGTGGCGCTGCGCAACACCGAGAACGGACCAAACGTTTTTCGCCCAGCCAGACTCCTTTCATCAACAACTGAATTGCACCTATTCATAGTGGAATTGGGAAATTCCGTCAAGCCGCAGCGTTTGGTGGTCCATCAATGGCAGATTGCCAACGCGACTGATCCTACCCTGGATGCGCCACCGCTCCATAACAAAACCAGTGGACTGTACTATCGCAAATTCACCGTGCCTGTCACGAATGCCCACAGGATCAGGATGCTAGATAGAACTATCATTCGTGATTGTCTGTACAAAGCCGCACAGACAGCGTCGGGAAACGGAGGTCATTTTCGTGGTAACTCCTACGTGGCTTACCGAATCCATGTTGCTGTCACCGGGGATTTTTTTAGTTGCATTTGCGCCCAGCTCCGTGCCAATCATGTTCACGAGCGTGCCGAATGGAATCTTGATACCTTAACACAAGCCTGTGCGGAATTTTATAAAGTGCCGGATCCGACTTTATTAGGAAGCAATGATACTGTAACCGAAACGCCTCATCAAGGACTAAATTTCGGTATATTTTTACGTTTAGACAGATATCTACAGATATCTGTAGATATCTGTAGATATTAGTCTATAGGAAGGAAAACCGTTGTAACCGAACCAGTTCGCGGCACTGCTGCGCCACCCGGCTTGATTCTGACGCTACGGCAGTATAATACATATCGTTTAATCACGATCCAGCAGTTGAAGTCGTGTAAAGTAAAGAGGTACATGTACAATACATACAAACTCTACGGGATTACGGCCAACAAAATAAATTTTACAGCTGAGATACTACAAACTTTGTATGATGAGCATTGAAGTTCTTCAATACAGTGTATGTCGTTTTAAATTGTAGGTAATGACGGATGGATCGGTGATCTGATGCATGCTGTTATGGCGTATATCCTCTGTAGCTTGGACATGTACACCCAGGCAAAAACAAAAGGTAACGGTAATTGATAGTCTTCGCAGTTTTGTAGATCAACCATAAACACACAGAAATCTTTTTTTCCGAAGTTCGGTTTGCTTTGCTTGGAGAAATTAAATTTTATGCAGCACATCCGTAATACTCATACAAGGCTAAATTAGTACAAAACAAATGTTCACTCCAGAGTTTGCGTATTGTGGCATCACCTCTTGTCGGACCGTTGCACCGACCGACACGTTGTCATCGATAGCTCATTTCTGAAGGCGTTCAAATTATTCGAATACTGGCCTTCCTGCCACAATATGTACAACTTTAGCTGGGCCCTAAATAAGGCCATAACCGCCGGCACCAAGAGCCTCACTCTCCGCGACGATCTCGCTCGGTCGAGCCACGATCAAACGGCCGATCAATCGAGCCACGTCTCAAACTTGACCATCATCACGATCGTATTAAAACGCTACTGACCGTCAAAAACATTCGGCTGCATTACATCGTAATCAAAGACGGTTTCTCCAGTTACGGTATTACGAACTCTCATGATGTGTACGAGTTGTGGGATGAATCAGACGGCTATCATTCCGATCGTATTTGGAAATGCGAGGATTTATCCAAACTCATCACCGTTTGTCGGTGTCTGGTTCTGCGGAATTATACGGTACAGAATATTGTTAGCAGTATGTCTAGCCTGAGCTCCTATGATGACTTCCCATGGAAAGAAGCAGGCGTTGCCAGTTTCTCCGACCGATGGAGCGTTCCGATTACAATTCCGCATCTAATGCTGCATTTCGAGGATGGTGATGCCGGTATGTTGCGCAAGATTTTACTGGCAGCGGACATGAATTATCCTCCGATTGATGCAGCAGTATACGACCGCGTACGCACAATCTATCGGCGGTGGGTAGAGGTTCTGCAGTATCCTAATCAGTGGAGCCCTATTCGACGTCTCGTTCAGCTGTAGGTTTACGGATGATTTATGAGCTTGCATACGGCTTTATAAGACTTGAAATTGTTGTGATATTGTAGGTACTGTGGTTTCCGACCTGATGGCAGTGAGCGTAGTTGGACGGATGTTGATCTGAGGCAGGTGGATGTGTTCACCCTTACTAAGCTAACGACTGCAGCCATTAATGCGCGTTTCACGGTCCCGGAATGAGCGCACATGCCGTAACAATGTTTTTTTGTTTGTTTGAACCCATCTTTTGTTTGGTCAGCAAGGGCAAGCTCAATCAGAAGGTTGTTTTCTTTTGTTACGCAAGACATGGAAGGACGAGATAAAAACGCTTTTATTTTTATGTACGATTAATTTATCGCATCGTGGTTTTCTTACTTTTGGCAACTCGCACCAAAAACAGCTTGTGCAAAATAACATCTATTAAACCGTAACAGTGCTTCATTAAATACAGTACAGTGTTTTTGCATGCGTAATGTGTACAATATGGCATATCTGCTTAGTATTTAAGAATTTCCAAAAAGTCACGTATTTCAAAACAAAACAAATACGGTTCCGTACTGCACCAGTAGCACGGAATCATTTTCTCGTCAAAATGGTTGGCTAACTAGGCTGATTTCTGTCTGCCCAGCGTCGATAATATACTAGTATTGACCTGAGGGGAGTTGGAGAGCGCCACCACCCCGGTTGGCACTTCGCACATGGTGGCGTTGACCGCGCCGGCCGTAGCGGCCCAGAGATCCAGCATTCTGCGTGGTTTGCCAGCGGCATCCAGCAGCGTCTGCCGGCCGATACGTTCCCGGATACGGATTGGCAGCAGTGGCGAAGTCTTGGATGTAAAACTGCCCCAGTTGTTGCAAGAGGTATTGATTCTTTGTGCTGCAAGAAATCCACCGCTTCAAGCCGCTACATTATACCCTTATTAGAAGGCTCAGATATTTAGCATATACAGATATTCGGTCATGAACTATACATATTTCAACCAGACGAGTAACTACCGAAAGGCCTCATTTGGTTTGTTCTTTGTCGAATTCAACCACTGCACGGGACTACGCCGCAGCGTTTGGTGGTCCACCTCTGGCAGATTTCCGTCGCGATTGATCCCGTCATGGATTCGCCACCACTCTACAATCCAACCACCGGCATATGCTATCGCATACTGAACTTTGCCCTTCGTGAATGTTGGCGAGATTACAATGCTAGATAGAACTCTACGCGAAAATCTGGAGTTAAGCACAGATCTAGAACCGCACGCCCGCTAACTGGTAACGACCACGTTGCATACCGAGTCCGTGTTACTGTCAGCGGCGATTTTTTCACCTTTATCCGCTCCCAGCTTCATGACGATCGTGAATTATAATCATAACAATCGTGCCGAATGGAATTTAAATATCGTAAGAGAAGCTTGTGGCCATCTTTCTCCTATTTCGGACTGTTGTTTCGTCATGATACTGTAATAGACGTTTCTCGTCAGCAACCAGTTCTTGGCCGGTACGATGAAATTTGTATTATTTGTATTTTACCACCGAGTGATACTGTATCATTCGTATGGGTTCCACAATCAGCTGACAATGAGCAGCGCTTCGTCAAATGTCGTCTGCCTGCGCGGTATGTCGGTTCATTTTGTTCCCTGCAGACTTTGGTTGAACAGATATTAACAATCATTTGAGTCAGGTGGAATGATACTGACTTTGCTAAAACAAGATAACCTGCAAAAGTAAGGTCACAACGTTAATCCGGTCATCAAAGGATTTTCCTCTGCTTCGTATACATTTCGTACAAAACGTCTACTTATCTATGCGTGCAGCGGCATATAATACGAGTATATATATTGGTCCTTTTATAATTATGTTGCCACTATGTACTGTATGACTGACTAGTGACTAGTTCCTGAATGTATGCTGCTGGAAAGCTTTCAAAGAAAAATACGCGTATACTTATATTTAGAGTACTGCCCACTGAATAATTACTTAAAATGGCGCCAGCATCACATAATATCATTCAAAAGTCTGCTCTAAGCTAGTTAGGAATCAATTCCAATCAAGGACACAATGCAATATTTGCAAACCAACTGGCGTCACTGACTTTGGCGCCGACTCAGCGATAAGCAGACTGCTTGCACTTCAATAACCAGTCTGTATGACCATTCTGTTCCAGTGGTCAGGAGTCCGAACCTTTAAATGTGTCGGTCACTCAGTAGTGTTCATCATATTAGCCAAGTATTTGAATGATTGGATCTTTCTGACCTGCTTGGAATTTGCACCTTGAAGTCATCTTTACCAAACGTAGCCTTACCAAAACTAACTGAAAAGTGATTTAGGTAATATTTACCTTTCTTAAATTCGGCAAATCTCATTCGGACGAGTTGGTGTATATCATTATCAGACCAATCTCGTTAATCGAATTCTCTATACAGATCTCAACCTGAACGCTTTTGTCGCCATGGACGTCATCGAATCATATCCTTTCCGGGGACTAGCATATGGGCAACGCGAGATTAATTACGGGAACACAGTGATGGTGCAGCGCGACACCGGGGAATGGTGGCTGGGTTACTTGCAGAATATCGATGAGGACCTCATGTTTATTAATTTCGATTCCTCAACAGCTCCCGCCAGCTGGATCCATTCGCGCCATGTCCGGGCTCAACGCTTTTTAAGCGATGAGCTGTGGTGCACAACGGATAAGCAAGTGGCTGTCATCGGCAGTCATGCCGTGCAGGTGGCGCTGCGTAACACCAATAATGGACCACATGCCTTCCGGTCGGGACGACTGCTTACATCGGCGGCTGGGTTCGGTATATTCCTTGTCCAATTGGACCAGGGGACTATGCCGCAGCGTTTGGTGGTCCATTTGTGGCAGGTGGTCGTTGCAGTTGATCCCGCTTTCGATGCGCCGCCTCTTTTCAACCAAACCACTGGATTGTACTATCCGCAAATTCACCGTGCCCTTCGTGAATGCTGGCAGGATTACAAGGCTGAACATGACAGCAATACGTGAATGCCTCGATAAAGCCGCACAAACCACCGAAAACTTACCGGGGGGCAGCTACGAGTGCTATCCCGGTAACCACCATGTTGCATTTCGAATACACGTAGCTGTCCGTGGAGATTTTTTCGACTTTATTTGCGCTCAGCTCCAAGACCGGAGCGTGCACACTCGTGCCGAATGGAATATAGATACATTAACAGAAGCCTGTGCGAGCCTTTATCCGATTCCGGACCCGCCACTGTTACACGATGTTGTGATCGACGTCCCTCATCGGAGCTTGCCTTTCGGTAGGAACGCAATTGTTTGCCGATACATAGTTGTGACCTCTGAGTAATGCCGTAATTTTTCTTGCAAGCAGCTGAGAAGCGCATCTCGTTAGTTTCCTTGTTGACTAAAAAAATAAAACGTAATAGTATTAAGTTTATGCATTCAGCACATGTACAGTGTATATATTGTACGGCGGATTGAGAATGGAAATTCGTTTCCTCTGCAATTGTTCAACTTGCAGTCAGAACACTTGTTTTGTGAGAAGAGACATGTGTTAAATTGTAGATGACGGATGGATCGGTGTCGTGGTGCATTCGGTTATGGCCAGTGTTCTCTTTAGTTTGGACCTACATACTCAAGCCAAGGCCAGAAGGTACAATACTTATCTACCTGTATAACGGCTAACGAAAGGATCTCCCAAAAAATTAGACCCTATATTATATTATGCACAAATGTTTTATGGATTTCTTTGTTTTGTTCGGAACAGAAAAATTTTATTGGACATAATTATGTTCGTTAATCGATCGAATTCATCGAGCAACCATAGTACTGATAGAAGTATAAAAACGAGCTTTACTTATTTAAGGGTCTGCACTTTGTGGCACCAGCTTTTGTCCGAACGTCGCGCCAGCCGACACGTTGCCCTTGATAGCTCGTTACTGAAGCCGAACGAATTATTCAGCGAGAACTACTATACGCCTGACTGCCACAAAATATACAACTTCAGCTGGGCCTTAGACAAAGCCATAACCGTTGAAACCAAAACCCTTTCCCTGTTTGACAACCTCCAGTTCACGAACGTGACCATAATTACCAAAGTACTGGTAGCGCTACTAACCGCCGAAGGCATTCAGCTGGACTATATCCTAATCAAAGATGGCTTCTCACATGCTGGTATTACGAACTCCTTTGAGCACGTTTTCGACATATGGATACCGGATCCGGGTGTCCATCCTGCAGATCGTGATTGGAAGTGCCTCAGTCTAACCAAACTCGGCGCCGTATGTCGGCACCTGGTTCTATGGAATTATAAGGTGCAGGATATTGCCAATAATATGGATTATGTGTATCGGTACGACGTCGGCGAGTTACCACCACAGACACTTGGCGCAAGGTGCCGGGAAGAAAGAGTCCGACAAGCCCCAGTCACAATCCCGTATTTTAATGCTACATTCCGACGATGGTAATGCCGGTATGCTACGGAAGTTTCTATTAGCTGCGGAGACGAACCTTCCTCCTGTTGATGCAACAGCAAACAACCGCGTATGCTCCGTCCATCGGCGGTGGGTGGAAGTTCTGGAATATCCGAATCACTGGCACTGTGTTCGGCGCCTCTTTCAGCTGTACGTTTTTTTGTTGTCTGTATAAGCATGGGATGCCGTTGTGATTTTGCAGGTACTGTGGTTTTCGGCCCGATGGTAGTGAACGAAGTTGGAAGGATGTTGATCTGAGATACGTGGATGTGTCCACTCTTACTAAGCTTACATTTGCCGCAGTTAATGCTTGTTTCACCGGGCTGTGATGACCGCAAAATGCTTTGGCACCTTTTGGTTGTTATTAGTTTGGCACATTTCTGATTTGGTACAAGCGAGCACAGATTGGATCATATCATTCGAATACAGGCAGGTATGCTTCTCTTGCTACGCAAGATACGAAGGCACGAGACAGATAAACTTTGTTATTAAGAAATTTGCTCAGAAATAATGTTTTCTTATGATACGTAAACAAAACGTCGTAAACAGCTTGTGATGTTGTGCAAGAGCTAAAGAAGTGAAATACGCCTATGTGAGAAGAACAAAGCTGCATTCAGTACGTTTGTATTAGTATTTTATGGGCATAAGCCCAAGTAAACTGACAGCGTCGTAAATTGACAAAATCGAATGAGTAACTGTCCAGAATGAGTAACAGTAACGCGATGGGGCAGCTGCCAAAATCAGTTGTGCATTGCCTGTTCCAGATTTCTTAACTTCTCGAAACCAAAATGCACAAGCTCGACACATACGTACAGTACGAACAAATTTCATTCCTCTCTTAAATTAAACATGAGAGTAACTTAAACACATTCGCACCACGAGCCAAAAGGCTAAGTACTTTTACTGTTTTAGCATAATGCTGTACAATGTTAGCTAGGTAAGAAGCCACAAGGTAAAAAATAATAATAAATCTGTTTCGATCCGTATCAGACCATGAAGAACGGAATCAGTTTCCCGTCGAAATGGTCGGCTGATTTCTGTCGGCCCAGCGATGACGATATATTAACCTGGGGCGAATTGGACAGCGCCACTACCCCGGTGAGCAGCTCACACACGGTGGCATTGAACGCACCGGCCGTGCCCGCTTGGATGCTATGCCAGAGATCCAGCATTTTGCGGGTATTGTTGGCGGCATCCAGCAGCGTCTGCAGATACGTTCCCGGATACGGATTGGGGTTGGCGGCATTAGCGTCAGCTATGGCGAAGTCCTGGGTGTAGAACTGTCCCAGTTGTTGCAACAAATACTGATACTTCGCTGTAAAAATCAGCCGCACTGAGTTGCGCTATTGCAAACTCCTTAATAAGGTCACACATTTAACGTAAAAAAGGCGACGGACTCAAGGTTACAGAGCTGATTTACAAAACTCTTGAGAAGAGCTAATGTTTTGCCACTAACATGATTGAAAATGAACTACGAGCTGTCGTATACAGTAAATTAAGAACACGATTTCGTAAAAAGTGATTATTCTGCTTTGAATTGAAAGTACCTTCGCCGGTGAGTTGATCACATGTTCCACCGGTAATCACGTCATTGGCGTGCTGGATAGTGGCGTCCAATACAGTGCCGCTGTTGCTGATCACGGCGTAACAGCTGTTGAAATTAATGGGAAGCTTGCCAGAGCCCAGATCAATGATCAGTTGAATTGTCTTGCCGGACGTTACGATGACGTTGAGGAAGAAATCCGTCTGGTTGTTCAGGGTTCTGTTCATGTTGGCCGTTGCGATGGTGTTTAGCTGCGTGTTAGTGGCGATGTAATCGTTGAGTATCGCTTGATACAGCGCTGCAATCGTACGCGATGAAAACACAAGAAACTCTTCATGCAATATTTTTGCAGCGCAGTAATTATTAATAACTATCAACACTGCATCTCTACTGTAATAATGCTCGCGGAATGCAAAAAATGTCGAAGTTACTGCTAGCATTTACCTTCGCCGGTTAGATTGCTGTGATCTATTTTCTGGGATGTGCACACTCCTGGTGAACTGTTATAACTGCTCTGCGCCCGAACCATAACGACTACCACTGAAATCACGCAAAGAATCCACCGTCGGATCATTGTTTCTAAGGCAAACCACAAATTTTATCTATATGCTACAAAGAGAAAAATATCCGAGTGCTCTTCGGAGAAGTTTAGTCTTTTTAATTCTACGCTTGATTGCTGAACACCGGTTTTTATATTTAAGGCGATCATTTGAAGTTTCGATGGCCATCCACATAACGAGTGTTCGTGCCAGCAACAAATCCGAAGCGCTAAAGTCTGCCGTAAATTACTCCTACTACTTCGTATCGAAAGTTATTAAAATCCAGAAACGAACGTGCGGCGGCATAATTACATCATGGTTTCTTAACGTTCTGGTAATTAGATGACCGGTTAGTGCGGCATCGTCTCGAGCGGTTTTGTTGTCACTATGTTTTCGCAATTAGGGTGGCTTGTTGCTGCAGGCAACGTAAGCAGAACGTTCGGCGCTTTGAATAACTGTCTGCTTAAATTTACTTTATGATATTAGACTGGAAATTTAATTTTAAATTAAAGATGTGATCTAAGTTGAATCATCTAACTACCGTACTAGCTTAGCATTATGATTCGAATTTCTGAAGTGCTGGTGACCTTTGTCAGACCGGTACAATACCGATTCATTAGGTAAATCAACCGGAGGATTTGTATGTACTAAAGTAAGCACAAGTATGTAAAACATGTACAATAAATTAATCCTACTTAAGGCTGATTGACTTGTTTTAGAAAATGCAACTGTGATGTAAACAATCTGTCTCAAAGAACCCTGTATTGCGTTATGATTTACGACGCGCACCGACCTAGAGTGGTGACAGTTATTGAGTATAACTGTTCGCTGTCTCGACTATCATAAGCGACACAGCCAGAAAAACCCACAGCAATTAATTCATTGCCCCCTGCATTTTTTAAAACGTTACACGTTCGATGAACGTAGCACAAGCGTGATCTTATACAAGTCGCAAAATCGCTTATTAAATACACGATAATACGCGAGACAACCGTAAATTGGTCAGTTTTCACTAAATAAGTTAATACACATCTGGAAAGTGTCTCTGTTACACAGCTGGAAAGTGTCTCTGTTACGTTATACGTACAATAGCTTTATCTTGAAGCGTGGGCAGTTATGGCTGCCACAGTGATCGGACGATGGATCGTTTGTACGCTCCCGCTAATCACGATCGCCATCATGGCTCAGACGTACAATTCACCCACAGCGGTTTGTCGTTCATCCAAACCAGATCACAGTGATTTAAGCGGGGAAGGTAAAAAAATACCAAAAAATTATATAAAATAAAATATGACATTATATAATCATAAAAAAACGTATACATAAAAATTAATGGAATTACATAAAATTACTGTAATTATGCAGATCTAGATAATATGTAATTAAATTACGTATAATCATATAAAATTTAATTCCAGTTACAAGAGTCTACCGCCAGAAGAACTGCCACCTATAACATTAATAAGTTTTCCTGGAGTACTTTACACCCTGACATACCCATGATGGCTTTTAATTTTGTAAAAGTGCGCTCGTGAAATAGGAACACAGTATCATAAATAAATAACGTAACGTCTACAGTAACAAATTTTTCAGCATTGTACCAAGCCATTCTCAACGATTACTTGAACGTCACCAAGCAGATGAGCGATATTGCGGCGCTGAACCATGGCAAGCCAATAAACAATGATACCGGCTTCTTCCTCAGCGTCATCTTGCGGTCGGATGCCGCGGCGCAGCTGATTCTGGACATAGCTTCCGGCAAAGCACCGATTAACTTTGATACGTAACTGTTATTCACTGCTTAGTAACAGCGCTACGGTGGTTAATGCCGTTATTCTGCACGCCAACGACACGATTTCCGGTGGAACATGCGACCAACTCACCGGAGAAGGTAATCAAATACAGGTTATATGAAATGTCGTGCATGTTATGTACAAAGGACATTCCAAAAATAATTTTCCCTATTTTTTATCTCCCAGCATTAACGCATTCAGCTAATATTATCCATATTGTTACAAACGTCCTTCATTAGCAAACAGTAGGGAGAAATTATTCTGTTTAATAACAATCAACTGGGGACGAAATGCCAAAAAAAACACCAAAGGGTTTTCAAAGTTTTTCACGTGATTTTCCCGGGCAGTTTTTGCTACTTTTCGCAGTCTTTCCGCTCGCTTTCCTTGATGCATAAAATATATTTAGATTAGGAATTCTTCCCTGTTACAAAATGAAGTTTTGAACAAAATGTCCTATTCAAACCGAAACCGAATGTCCTATTCAAACCGAATGTCCTATTCATGTCCTTCTGTAGAAAAATAAGAACTGCTTGGGACCAGGTGTCAAAATCAGAAAGCATCGCAGCATCCAGACAGTAAAAAACAGGAAATTTCATGAAAAAAATTTGCTGTTGCCGGTGGAATGCAAACTTTCTTGGTATCTGAGATGCGCACGACTGGCCATAAAGTGTGCTTTTTATCGATGGAAAGCATCTTGAATTTATAAAAGCGAAACTGCTGAAATAAGGGAATTTCGGTGTCTTATGAAAGAAAAATGTTTACTGTTACCCCTGAGCTTTTGAAAATGTTCTGCCATCGCAGTAATATCAAGTACTAAATTTGCAGTTGATACTTTAAGTTTTTGTCGAAAACATTGCCAGGTCTGAAGTAGCAATAAAAAGAATAATTTTTAAAAAAGGTGCTGAAAAAAAGTGCAAAAGTAGCATTCACCATTCTGTTTTTCGTTTGGCAAGTTCTTCTTTGATTCTTTTGATTCTTGTTTCTTTAGATAGTTTACATAATGAGTTACCCAGCAAAAATTATACCATTTGTGTATAACTTAAAATCGCAGGGAGACAAAATAGGGAAAATTATTTTTGGAATCCCCTTTGTAGAATTATATGCTTAATAATTGTTGACGTATATCAACACAGTTTGTGTACAGCTGAAGTGAATATATACATGACCTTTATGTATGTAGCACGGTATCAGTATCTGCTGCAACAAACTGGACAATTTTACTTGATGGTCTTCAACATTGCCGACAGGGATGTCGTTAACCCCAATCCGTATGCCGGGACGTACTTGAAAACCCTTATTAACGTAGCTACCGGCTCACGCAATATGCTGAAGCTCTGGGCGATGGTGGAAGACGGAACTGCCGGCGCTTTTAACCGCAGCGCCTGCGAATTTCTTACTCAAGCCGTGGGTATGTCCAGCCAACCGGAAATCGACCTGCCGAACTTACTGGGCAAAACCAAGACATCCGAAGCCCCTGTCTTATCGAGAAAATGGTTTCCCTTTCTTATCTGAACTAGGATGGCACTCGAAATCCCACAGCAGCTTCGCTTAGACTTGCTAATTTTATTCTCTGAATTTATTTAATTCTGGTGTATATCATAATAATGACACTTACTGGCTCCTGCTACCGATACAAAATATGTTATACGAGTACATATTACATACGTATATTCTGTGCAGCATAATATTCGATTGCGAAAAGCACGGCTGACCACCGTGAATTTTATTATTAGGTCTTTGGAATCTCCGTGAAACGGTCAACAAACACGGTACAATATCGGTAATCTCGAAGAAGGTCATCGTCAACAAAGGGCTGTGCAACTGCTGTTATTGTAGGCGAAATTGTAAACATAATAAATCAGATATATGCAGCCTCTGAAAAACGTTTTGATAGTCGGATAATACAGCAATTATGGCTAGTATTACAATAAAACTAATAAATTGTCGACATTGATAGTCGAGCCTGCTTCCCAAATACGCAAGTAAACCATGCGCTGTAACCAAATTAAAGTAAAACACGAGGACAAGATTACTCACATAAATAACCATTTCTTGCGTTTATGGCATAGTATTGTGGGATGTACAAAACAAGCCAATCTGCTTTGTGTCCGAATGACTCGTGGCCAGCACGTTCATTCCACTGTTGCGCGGAATATTTAGGTCTCCATCATTTGGATCAAAAGAAAAACGAGCGTTATCGTCCAGCAACGGTAGTAGTTCAACGGGAAACTGGTGCGATTACCGGTGCAATATGTATACTATGTCACGCCGTACATTGATTTTCTCTTCTGATTTTTACACTACACCGGGCCAGAATGGCCTTTCAGGCGGTTTATTTGTTGCTGTGCCTTTTTGAAATAACGTTGCTAAAATTAACAGCGTACGGTCAGCAGCCGCCTTATCTCGCCGTTCACGATGAGACCTTTCATCCGGATGGCGTGTTAAGGGTGACCGTGGCGGATATTGCCATCGACTGTACCACCCGGCGTTCGGTCGTAATTAACGGCAGCGTCCCGGGTCCGGAACTGCGGTTCCGTGAAGGTCAGCGGGTGTGGATTCGCGTGTATAACGATATGGAAAGCGATAATTTGACCATTGTAAGTGCATATATATTATCTGTATAAATTTGAAAAAAATACTCTGTGTTAAATCATAAATAAAAAAATTGTTCTGTGTTAAATCATCCCGTCCAGTACTAGTACTGCACAGCGTTTTAGAAAGTTCCAAAAAAAGCAATATACAGAGAAATCATGTTTTTTGTTTGATTCGGTTTGAAGTGCTATTGTTTCCGCTTACGATGACCTTTATATGTTAGTGATAAATAGTTATTTTGCTCGTGAAACATTGTCAAAGCAGGACATCAACCGGAAGTCCGAGACTGTTATTACGCTGTTTATTTTGCTAAGTACAGTACGCTATATTCATTACGCATATACATGTACTTATTTAAAAATTTACATATTACGTACGTAAATTTCACTTTAATGCAAAGTAAAATTTATTATTTCAGCACTGGCATGGCCTCACCCAGCGCATGGCCCCCTTCGCCGACGGCACCCCCATGGTCAGCCAGTGGCCCATCCCGCCGCACCACTACTTCGACTACGAACTGAAAACCCAGCCCGGCGATGCCGGCACCTACTTCTACCACTCCCACGTGGCCTTTCAGGCCATCACCGCCACCGGGGCGCTGATCATCGAGGAAGCCGACGGCCAGCCGGCCTTCGAGTACGACGAGGACCGCATTATCCTCCTCCAGGACGTCTACCACCAGACCGACCAACAGATCATCGGCCAAATCACCAGCGACCACTTCACCTGGCCGGGTGATCCCGACAACGTCCTGGTCAACGGGAAGTCGCGGGCCGCCACCGCGCTGACCAACCAATCCGGTCCCGGATGCGAGATGGCGGTGGTGGAGCTGGAGATGAACCGGACGTACAGGGTGCGCTTCATCGGCGGGATGGCGTACTCCCAGGTGTACGTGACCTTTGAGGAGCACGTCAATCTCGTGCTGGTTGAAGTGGACGGACGATACGTCATGCCGCATGTCATCGATCACCTAGAAATCACCTCCGGACAACGGTACAGTGTCATTTTGTTTTCCAAATCCCGGGAGGAATTAACACGGTCCGATGGGTCGGTGAAAAATCGCTTCTGGATTCAAATGGAGACCCGGTCTCCGGATAACAACACGCTGTTATACACCATCCTCCATTATAAAACGGATTATCTTCCGGTGGATAAATTCACACTTCCGGTGACCCCGCCGCTGGTGTTGCCGAACGAGACGTTTGCGGCGAAAGGTTGGTTAGAAGACAAACTGGAGCAGTTGAATAAAAATCCCTCGAACCCGCTGCCGCATCTGGAAGAGGTCACCCGCCGCGTGTACGTCCATGTCCAGGAAATTATTAACTTCATGCCACCCGTCGTCAACTCGCACTTCGAACAAGACGGGTTGCCGTGGTACGAGAACACCCCGATGGAGCCCTACCTCGTGACGTTATACAAAAACGCCACCAAGTTCCCGGATTACGAGCGCGCCCTGCAGAACGGCGGCTTCGACAACGTCACCCGGACGTTCCCCGCGAAAATCGGGGAGGTCCTGGAGATCGTCTGGATCAGTGTCGGGCGCACCGGTCCGGACTTCCTCGCCGGGGTGGTGTTCACCCATCCCTGGCACGCCCATGGCGGACACTACTGGGACGTGGGCACCGGCACCGGGGCGTATGATCCCGTCACCAATGAAGCGCGGTTGCGAGCGCGCCACGGCCGCACGATCACCCGCGACACGTCGAATCTGTACCGGCCCAGTGTGTCGGCGGAACAGACGATGGGTCCCGGGGCGCCGTATACGTGGCGGGCTATGCGCATCCGGGTGCAGAACCCCGGGGTGTGGATGATTCACTGCCACGCTCTGCAGCATATGATCATGGGGATGCAGACGGTGTGGGTGTTCGGGGAACTGGCGGATTTGACACCGTTGCCGGTGAATGTGGTGGAGGCGGGGTATTTGACCTTTGGAGGGCAGGCCTACGGGAATGAAGTGAGGCCGGCGACGGTGATGCACTACTGGAATAATGACTGTGCGGTTTAGGTTTAGTTTCTTTGGCTTAAAGCTGGCAGACTTTATTGTTATCAAAATGGCAATTACTGCGATTTCTAATTTTGGCATACAATTATGTTGCATGTTTCTATAGAATTATGTAGTTCATAGTTTCAAATTTAACATTGCCCGATAATAATTATACATGAACAGTAAATATAAACAGTAATGATATCACTAACATGTATTGAGCTTGTAAAATAAACGAGTGTAACCATTGTAAACAATGTTGTTTATAAAAAACGAAGAAAAAATCAAATAATATTTTGTGGGAAGCACTCCGTTGTTCGCAACGATCTTAGCGGTGTCGCCTCTTTTTCGTTATCCGTAACGGTTGTATTAAAACGCAGACAAGCCGTAACCTAATTTCCAGTTGTGTTGTAGGTACATGCAATAAGGAAAAAAGAAAAATCCATAAATCATTTTAACCAAACTGCGAACTGGGCGTCTCCAGTGGCGAATAATTTTATTGCCGTGTACAATACACGTTTAGTGTTAACTGTACTTAGGAATGAGTCAGCGGCTGATACTACGACAAACAGGTATACGTTACACTTTCGAAATAGGCAATCTTAAGTTTTCATTGCTTTCAAAATTACTAGATCAGTGCCGCGATATTTGGTGTAGTTCGATAAAAATCTCTCGAGGAAAATGATTATAACCACGAGCAGCAGCGACAAGTTCACCCTACTGCTTGCGGTCATAAACCGGCTGTTCTGCAACTGCACCAACCTTAACCTGTCCGCTTATCGGCGCTTCACCAGCTGCTTATCCAGTTGTCATTGCAGCCGGCTCGTGCCTTGCACAACATTGCTTTTATCGGGTGTAACAGCAATTGCCAGCTGAGAATTTTCCGGTGAAAACTGTAAGAAAATTTTGGAAAACACCAATATGAGTTCGCAGGAGCATCTCAGTTCCTTCATCACCATCGATGCCAACTCGGATTTCAACCTGAAGAATCTGCCGTACGGCGTGTTCAGCACTGCCGATAACGTAAGTCAACACAGCCAAAATTACCGTACTCATCCAGCTCTTTCGTCTAATTATTTACAATAATAGTTACTTGTAAGTTTATAATTAATCATAATTATTTATGATAGTAATATTTATATAGACACTCTTATTCTGGACATAATATAATATTAACGTGATATTATTATTAACATTTTTTATGTACTCTGTATTAAAATGCATTATGTATGCATAGACCGTACATATTTATTTATTCACAATATTTATTTCATTTATTTACAAGTTTTGTGTTTGTACAGGATAAACGGCGGATCGGTGTGGCCATCGGGGAATACATTCTGGATCTATCTGCAGCAAAAGAGAAAGTTTTCACCGGACCCATTCTATCACCTCAGCTGCATGTGTTCGATCAGGTATTAAAACAAGGAAATTCTGATAAATGATCTTATCACATTCAAATATGAGACAGCAAGATTTTATTCAGCTACACGCAAACCTAACGTATATATTTTGCCCTTGATGTTTGAAGCCGACAATCAACACCCTGTTGAGCTTGGGACGTCCAGCATGGCAGGAAGCACGCAAGTCGCTGATGAAAGCGCTCAACGCGGAGGAAGCGGTACTGCGCGATGATGCTGATTTACGGAAACGGTATTTAATGTCTAGCAGTTACATATATCGAAGACCCAGCTGTAGAAAAAATATTAATACAACAATAGCAGCAAAGAACGATATATGCAACTGTCAACTGAAATATAAGCCGAATTTTTTATTTGAAGCGTAAGCATACTACAGTGAAACCTCTCTTATACGTACACCTCCGTTAAGAAAATTTCGTACGCAATGTAGAGGGTGTACGGAACTTGGAGGTGTTTTTTGCCGTGAAACGTAATTTTGGTTAGCGTTTTGGTGTACTTAATACAGAGGGTGTACGTACATAAGAGTGTACGTATCAGGGAGGTTTTATCTGATTTATTAAAAGTGTTCTAAGCCGGTACTAAACAAATTTGACATTGGAAATGATTAGCAAACACTGTACAATACATGTATAATTTTCAATATTGTGTATATGTGCAGTGCTTTCGTGAAGCAGAGCGATGCCATCATGCACGTGCCGGCGGACATCGGCGACTACACGGATTTCTACTCGGGACGAAATCACGCGGAGAACGTGGGGATTATGTTCCGCGGGAAGGAACACGCCCTACCACCCAACTGGTAATCAGCTTAGCACAATACCAACGTTGCAGTTTTCTTGCAAGAACAATTATTATAATCCTCCTTTCTGGCTGACATCCTAACAGCTAACAATTTACAAAACTGTGAACCTGCCAGAATTTTATTAGTTTTAATACCGGCAGCCTTGAATTAATGTTGCTGTGTGTGCAGGCTGCATCTTCCCATTGGATACCATGGTCGTGCATCGTCCATCGTCATATCCGGAACGAATATCCATCGCCCTAACGGACAGACCCGTCCCAACGAAGGTCACTCTTCCCCGAATTTTATAGCTGCAGTAGTATTTGAGAACTGTATTATAATGTAATACAGTTCTCAAATACTACTGCAGCTACAAAAAATGTATATTATACAGAGCAGCCGCCCGTGTGGGGACCGTGCAAACTCATGGATTTCGAACTGGAGATGGCTTTCTTCGTCGGACCCGGCAACGAGCTGGGCAAACCCATCAAAATCCAGGATGCACAGGAGCATATTTTTGGAATGGTGTTGATGAATGACTGGAGCGGTAAGTACCAAGTTACACAAAAAAAAGCCAAAACACCCCTACAAATTAACAAGACTTTTCTGTTTTAAATAAAAGTATTAATACGATTGCAGCATGCTTCAGCAGTGAAATCGTTACTTCAGGAAAATTTATAAGCAGAACAATATCACTACTACAGAGTATTTCCGATTAATTATTATTTATACTATTTTATTCTTATTAATCTTCTAATACTATTTTAAGCGATCGATGTATGCTATTATTATTATTATTATTCTATTATTATTAATTTTAAGCTGTATTCTTACGACACACACAATAATACTGCTGCTATCGAAAAGATTTTGCACAATTGCACCCCGCAGGACAGAATTTCTTTTTCTTCATAGTTATATTAGGCTATTAAATAGCCTTTCATCTGTAATTATTTCTCCTATGTTGCACTATTTCTTATTTGTTTGTCAGCTCGCGACATCCAACGGTGGGAATACCAACCGCTAGGTCCGTTCCTGGCTAAGAGCGTGGGCACGACCATCTCTCCTTGGGTGGTGACTATGGACGCCCTGATGCCCTTCCTCACCGACAACACCCGCCAGAATCCCCAGCCCCTGCCCTACCTCCAACACAGTGACCGCTACAACTTCGACATCAAGCTGGAAGTGGCGCTGAAGGGCGACGATATGCGAGATGCCAAAGTCATCTCCAAATCCAACTTCAAGGTAAGGAGAAGATACCCATTCATCATAATATTCGCGTGAATTCCATTGCAGTGATTAGTTAATAATTCATAGCACATGTACTGGAGTATGAAACAGCAACTGGCCCATCACACCAGCAACGGATGTAATATGCGGCCGGGTGACCTTTGCGGATCCGGGACCATCAGTGGACCGGTACGTATCACAGCGTGCCTCGGTAATGTTGACCTTTGCAATGCGGTATATGCGTTTCAAAGGATCGTGTTATTAATTTTTAGAATTTCCGGTTCCTGTGTTATATGCAGTCAGTATGTACGCAAGGAGATGTGTTTTTGACTTTTGCAGACGAAAGAATCGCGCGGCTGCATGGTGGAGTTATCGTGGAAGGGCACCGAGCCGATTGACTGCGGTAACGGTATCACCAGGACGTTTCTTCGTGATGGCGATGAAGTGACGCTGCGTGGATACTGCGACAACGGCACCTACCGTATCGGTTTTGGAACATGTACCGGCAAAATTCTTCCGGCAGTTGGCTATTGAAAAGTATTCGTGATGTTCTGCATTCGAGTTTTTGGTTCTACATGTAAAGCTTGTTCTACGGCAAAAAGCTTGCATGGACTACCAAACTGGGACTACCGGGTTAAAAGTTGTTAAAAAAATGGGAAAATCTCTGATCGGTACGTTAGATAAAGCATTCCAGCAAACCGAAGTGGGTCGAGCAGTATACAAGATAATCAAATCCATTGAAACTATAATTGTAGCAGGTCTAGAGAATACGATCAGCTTGTACAAACTACAATAAATGGATTACCAAAAATTAATGTAATAAGGAACCTGTAAATCTAATACAAACCGGCTTGTACTGATTACAAGTTAATTCGTCTATGCAAGAAGCTATCAATCAGTCAACTGAATTTTTTTGCCGTAAACTGTAAGTAGTATGCCGGTACTATCCATGTGTGTTTTGCATATTTTATTAGTTCATGATCAGCATAAACTAACATAAAATAAGTCGTGTACGTACATGGTACGGCTGCGCAGTCTGGACACAAAGAAACCACGAAATTACTACCCGTAGTATACATTCTACATTTATTTAAAACATTGTTGTGTTTCGTACAACAATAACGTCCAGCTCACACAAATCCACAACAACCAGTCACATTCCACGACACTCACAAAACTCGCAATTTTCACAATAATTTTACCAACTTCCAAAAACGAGACGAGAGTACAAGGCAATCAATCATGGGAAACGATAATTTTGTAAAATGTATATATTATGTAAAAATTAACCGACACTAACCACAATCACCGGCACACGTTTTTGACAAGCACATCTGTACAATCCTGTACACAACATCGTCAACAACTCAACCATTTTCCAAGGCCAACAAGAATAGTGCTCCCTTTGCTCACACGATAGGCAGCGGTCCCTCGCCGGCACTCTCCGGCGTCTCGATGCCCTCGCTCTCCATGATGAGCGCCCGCTCCAGGATGACCTTGGCCTCCTTGTACTTTTGGTCCTCCTCCGTGGCGAACTCGTAGAACCAGCCGAGTTTCGTGTTGCACTTCTTGCAGAAGACATCGCGGACAAAATGCCGGCCGGTGAGCATGACGCGGTCCTGCACCTCCGAGGTGCGGATGTTGACCACGCGGTTGAAGAGGAAGGCCCGCCCGGTGGAGCCGGTGAAGCGGGTGCTGGCCAGCTCCTTGCGGTTGGTCAGCACCGTGTCGCAGTTGCCGCACGAGTACAGCCGCGACCCGCCCGGATGCTCCAGGAAGATACGGCCCATGGCTGGCTGTCAGGAATGGATTCTATGGTTAAACAAAAAATTACGGAATGAAGAAAAGAACAAAGAAGCCATTAATCATCACTCCTTAATGGAGATATGGAACTAAACGAGCTAACAGCTTTCAAGTATAAGCAACTATAATCTAACAAAAACAAATGAAAGCTGCGATGTGGAGAATAAATTACAATCCAGGTATTGTATTAGATTAAAGTAATTATGACAATTCTTAGGTACAGTACCACCAAAATAAAAATCCGAAATATCGCGCAAAATTGTATATGTGTACGTTTGCGAGTACAGTGTTAAAACGCTGTAATATGTACATGTATATGCAATTAATCGTAAGCTACGGGTAGTGACTTTGATTTATACGTGCTTTAATTAATCCTCAATCTTCACAAAAAATTTTAATTCTTGAAAGAGCGCAGCATGCAGTGGGTAGTGAGTACTAGTGACTCTTAATCTTTTATTAAACTGATCGTGAATTTTTTGCGCTTGAGATAATAATTATTACGTATATCTATATAGATATACTACAATATGTACAATATGTGAATGTAAAAAAAGCCTTCGAAACCAGAAAACACCAAAAGATTTGGGATGAACCGATCATCCACGGCACGGTGGAAACCCTCCTGGCGGCAGCTCAGTCAGACATGTCAAGTGAAGCCCGTCTTCGAGGTGTGAGCACTAAGGATAATGGCGCATGGCTGGAAGCACTTCCAGCCGCATCCCTCGGTAACTTCCTAAACGACACCACACTCAGAATTGCTGTCGGCCTGCGTCTCGGCGTACCAGTCACCATTCCACACCGTTGCAATTGTGGTGAATGGGCCGATGCGCGAGGATACCATGGCCTGAGTTGTAAAAAAAGCCGGGGCCGGAAGCCCAGGCACAGCTGCATCAATGTCACTTTAAACGCGCCTTTGCTTCCGCCGGTATTGAAACAGAACTGGAACCACCTGGTACTTGCCTAACCAATGGCAAGCGCCCCGACGGAGTGACTTTGGTCCCATGGGAAAGAGGAAAGATGTTGACCTGGGACGCCACATGTGTGTGCACGGTAGCTTTGTCGCACATCGCGGCAACATCGAAGCAAGCGGGAGCAGCCGCGGCGCGCGCAGAGCAGGATAAAGTGGCGAAGTATCGGGAACTCACTCGAGATTACCTGTTCCGCGCATTTGGCGTCGAAACACTTGGACTGGTGACCGAAGTCGGGAAGATGATACAACAGGAAACAGGCGAGGTACGGGCGACGGAGTTTTTGCGCCAACGGATCAGCATTGACGTCCAACGCGGGAACGCGGCCTCTGTCATGGGAACAGCACCAGCATCGACCAACTTAGACGAAATGTTCTGTGTGATTAGGCCGCCCATTTCCGCAGTCGGCTGAGGCTGTGTATTCAGTACAATTCTTTCACTTTTATGGAAACTTGTGACTGTATTGTATCGCCAAATTGATTTAAACTGATGGAGGAATTTAAAAAAAGTAATTAATGCGTTAAAAATGTACGTACGTACCTATCTGTATCTGATGTTTATAGGGTACGGTAGTGAAACACCAACCGAAAGGAGACCCTTATTATTGCATAATTATCAGTATTATTATACTTTGATTACAGTAAAACTGAGTATGAACTGTAATTAACTGATTACCAATTTACCATCATCACCTGCTGTAAAGCGTGAACAATAAACTGCGGGTACTAAAAATACATTTTTTTAAAAATTTTCTACCCTGTTCCACTGTAACAGAACGTTCAAAATTGTCGAATAAATTATTCATTGCTCATGTGAAAGTTGCTGCCATCAAACTTATTAATTTAACTTAACAAAATTTCCAACTTATTATTGTATCAGAACATCATCGAAACTAAAAATCTCAAAACAGCATCTGAATAGGGGAACACACAAAAGCATGGAGCTCGGAATTTTGCTTCAGAGTTTAGTACATGCAAACAGAAACTGCGAGAACCATGTGATCTACTGGTAGCAATGACAACAGTCGTCATGTTGTCTGTACTCTGCACTTACATAATCCATATTCATACTTCATTGCCCAGAATAAAGAGAGTTGCAAACAGAATGCTCTGTTCAAGAAACTTCAAAAGCAACCACTCACCTTCTACTTCGTTACACCTCCACACGGCACAGAAGTCACCCAACGATGGACAAGCAAGTGGCTTTCCAAAATCGGAAATTTGAAAAGAAAATTCCCGTCCTGTTCACTAAATTCACAATGCATCCATGGGCAGCAAACAAAGGTGCAACCAAGTTTCCAATGACAAGAAATCTGAGCCAGAACGTATTTCCACAACCACAACAAAGCGAGTTTCGATGATTGTCAGGGTTACAAATTACAGTACAACTAACGGGAGAAAGACTGAAAGAGCGTAAAGCAGAGCAAATGAATTTCAGATCAATTCCAATGGTGGGACAATAAAGCAGTGATTATGCTTTCCAAAGCATTCAAATTTAGGAGTTTCGAAACGTTTCAAAATGATCTTCGCAGCAAGAAAAATAGAAACATGAGAAACATCAACAATGTGCCAAGGGCAATACGCTTTGTGCGCCACGGAAACGGCCGCCCGGTAGCGGACAATCAAGGCTTCTGTATAGTTAAGAGTTGCATCTTAGGCCATACTACCTCCGGGCGTCACTGTGAAATCTCAGCCACAAATACTGCGTGCTGGAGGTTCACAACGTTTCAGTTTTCGATTTTTTTGAAATTTTGTTTATTGTTTATTCACACGCCTATAAGCATTGTGGACATTGCGTTTACTGTTGTGTAAGATTTATCTCACTTATTAGTGGACGGTATCCAGAATTTATTCCTGAGAATGGAGTCGGACTCAACTTCAAGTCAGTCCGTGGACGATCTGGGGATGGAGCATCAGCCAAGTGGCAGCGGGAACGTCTCGCGTTCTGCATTTTCTTTACCACCCGATGAGGAACTGATTTTAATGTCCCTCACTCAGCTGAAGTACTACCTCGAATACGCAACATGTACAGAAGAAGAAGAAGAGCGCATCATGCAAAAACGGAAAAAGCTTCAGGCGAAGAAGGTAATAGCAACTCTGTAACTTCCACGTTGAGTGGCAATCTGAATTATTTCGTTGATGTCGACTGTATAATAATGTGATTTACAGTCATGCTTTCTTTTAATTTATGTGGTTAATCTCAGAAAAACTGAACCAGAAATTTATTTAAAATTAGGCTAATGAAAAACGCTCCATCAGAATGCAGCTGCAACGACAACAGGCTAAAGAGAAGATTGCCAACGAAAAACTGAATGGTGTTTACCGTAAGCTACTCAGCTGCTACTGTAATTAATTGTACATAATTACCACAGTTATCATGAGTTATGCTCGCCTTGATTGAAAATTATTATGCCATACATGTATTTTTTATAAGAAATTGTTTTTATGTCTCAGGTAATCCTTCTACATTGGAGACGCTCATCATAAACCGGTCTCCCCTGGTTAAACCGGCCTACGCCAGAAAGGTGTCCAAATATTTGGTCAGAACATTCAAAACCGAACCGGAGACGCTGCGGAAAATGTGCATCGCATTGTCCGCGGGTGATACTTCCGCTACGGACTGTGTTGTCTGCCGGGACGACCTTCACGTCAGGGTAACATGAAATTTGTTGCCAAAAGGTTTAACAAATTCGTACTTATTTTTTTCGCTGATTTTGAATTACTTTTTCAACACACTTTGATACATACTTTTTCTTTCAGCTTCATGGAAACGAAATTCCCCTGCACGAGGCTGTTATTCGAGCATTCCGGGGACCGGCGTTGCGGTTGAAGCAGCAGAAGACCTGCCGTTCGACAGACGGGGAGGTCTGTATCAATCCCTACCATTACGAGCGCCGGGCGAAAGCGAAGATGGTCCGCGGTTCCATCTGCGTTGTCTATGGTTGCAATAATCGCTCGGACGGGTCGTCCGGTCTGTCGTTCTTCCGCGTTCCTAAAAACCGCGATACCGAGCGGTACCGGGCCTTCTTTGCGTTTGCACGCCGACAAGATCTGGAACAAACGGGATTCCTCAACCATCACCGGATATGCAGTCAGCACTTCCGCCCCGAAGACATGAGACATACTGGGAAAAAGACTCTGTTGTTACCGACAGCTGTACCGACGCAAAGGTGTCCATCGAATTAAGATTGTTCGATTTCGTGTAGATTGGTTTTTTACTGCATTTTCTTTCATACAGCTGACACGTATGCGTCTCCAGTATTGCTACTTAAGCTGCTTTTTGATCGCCTTTTATGGATCTTGTTGAAGATTTTTGTATTTGGATTCGTTAAAAAAATACGCCTGTTCGCCGTTCGATCGATATCCGGATCCAAAAAAGCCAATTTATTTTGTACTTCCTTATTCCAATATTCGTTTATCTTACCATTAGTGAACAACAACCAGCATATTAAATTGCTTACAGGTGCATCAAATCCAGGGAAAGCATAATTATTTTATAATATTAATATTACGTAACAAACTGCCAGCAAAATGCGCAAAAAGAGAGATTTCCTTTACAAAAAATTATCCAAAAAGAAAACGCCAAAGCAACCTAATTCATATAACGTCCCATTTCCAGCACACGCTGCAAAATTAAACCGACAAACTGCACCACCTCCCCCGCAAACCCTTCTGAGAAACAAAACTCGAAAATGTTCCCATTTCACCAGTAATAATGGAACACGAAATCAATCCGCCAATACTCAACCATAACCGTCAAGAGAACTTGAAACAAACGCTATCTACAAGGATTATCTTCATTTCAGCTTGATGTTGCCCGAGAAGGCAAAGGCGAACTTCATGGGGCGCCCAATGTTCCAGTAGCGTTCGTGGACGTCCAGGAGGGTCAGGCTGTGCTGCAGGAGATGGTAGTCGTTCTTGGCCATCTTCAGGTAGATCTGCACTTTGCTCACGTCGATCCCGTTGATGTCCACGACGGAGCTGTTCTGGCGCTCCACCAGCAAACGGGTCAGGATGAAACGGCACACGTGATCGACTGCAAATCAAGATGCCGCATGTGACTGCTATTTGAAAATATGCGCTTTACTAAAATTCTCAACATGAAGAAATCTACACGCCGCAGAAGAGAAAATTCGGTACAAGGCGTCAACAGCAAAAATCGAACCTAACTAACTTATGTAGGAGTATCGCGCAGGCATAATATGCTTATGCCTGCGCGATACGAAACTAAAAATAAAGCGCACATTTTTCTTTAAAAAAGCTACAAGGCGGTAAATATTCCTCTGTGCATGTACAGTGTACACTCAGTACACTGAAGACGACAACTACAACACTCCACATATTAGCACTAACCGGTAAGAACAGAAAAACCTTAATACAATAATAACAAAACTAATAACAAATCAGGAAGGATTCCAATAACTCATAAACCAGAAAATTAATTAACAGATCGGAAAAATCATAACAGAAAATCATCATCTCTTTCTCAATCTTTCGTTTCGCAAATTGTCTCAATCAGGAAAAACCGAATTCACTAAAAGTATTTCAAACTAACAGAAGATACAGAACACATGCCATCCTAAAGCGCAACTTAATTTAACGATGAAAATGACCAGTTTCCAAAGAAATCAACAACCAAAAACCAAAATAATAAAAAAACGGAAACATTTCCTAGGAAGTCCCTCATCTCCAAGCGCTCAGGAGTAGGATTATGTAATTATTAATAAATCCCACATGGACTACCGTCTCTTACCTTTGGCACTGCCTTTCACCCGCACGAAGCGCTTGGCCGGCTTCCACTTCTCCAGCACCTCCGTCTGCCCGGCGGCCACCATCTTCCGCTCATACGGCCGCAACTCCATACACACCACCGGCACCCCGTCATCCTCCTCCACCGCGGGGGCCACCACCTTGGCCTGCGCCGGACCACTACCCCCCGCACCGCCACCCCCACCTGCTCCTCTTCGACGTCGTCGCGGCTCGCTCCCCGTGGCCAGCAGCGCCAACTTAGCCGCGTTCTGCTCATCCATCTCCCGGCGATTGGGGAACAGCACCCGGATGATGTCGTCGAACAGGGGATCGGGACGCAGGGAGCGCATGGAGATGAGCTTGGTGCGGCAGTTGGGGCATTCGCGGTTGCCGTTGCGCAGCGCCTGACTGATGCAGTCGTCGCAGAAACGGTGCAGGCACTCCTTGGTGGTGCGGGTGTTGCGCAGAATGTCCAGACAGATGGCGCACTGCAGCTCCTGCTCCAGGATGCGGCCGGTGGTGTGGACGATGCGGGTGTCGGTGGGCGGGATGTGCTGGGGGGTACGGTTCAGTTCATAGGGGTTGAGGGTCCATAGGCGCGCTTCCTCGTCCATCATGTGGCCCATAGAGAGATCGATGAAACAACAAACTCCAGAGTCGAGATCCCGATTTGGCAAGTAGTAGTACTGCACTCAAGGACTAACTAACGAGCAAACTGACGAAAGACTCGGGTAGGGAGACCGAAGAATTAAAAGATACAGCGGACACTTCTCAACGTGACATTCATGCGATTTTGGATCGGGGAGAATGTGCATCAGTTGAGCTAACAGATTCCCAGAAACATGCTCAAAGCAGCTGGAACTTTCCACACAACAACGTACACTGCGTAAGCGATGGTAGGTTGATTTTCTGGGACGAATGCACACATGGAGCTCAAAACGTCCCTGATTCATAAACGGAATGATGCTTCTACTTCAATCATAAAAAACTCCGGTGATTGATAAAAAGATTTATCTTGCATCCAGGGTCGTTGATCTGCCAATCTATTCCGCGATTCGTGAATCGACAAGAAACCATTTAGCACATTTACCATGTCATTACGCAGTCAAGCGTGACGCATGCAGATTTCATCAGCGGTAAAGATGATTTCGATTGGTAACAGATGTTTCAACCCGAAGACGTTATCGCGCTGTACGTATAAGGGCATCAATGTGTCGACGTACTGGGATATCGCTACATGAGACGGAATTATTTGTAGTGGAATTCCAACTTCTGCAGCCGGAAGTTGCAGCTGGTAAATAAAGCATGACTGGAACGTCAAAACAGGCATCCTTATTTTTCCTTAAACAGTGTAAACTGTAAAGTGCTACCATTTATCTGATTTATTAGCATAAAAATTACGTCATATAATTGTTAGACAGATCTGTTTTGTCAAGGTAGCTTAGTAAAATTTGCATTCGCAGCGGAAAGACAGCTGGAAAACACAAAATGGAAATGGTGGATGGTCTACCGATCAAGCGACCGCCGGAGGAGTAGCCAACACTGAACACTGCGACTTGACTCAAAATTTGTCTTTTATCTCCGCAATCGGAATGCCAAAACCGACTTATCAAAAATGCCAGCGTAAACAAAAGTTTGTTGCGGTATTCGCTGATAAACAAGGTGACTGAACTAACTTTATCACAAGCTTAAATCATCCTTGATTACCATTCCATCGATGACACAAGTTCTTATGACTTTTCCATCACAACTATAATCAGCGCGCTGCTGGAACACCAGTCTCCAATTTTAATTTCCTCCATACCACCATGGCATTCCAGCGCCTGCTCGTCTGCGCGTTTCTCGCCTGTCTTTTGGCCATCACCGCGTATTCTCGCGATCGTCTGGCGGCCTCGCGACGCACCGATCCACCCCCGTACAAAGAACTGTACTTCGATCAGGTGCTGGACCATTTTAACTACAACGCCTTCGACGTGCAGACCTTCAAGCAGCGCTACCTGATCTGCTCCAAATTCTGGAATCCCAATACGGGACCGATTTTCTTCTACACGGGCAATGAGGGTCCCATCACGTCCTTCTACGCCAACACCGGGTTCATGTTCGATATTGCGCCGCAGTTTGAGGCGCTCATCGTGTTCGCCGAGCATCGGTTCTACGGGAAGTCGCTGCCTGCGGGGCCGTCCAAGAGTTTCCAGGTAAGATCGGCAGTGGTTATTTGTTAGTCCGAAATTTTTTGAAAACATGCGTAATACTTAGCGATTGTATAATTATGAAATTCTTTTAATAGGATAAATGAAAAACAGATTTTGAGAAAATTTCCAGCGGGAAAACCAGTGAAATAAATCATTATTAACCATGCATTTTCAGTTTACATTTGCAGTTTTGCTGATTTTTTTCGGATATTATTGAATATTTAAATTTCATATTTGTTGTAGTATTTATTTGTTTGACTTTACGTGGAAGTTAAATCCATTTCGTGATTTTCATGATCAAGTAAATTAAGCAGTAAGCAATAAATTGCTTAAAATCAGCACGAAAGTGGATGGTATAGGGATTCGTTTCATTGGATATGGGTTTTGAACTTTTAACAAATACATAGTTCCGCTGTTTTGCGCATTATATGTTTTCCATGCAGTAATAAAATTGTAACTTATTCCTGGTTAAAAAAAACTTGTGAAGCAACATTTTGCCCCAGAAAACACCCACTCTGCCGCAGAACTATATAATAAAATTAACAGCAATATTAATAAAAGTGCTTCTTTTAAAACTAAATTAATGTTCATTGGCAAAAACGGATGATTTTGTAAGTGTGTGTGAAGTCGGCATGTTCTTTTTTGCAGAATCCCTACATCGGGCTGTTGACGGTGGAACAAGCGTTGGCCGATTACGCCGTCCTCATGGATGCTGTCACCGCACAGCTGAACGCGACAAATACTCCCATCATTGCCTTCGGCGGAAGTTACGGCGGCATTCTGAGCTCGTACATGCGCCAGAAATATCCCAATATCATCGACGGAGCGCTGGCGGCCAGTGCGCCGGTATTTGGGATTGCCGATATCGGCGACAATCGGACGTTCTTCGAGGATGTCACCAAATATTTTTCCGGTACGCTTATGAAAATTTTGATGTTATTACACAATCCAGTCAGTCTAGCACAAAGAAGACGCCCCGACAATAATCTACGGTATTAAAACTCTAAAAACAACCGTATCTGTTGTAGAATAGTCTTTTTATTATTTTCCGGCTTTGTCTGTATTTAATATTTGTCATTTGTTTTTTTTAAATTAAATGTAGACTTTTCGGTCCTTGATGGAATTGGAAATTTGGAATGCTGATTAATGCGCAGCGTTCAGCCCGGTTCAAAAGTAAAATAATATAAATATTTCCTTGTATGGCCTAGCCACCCTGACGACGGCTGATTTTGTATTGAAATCTGTTGTAATTTTGCAGCTGTTCCCGGGTGTGGCGATCGTGTGCGCGAAGCCTTCACCGCCATGGACACCCTCTCTGGACAGGGCCCCGACGGCTACCGTAACCTTAGCATCACCTTCAACCTGTGCGATCCGCTGAACCCGAACGGTGGCTACAAGCAGTTGGTGGGATGGGTGCGGAATGCCTTCGCTTCCATGGCCATGGTCAACTATCCCTACCCGGCACAGTTCCTGGCGCCGCTGCCCGCTTGGCCGGTCAATGCTTCCTGTCAGTACATCACCGGGAATCCCAAGGGAGCGCTCGCCGGGCTGGCGCAGGCGGCCAATTTGTTTTATTCCGTAAGTGACAATAAAAGGGTTGAAAAAACACGCTGAAAAAATTTGATGAATTATTGAATTTTTCCTTGTTTGCTGCGATTACTGTTTTACGTTGATAACCGGTACATAAATTAATGTACCATTTTGTCAAGATTAATTAAGTAAAAGGTGAATTAAGTAACGAAGCATTAAATTAACGCATTTACTTCAGAATTAACGGATTTTCTGAAAAATAAATTTAAAGATTTGTCTTTTTTCGTTATTTTCGACGAAGTACGTCACTCTTTCACTCTTTCTTGTACGTTGACAATCTGATGTAATTTTAAAAAAATTACAAAAGGAATTTGGTGTGCAGTTAATAAAAAATAAATATTTTAAAAAAAGACAGCTTCTTTGGAAAAATTGACAGATTCTTTGGAAAAACTGGAGACAAATTACGTTAGAAGTTAGAACCACTACTTTCGTAGTTTCGTTGTATTCTGCGGTAACTTTTGTACGTTTGCAGCTTGATGTGAATTAATGAAGTGTTCTGTAGACCAGTGAAAAATGCCACGATATCTGGGCGGAATTTGACGACTGCGCCGATCCCACCGGCTGCGGCACCGGCACGGACGCCACTGCCTGGGACTACCAGGCCTGCACCCAGATGACCTTATCCGGTGGCACCTACGGCGGCCAGGAAGACTTCTTCCCCTATCTACCCTGGACGAAGGATCTCCGTGCCGCCTACTGCCAGAAACACTACGCTGTCGTGCCGCGCGATTCCGCTCTGCGCATTGAATACGGCGCGCAACGCCTGTCCGCCGCCTCCAACATCATCTTTTCCAACGGCCTGCTGGATCCTTGGCACCGCGGCGGCGTGCTGCAGAATGTGTCGGAGACAGTGGTGGCCGTGCTGGTGGCGGAGGGAGCGCATCATCTGGATCTGCGGGCGGCGGATAGTCGGGATCCACCCAGTGTCATTGCGGCGCGGCAGCAGGAGGTGGAGCTGATTAAGCGGTTTGTCAAGGATGGTGGAAGCGGCGCAATGCGGTGTAGGATTGTGATTTTTTATTGTGATCAAACCGGTGTCTCCTTGGTTCAGACTACCCTTTTATTTTTCTATCAGATGAAATTTTGTATTTCCTGTTTTTTTGTTTATTTTTAATACTTGGACTTGATGATTAAAAGAGCGCTGCGATCCGTGACTGATGGAATGTTCGGTAGGTAAAAAAGCACACTTGAGTAACAAATCGCCCACACTGATAGTTTATCCAGCCTAGTAAAAATATGTAAAAAGGCTCCGCATCCGTTTAACACTAAGTCGAAACACAAAAAAAAACCGCCGCAGCAACGAAGCAGCTCAAATTTAGTTACTGCTCTGGCAAGATCAAGGGCAGGAAATTTTAGATAAATGATTTTATCAAGTAATTGACACTCAAGTAACCTTTACGCATAAAAAACATAAATTCGAACTTTGCGACAAGGCTGAATATAATGCGATATTTGATCCATCCGTTACTTATATCAGCCGACGTTGAACCACAGCAGCCGATCATCATGTAGTCGAGATTTCTTAACAATTCCCGATACGTAAACTCACGCAGCCAAAATTGGACCGGGCGATGAGCATCTGGCTGGGATGTGTGGTCCACGTATCGGAGAATTCGTCATACTGTATACTTCAATACTGCTGTGACAAGCCACCCTATTGAAACCTCCTCCCAGGACGTAGATTTTATCGTCCACACAAACGGTGCCCGCAGCATGTCTCGCTATCTTCATGTTGCCTGAAACACTCGTAATATTTACGATTAAAACAGTACCTGGATGTGTGTTATATCATTTAGACAATCGATTTCTTCAGTCCAAACAGTTCAAATTCTGTTCAGTCAATCTTACTTTTGGTTAACCACTGATCAGTTCGCATATTGTACGCTTCAACGCAGGACAAATCTTCATTCTGAGCTGAAATTCCTCCTGCAGAGTAAAACAGGACGAAGTAATTTATTACGGGACATTAAGTAACGTAATTATTGTGAACTACATGTATTGACGATCTTGAATTGTACCAACCACAGGACAATAAAGGCTGAGACACAGACTGCTATCAGCATACCGATGACATAAATGAGACCACTTGGTCCGACACAGGCCGAGCACATACGCCGAGCAGTAGGCATACTCGCCAGTCGTTTCCATTCATTCGTTCCGGGATCGTAGCGCAATGCCGAAGCCGTCGTGCCAGCAGAAACGTCGGTTTTTCTTCCGCCAAACATGTACAAGTGCCCATTATAAGCCACATTGGCGAAAAGGGTCCGCGGCATCGGTAAAGATCCAACGCATGTCCACTTTTTTACAGATGGGTCATAACGTTCAACCGTGCAGGTGTACCCGCCCGTACCATCCGATCCTCCAAACACGTATGTGCTGCTATTGAGCACTGCAGCACCGTGGCCGTAACGGGCCCCTGGCACGGGCGCCGTTGCTTCCCATTTACCACCCCGGATATCGTACCGGTACGTGTCCCGCAACACGTTATTACGACCATGATACCCGCCACAAAGAAACAAGAACGTATCATCCAGATTGACAAGACCAGCGTCCAAGACATTGTAATCAAACGGTGCTTTTTCCCAGCTAGTCCACGATGCACGAATCGGGTCAAAACATTCAGTGGAAAGTATCCCGTTGTGGTTGGCGGCATATCCTCCAACGCATACAATAACCGTCGTTAATCCTGTTAATCATCGTTATTACAAGGTCTGATCATTGACTGAGCTTTACAGAAGCAATAGGCAGCCAACTACTCACCACCTCGGTTTCTCGGGCGTGTCTGGCTGGCTACGGCGTCTTGTCGGCGGTTTGGTATCTGGTTCAAGTAGGCTTCCTCTCGCAATCGTTCTCCAGCCGGGCTGTCTTTGATGGCGTTCATGAGGGCCAGAAAGTAGTCGGGATGCGATGCGACACTGAGCAATGGTTGCCGAACAAACTGAACAATATCGTACAACTGTGGACGCCGCTGCTCAAGGTCATAGTGCAACCAACTCATTACGGCACTGAGTACGTCATCCTCGCGCTCCACCACCAAGTTGTCCGAACTGACTAACTCGATTACCTGCAACAGCGGCAAAACTGCATATGACTGATGACAAAATAACTGCACACTATACGGAATAGTTGCAATTATACCAGTAACGTCACGACAACGGACAAAATATTGCATAATTTCTTTTATACTTATACCAACCTTGTCCTTGTTGAGCTGGAGAAAACCAGGACGTTGGAAAATCTCAGCAAAGTGTCGAAGAATTATTTCCTTGGCGCGTTTGGTTAACGCTGGTCGATGTGACTCGCAGTGAAGAGAACTGAAAATGGACAGACACGTGGTCTCGGAGAAATGACGTTCCAAAAAGTCCCAGCATGTGTCGGCTAAGGGGGCAATGTCCAAAAAAAGTGCTGCAGCCAGCAGTGAAGAGACATTGTTATCGTCAACGGTGATTTCAGCTGAGTAGAAATAATCCACCACACTGCAAACAGTTGTAATAATACAAGCTTCCTCATTTCCAAATTTACCGCAATACGTAGTAGAATAGCTGAATTTCTCTTTTCCTATTCGTATCTGTACACTGTACACTGTAAACCCGCAGACTACAGGAACCGTCACCAAAATGAAAGTACAGCGAAAATACCCTATCCTTCTGTCAAGGATTCTAATAAATCACCCGCTATACTCGAAGTTTCAAGTCGACTCACTTTTTCAGGGCAGCCGAAGATAATTCTTGCAGTATGACTTCTTTCTCGTGGCATTCCTTTAGACCAGCCGTGAACATGTTGCGGAAAAAGGAGCTGTGGGCGCTGAGTACGATGCGGTGGCACGGAATGCCCTCGGTCGAATCGTTTCCAGTCACAATCACATCGCAAAGCACATCGCTGGCACGCAAGTTCTTTATCGTTGTCAGAAAGTGGTTGGCATCCATGGAGGTGCGCACGGCATGGCTTTCTTCAACACGTTGGTTTTCCGCGTTCTGCCCGCAGTCAGAGACGGAATCTGTGGCCATCGCAGTTCGCAAACTCATGGACAGCCCGAAACCAGAAAGTACTGCTTAACTTCTAGAAACCGTGATGAATCGTAATAATCGTAATTGTGTGCGCGGATCTGCTTAACGGACAGGTTCCATGGAAAAAAATAGATTAGCTGTATTCTGCCTGATAGCAGTTTAACTGATTTTTGAGGCAGAAAAAAGTGTGTACAGTACTAGCACATGAAATGCAAGCGAATTCTGATCGGAATTAGTGTTAACGCGCAGTCATGCCTTAAACTGCGCATTGGACGGATTTGCACCGCGAGGATGGCAGATGGCTGATGCTGGTACGCGGTGCTCTGTTCGTCATTGGAGATATAAAGGACTGGTACTCGACGACAAGAGTGGACGTCCACTGAAATAGCCGTACGACGTACGTACAATACTTTTGTGTTCTGGACCAGCGACACTCACGGTCAGCTGAGACATACTATACAGTGCTGCTTTTGAACGTTTGGGCAACTACGCTTTGTACAGTACATATGGTATTGGCTGCTCGATTGGCTATTTTATGCTGTAAGTATTTAATTTGAATTTTGCACCGACCATTACAGGATGAAGTTCGACTGACCAGTGAGGATGGGCTGGTTAAAAACTGTAATTTATTACAGTATAAAATGCAGGTACTATACGTATGAAACGCTCTAACCTGTAAGTATTATTTCGTTCGGTGAACACAGTTTGATTAAGCATTGTAGACTGACCTTTGGCATAATTACAATCTTAAAAAGCACCGGTTGATTGCCAAAACTGTGCGAGTATGTATGATCCGTGGAAAAGCTTCCAGAGCACAATATGGCATTGCTGTAATAACATTAAGTCGAAAACAAAGAAAACTGGCCCAGAAATAAAATAACTCAAATTACGATATACGATAATACGTACTCGTACCCCTTCTGTCTGATACAAACCGGTTGAATTATGGCCTGGGCATTTGTTGATTGCTATAATAAGAATTACAATGTCAAGTAAGCAAAGTACACTTCTACATGATGCACAAACTTCGGAAATACGCAAAATATAAGCTTCGACCAGTGCGCCATTATCCACCCGCACAGCAGCCTCGAACCACAGCTGGCGTTGTGCAGTCATGATTTTCTACAGTTTCGCGATACGTAAGGTCACGCAGCCGAAATTGGCCCGTGCAGTGGGCATCTGGCTGGGATGTGTGGTCCATGTATCGAAAATTTCGTCATACACTTCAATACTGCTGTGACAAGCCCAATCATCGTAACCTCCTCCCAAGACGTAGATTTTATCGTCCACGCAGGTGGTACCCGGGGCATGCCTCACCATGCCCATGGAAGCTGAAATAATACATTCGAAAAATATAGATATTTCTGATATAATATCTATTCGTTTAGTTCCCAAGTTAGTGTTAGCATTTCAAAATTCAGTGCAAAAATCCTGTGCAAATCAATCTTACGCTTGGTCAACCATTTATCGGTATGCGTGTCATATGCCTCAACGCAGGCCAGATCTTCCCCTTGTGCTGAGATCCCACCTGCAGGACAAAAAACAAGTAGGTAGTAAATCTTATTGACAATATTTATTAATTATGTTGATGTAAGCTGTAGCACTGATGCTTAAGTACAAGCGTACCAATGACATAAATTAGACCGCTTGGTCCGACACACGCCGAGCAACGACGCCGTGCAGTAGGCATATTCGTCAATTTCCTCCATTGATCTGCTAGGGGATCGTAGCGGAATACAAACCGCGTCGTCTGGTCGTTACCAGTACCTCCGCCAAATATGTACAGCTGCCCATTGTAAGCCACACTGGCAAAGCAAGAGAGCGGCACCTGCAAGGGTGCGACAGATGTCCACGTATTTGTCAATGGGTCGTATCGTTCAACCGTGTCCGTCGACTCGTATCTGCCCATGCTGTTAGATCTACTGCCTCCAAGTGCATAGATGCTGTTATTCAGCACGGCCACACCGTGACCGGAACGGGCCGTTTGCATGGGTGCTACTGCTTCCCATTTGCTAGGATTGACATCGTATCGATGTACACTCGCCAAAGTCCTACGGGTATGCCACGCAAATCCGCCACAGAGAAATATGTGCTTATCATCCAGGTTGACTAGACCGACGTCCAATACATTATCATTAGATGGTGCTTTTTCCCAGCTAATCCAAAATTGACGAATCGGGTCAAAACATTCAGTCAAAAGTGTTGTTTTATGGTTGTTGGTAAATCCTCCGACGCACACAATTACTGTTGTTAATCCTGTAAATACCGTAATAAGGTATGCTCATTAGTCATTACTTATAGAACCCTTAAGAACCGAACGTCGTTGATTACCGCATCGATTTCTCGGACGTGCCTGGCAGGCAGCGGCGTCTTGCCGGCGATTGGGTATCTGAATAAGGTATTCCCCATCTCGCAGCTGTCCTCCAGCCGGGCTGTCTTTGATGGCGTTCATCAGGGCAAGAAAGTAGTCGGGATGCGATGTTACACTCAGAAGCGGTTGCCGAACAAATTGAACGACATCATACAACTGCGGACGGCGGTGCTCAAGGTCATAATACAGCCAACGCATTACGGCACTGAGTACGTCCTCCTCGCGTTCAACCTCCAAGTCGTCTGAACTGATTAATTCGATTACCTGCAACAAAAAGTGTGACGCTTGGATAAAAGTATATCAAAACAAACACAATAGTGTCTAATCGGTTGACCTTGCCGGGATTATGTTTGTTTTGACTTGCTAATCATAAACGTATTATAAGTACTATGGATGCAGATTTATCGGAAGCTGGCCATGCTGCGTGACTGCGTCTAATCTGACTTACATGTTGTTACTGTGGACATAAACATTCATATAACGACCTACGCATCGATTAAAACATTAATAAACTGAGCTACTTTTCTCGGTTCTGACGATCGCAGTCACAAGTTAAAACTGCAACTATATGGTGACCTTGCACCTTTCCAAGCTGCATACTGCATACCTAAAAGCTGCTAACTCCAAGCGCTGCAGTTGAATAGCAGGTAAGTCATTCGAGTTAAGATGCATCGGTCGAGTTATAGCATTAAACGATTGACTGACTGAGTGAAGCAGCATCGATCTCGTTGAAATTTTGAATGATAATATTTAAAGAACCTGTATGGTAACCACAGCGCTGCACAAGTTTCCCATTTAGTACCAACCTGGTCTTTGCTTAGCTGCAAAAAAGCTGAATTTTTGGAAATATCAGCAAAGTGCCGCAGGATTAGTGTTCTGGCCCGATCGGTCAACTGTGGTCGGTGCGTTTCGCAGTGAAGAGAGCAGAAAACGGCTAAACAGGTGTTCCTGGATAAATGACGTTCCAAAAATTCCCAGCACGTTTTGGCTAAAGGAACAGTGTCTAAGAAGACTGATGCAGCAAGCAGCGCATGGATGTTGCTATCGTCAACGGTGATTTCTGAGGAGTAAACGTAATCCACCACACTGCAAGAATTGTCATCAGTATTGTACAAGTAAACATCTTCATATTTACCACATTAAGTAGCTGATCAATGGTTGTGAATGTGAATTGTACTGTTAGTTGCCTTAATATGTCTTTCTACTGTTACAGCGTCTCTTAAGTTTTTTGCAATGCGTTAATTATAAGTCAGCCTACTTCTGCAAAACTGCCAAAGATAATTCTTGTAGTTTGACCTCTTTCTCGTGGCATTCCTTGAGACCAGCGGTGAACATAGTGCGGAAAAACGTACTGTGGGCGCTAAGTACAATGCGGTGGCATGGAACTCCTTCGGTCGAATCGTTTCCGATTACGATCACATCGCACAGCACGTTGCTGGCTCGCAAGTTTTTAATCGTTGTAAAAACTTGGGATGCATCCATGGATGTGCGCATAGTATAGCTGGTTTCGCCTACATCCTGCTCAGAGACGGAATTTGTAGCCATAGCAGTTTGCGGACTTATCGAAAGACCGAAATCAAATTTACTCGTGGTGAGTACTGGCTTCTGGAAACCACGATGATAATTGCGGAACGGTGTCTTATTACTTAATGCGCAAGATATTTATTTTGACGTCAGATCAGCAGTTGCAAACAAAATCACTCAGTTTTCCAAAAGTTGCTTGCTTTCCGCTAGCATATACGTTTCTCAATCATGTTTATTGAGTCTCAATGAACACTGATTCTGAACAACACCACATTACCGAAAAACAGGAAAATGATAAGGCATTTACGATAGGAACCGCTAGCTAGCGATAACGCATATCGCATGTGTAATACACTGAGTTCACGTGTTTATTGTACTTCTAATACTTTCCTATTTCTATCCCTTGTCCTTGTCTTCTCAGCAACTTCTCTTGTGTTTTCCCTGTTCTCTAGTTACGATTCCTCAGTTTCCTTTCAGTTGTTTTCCTGACCAGTGCGATACAATAAAGATACGATTCCTACGCATACCAATACATGACAGCATGCTCGCTATATCGCATGTTGGCGTCCAGATAACAGGAAACCAGCTACAGCCGGCTAAGCGTGCATTCGCCGTTCGGTCTCCTGCAAACTGGGATAAGTTTTTTAGTTAGATTTCTCGTGTTGGAGTTACATACATCAATTATTTCGAAATTTAAATACAGATACGCACGCGTAATTGATGGTCTTACGTGTTAGCCAACAACAACTGGTCTGCACAGTGTCAGACAATAATAATTATGGCGCGGCCGTAGAAGGTGGAGTCGAAAAAGATGTTTGTGAAGAACGGATGGAAGCGGCGCAATGGTAACCTTGCAGTTGAGGATCGTTGTGAAATCACGATTAGTACGTGAAAACCATCGGCTGTAATGCAAAGCTCGACCGCTATGGATGCCGGAAGGCGGATAATGACTTAGTGGTCGCTAGCGCTGAACTTCTTTAGCATGTTGTAAAGTCTAAGTTTACTGGAATCGGAAGTGTGCGATGCATTTCCATACAATACAACAATAATTATTATGCGGCAGCGTCAAAGGGAATTTTTTACTGTGATTAACTGCTTGTTATCAGTTGTGCACCCCTGTTTCTTGAAATAAAAGAGTACTTACCAAAAAATACAAAACAATGCCAAACCACTACCATTTCCTACAGCCGCCACATTCATTTTAGCCTGTGGGTTGTGAAATTCGAAACAAGCTGACAAAGGAATTTTTCAGTTTTTTGGGCTGTAAAATTTTTGAAAAGTCTGGGGAAGCGCGTTCTGGTTCGTTTTTGAAACCGCGCTTCAGTAGTGCTGTTGTTCGTGATTTAATGCTTATAGGGCGGCAGTTTTTGGTACATTGTCCCGTGCAAAACCCAATGATAACGTTAAAGACGGACGTATTGGCTGCTTCGGTGTTAACCCTTAATAAATTTCTTTAGCTGTAGTGTCTGGTTGTAGCCATGGAATATCGCTATTAGAATACATGCTGGAAATAACCGACTGCTACCGCCCGAATAAGTAAGTACCTATCTGGGCGTTAACAGTTGGTTAGCTGGCGGTTAACTTTAGTATAAGTACACGGTACACCGAAAACTGTACATGTACAGCAGTACTTTTGCATAACATATAAATACAATGGACTTTATAAATGTAGTATTAGCACCCGCAGCCGATAGCGCATTGCATGCGGGTGCGAGCTGGAGAAGAAACGTTTTCGCGGCGTTCGTCACGGATTCGGCATTCTGTGTTTGTGGAGCAAGTATGTATTGGAACTCCGAAGAAAGTATGCAATGTTATACTGTAGACCCAAACTGTAAGTACTTGCATTATCGCTTCGAGCCTTCGCTGATGTGCTACTCAAAATGTTTTACAAGGGACTTGCAGCCTATTTAACGGGCATACTTCTACAGATCGCCATCAAATAGTCGCGTATAAATATTCGGCGTTGGCAAAATTCATTTCATTGCTCGACAACTTGTCTTCGTTTATTACATTACTGTATACGTTTTCACGGTGAAGGAGGATCGGGGTATCGGAGTCATGCGATTACGCTCCTTTGCGTACCCTCGTTTACTGTCTGCGATTCGCAATCAATAACACGGCGAGCATGCAAAGAAGCGGCCACCGATGGCTGTATTAGCGATGATAATGGCCATTGGATTGTGTTGTGTTTCCTTGTGCAGATTGCCTACTCCAGCCGCTTTTTTATTGAGTAGCGTGAAAAATATGCTGCACCAGTTGCGCTGCCAGGTTCGGAATCAACATGAACAAGACTCTGTACTGTATAGTGTGCAGTGCACTTAATACTAAAATTAATCTATTAGTCGGATTCCGCTTTTACTTGTATGGTACGAATTACGTTCTTGTATGACATAAGTCGACCCATTTTAAGCAAACACCATTGACTGGTCGGTGCTACTTGTACATATGCGTAACTTAAATATAAAAATATGCGTAGCTTGTATAAATTTTTAATGTTTAAATTTTAACTGTAACTTTCTAATCTTAAGTACGAGTACTACTCGTATTTATATAATTTCCGATCCTGTTTTTTTTACTTATCAGTAGTAATCTGCGTGCTCCAGTTGTCGTAATGATTGGCATACGTTCTTGATAAGCAAATAATGCTGCGATAAAGGGGGAAAAACACCCTGAACCACTTCCATGTACGGTACTGCTACTACTACTTACCATTAGTGTCAGCTGGAGTGTGACGTTGTAGCTAAATATGGCCGAGAACTATTGTGACAGACTGACAGTTGCCAACAAAATCAGTCAATATGTTCCAAAATTTGTCTTATGTGCGCAAATACTTGCAAATACTTTGAACGTGCAAATACTTGCAAATACTTGCAAATACTCTCAAACGAAAATGGATTAAGGCTTCATTGGTTCTCGACTAAGGCTTGGCCGAATTTTGTAGCACTTCGCAAAAGCACGGTGCGAGTAACTCAGTGACAATTCAGGTGCTATCCCGACGATCCATCTTTGCAAATCACACCGAATTCCCGATCCTAAACGTGCGTAACACTGCGTATATGCATGGCAAGATGTACATAGAGGCACTATCCGTCACATTGTTCTTTGCGGCAGAGCAGCTAAGATACTCGTTTACTACATATGGGAGGGCTTTATTGGTCAAATCAAAAACGCAATGCATAAACATGAAAAGAAACACATTAGACTATAACAGACAATTTTTTACTACTACTACATTGTGTTCTCTATTACTAGGTTCATGCAATACCTTTCTATTTTGCTTTAACTCAAGGCATACAATGGATGTGGATTAGGTGATCGACTTCTAAGTACTGCATCCTGTGACCACAACCAACAATTTTCGTTATACTCCTCACGTTTACGTGTGCAGCGTTGTCATTGCTGCTCACAGTCTCACTTAACATGTTTCGCGTCATACCGAAAGAACAATGTACGTACCGATACAATGTACTTCTTTCGGTACGACGTGAACGTATTTTAATACATTCCTATATAGTATACAATGTATTTTAATTCCACTACCGTTGTAACACAACTTTTTTTACATAAGAAATGGTAACTACCGTGTGACATCCGTTAAAAAGTTGTAATCTGTAATCCGATCTGGTATGCATTTAGCAGTTGATGGTCCACGTATACAGTACTTCTACGCATCATAAATCGCTAACATGTGTACTCGAAGCAATGCTTGGTGCTTTTCTTCAACACATCGAACGTAATCCAAAGGAATTTACAGTATTGTATGCTAAAAAAATTTGGAGATAATCCAGAGCGTTAACTGACATTTCACACCTAGTCAAAAGCAAAAAACTGCCCCAAATATGAAATAACGCAGATCAGCCATTGCTCGATCAGGAATGTTGAATTACAGCCATAGCGCTTCGTGATTTTTGTAATAATGGTTTACGTTACGAGGCGTTACCGGCAGCCTCGCTTGGAAATCTGCTGACGGACACTACCCTGAGAATCGCTGTTGGGCTTCGCCTCGGAGCAGCTATCGTCACTCCATACCGTTGCGTCTGCGGGTACTGGGTGGACGCCCGAGGCTACCATGGCCATAGCTGCAAGAAAAGCCGAGGCAGAAAGCCCAGACACAGTAGCCTGAACACGTTGTCTGTAAACGAGCATTCGCATCAGCCGGAATCGAAACAGAACTTGAACCAGGGGGCTTGTGCCGAACGAATGGCAAACGACCGGATGGCGTCACGTTGGCTCCATGGGAAAGAGGAAGAATGCTGACTTGGGACGTAACCTGCGTCTGTACGGTGGCCTTATCGCATATCGCGGCAACATCCGTGCGAGCTGGAGCAGCGGCAGCAAAAGCTGAACAGGATAAGGTAACCAAGTATCAGAACATCACCCATGAGGCCATGACTACTTGTTTAGCGCTTTGGGCTTCGAGACGCTAGGACCCGACGAACCCGTCTGCTCACGGAAGTGGCTAGGAGGGTACGGCAAGAAACCGGCGAGGCACGAGCATCGGAGTATCTACGCCAGCGGATCAGCATAGAAATCCAGCGCGGGAACGCGGCCTCCGTTCAGGGAACAGCTCCACCGGGAGCGAATTTAGATCAGTTGTTCTCTGTTCTTAGACCTCCCGAGGCTGTTTTGTGCTGATTGTGTGTACTTCGTTGTGATTTTATTGTTTTTCTGTTAGCGGAATGGGTACAATTAAAGAGCACATGGTTTTTGGGCGTGCGATATACTTTATGACATGTCATATGTAATTTTCTCTCCAATGTACCGATAAAGCGATAACTTGATAACTGTCCGCCATAGCAGCCGACTACTAAACCGCATCAGCTAGTCTTCGTGTACAGTATAGTCATGATGTATTAACGATTACCAACACGTAAGGTCACGCAGCCAAAGTGGGAGCGAGCAGTGGGCAACTGGCTGGGATGTGTGGTCCATGTATCGGAGTTTTCGTCGTACACTTCAATACTGGTGTAACAAGCCAGTTCATCGAAGCCTCCTCCCAGGACATAGATTTTATCGTCCACGCAAGCGGTGCCTGGAGCACGCCTCACCATGTTCATGTCATCTGAAATTGTTTTGGAGGAATACGAGTATTAATAACCTGTTCATTATACTGTATATTATATTTTATGACCAAATATAAGAATTGCTAGATGATTTTAGTTATTCTCTAACAGTGCAGGCTTATTGTTATGAAGAGGGATATTAAACTTATAAAGGTTATTAACAAAAAAACTCAAAATGATTATTTCAAAATATTTTGTGTAGTCGGTCTCACGTTTGGTCAGCCACTTGTCAGTATGTGTATCGTACGTCTCAACGCAGGCTAAAATTTCCCCATGTGTTGACACGCCACCTAGAAAGCGACAGACCTAATTAATGACTTTTAACTGTAAAGTAAATGCTTACGACATTAAGTGCAGTAGTTATCTACCTGATTTACGACATTACTTGCAGTACAGTAGTTATATTAGTACTAGTATTCGAGCAGCTGATTAATCTCGAGCCTACCGATAACGTAAATCAGATCATTCGGTCCGACACATGCCGAACAATTTTGCCGTGGAGTCAACATATTCGCCAGTCTACTCCATTGCTTCGCTACGGGATTGTAGCGGAATGCCCAATATGTCGCCACGCCTTCCAACGAACTTCCACCAAACGTATATATGTGCCCATTGTAAGCCACGCTGGCGAAAAAGGCCAGTGGCGCCGGTAAAGGCTCAACATATGTCCATGTATTTGTTGGCGGGTCATATCGTTTAATCGTCGCATCGGAACTGCCCGAGCTGTTAGACCGAATACCTCCAAATACATAGATGTGATTATTCAGCACTGCCGCACCGTGCCCGCAACGAGCTAGTTGCATAGGTGCCACTGTTTCCCATTTTAAACTACGAACGACGTCGTAGCGATGAACATCTGCCAACATGTCTTGAGTATGCATCGTCATTCCTCCACAGACAAACATGTACTGATCATTCAGGTTGGCAAGACGAGCGTCCCATACATTATCACTAAAAGGTGCTTTCTCCCAGCTTGTCCAAGATGGGCAAACGGGGTCAAAGCATTCCGTAGCAATGACTATTCTTCGATTGTTGGTGCATCCTCCAACGCACACAATAACTGTCGTTGATCCTGTTCTCGGGCGTGTCTGGCTGGCAGTGGCGTCCTGTCGGCGGCTCGGGATCGCGTTCAAGTACGCCGCATCACGCAGTTGCTCTCCGGCTGGACTGTCTTTGATGGCATTCATCAGGGCCAGAAAGTAGTCGGGATGCGATGTTACACTGAGCAGTGGTTGCCGAACAAACTGAACGACGTCGTATAACTGGGGACGCCGCTCCTCGAGATCATAGTTCAGCCAGTTTGTTACGGCACTGAGTACGCTTTCTTCGCCTACCACCACCAAGTCGTCCGAAGATATCACCTCGATTATCTGCAACATTGTCAGCGGAGTGGGGTGTCAGAATAAGTACGATAAGCAAAGATCCTTCCCAATAATCCGATACCAACCTTGTCTTTGTTCAGCTGCAAAAACGCGGATCTGTAGAAGTTTCGGTAAAATGTCGCAGAATTATTCTTTTCGCTCGTTTGACCAACTCTGGTCTATGTATTTTGCAATGAGGAGAGCAGAAAATCGTCAAACAGGTGTTTCTGGATAAACGGCGTTCCAAAAATTCCCAGCATGTTGTCGCCAAAGGAGCAACGTTCAAGAAGAGTGCTGCAGCAAGCAGCGAGTGGACATTGTCATCATCGATGGTGATTTCAGAGGAGTAAAAATAATCCACCATACTGCAGGAATTAATCAATGATGCCTGCTTACCATATTTCCACATTGAACCAATTGTAAGTAGTTAAATAATAAATACAACAGGACTCAGCGCTAGCGACCTTGCGTAGCGTTTGAATTGTAGTATGTAAATGTACGTACCGTATGTACTATGAAGGCCGGTATTAGTCAGTGTTGTAAGTTGTAACTAATTTTTAATGAGCCAAAGTGTTGTACTGAGAGATTCATGTCGTTTTATATGTACCGTGTTACCGTGTAATAACTGACCGGCATAACTTATATTAAGAAATGCGTATTAAAGGCTTTGCCGGATACGCTACCGTTAGTTATAATTTTTAAGTCCATATATTCCTCATCTATTAGTTATTAATCAGCCATATAAATCTTACGCATTGCTTTAATATTATTAATTTAACCCACTTTTTTAGGACAACCGAAGACAATTCTTGCAGTGGGACCTCTTTCTCGTAGCGTTCCTTGAAACCAGCGGTGAACATAGTGTGAAAAAAGGTGCTGTGGGCGCTAAGAACGATGCGGTGGCACGGAATTCCTGCGGTCGAATCGTTTCCGATTACAATCACATCGCACAGCACGTCGTTGGCCCGCAAGCTCTTAATCGTTGCGAAAAGTGCTGCGTATCCATAGATGTACAAGTACATGCGGCACGGGCCGCACGGCTATCTCCAACACGCTGGTGGCTTCCTGTCTGCTCAGAGACAGAACTTGTGGCCATGATAAACAGCTGTTTTTAGTTTCGGTTCAAGTCAGAATAATGAAACTCAAATTAGGCACTTGTTCTGCTAATTACGTATTGCGCACACTGCAAAGTAACCAGCAGATCGTCACACCAACAAGACAAAATGTAAAAACTGCGAGCTGTCTGCTACACAAACATTTTTCTTACTGAAAGCTGAATTGTGAAGCACAGAAAAATAAAACTAACAACAAGTACACAGGGAAACGATGATAAAGAATTACCGATCGGAATTAAAGATAACGCGCAGATAATGCATGTTGCTTCACCAGTGTACGTACAGCTCCAGCGCTTCTTTTTACACACTTTTACAGCTGAGTTTTACTCGTGAAGTTGTGTTTCCGGTGACATGCCACACAGCACACAAGAAAGCCAGAAGGTTGCGATATGAATCAAAATACTTTAAAACGGAGCGTGCAGGAATGAGAAGATATTCAACACTAATATCGTCTACGGTAGAGAGACCAGAGACTGACCGCTGATCAGCAGCTTACTATAACTAATGTAAGCAGCGCCATCATTGATATAATTATGTGTTTTCATTATTACAAATTACAAAGTAATAAGCGATTTGTGATGGTAAAGGCAGATAATTAAAAAATAATTGTTTCTTCGATTTTTCAACATTAACCACTTTGTCAACTATAATATTTGTTAACCTGCAAAGTTTAGGTACGTTGCCCAGTCGCACCTTATATTCCAAAAAGCGTACAAATTTATGATTTTTCAATACTTTTACAACTTGTTCAAATTTTTTATGTAGCGGAAAAGTTTGAACGATTTATCTAATACAGATCTGTTTACGACCCGAGCGTAGCAAGTTCTATTATAAATTCCATCACGCCGTGCCATTTGGTTTTTTTCCCGCTTCTAAGCTGTTCAAGTTCTTCATGCGAAAGGTCACGCATGCAAACCCCGAGCGGGCTGTAGGTAACTGGGTGTCGGAAACCGTCCACGTATCGGACGCTTCGTCGTAATATTCAACAGAATTCAGGTCGCCTTTATCATATCCACCCAAGACGTAAATTTTATTGCCCACGCAAGCCGCTCCGGTACTTTGCCGTTTTTTTATCATACCGCCTGAAAACAAATTCAGTCAGATAAAGTACCAATCAGGTAGTTCCCAAATGGCAAGTGCAGCAACGAGACGTTCAGTACGGTACTTTTTGTCAACCACTGATCGGTCTTGGTATCGTATGCTTCAACGCAGGACAAACTCTGCCCTTGATTAGGTCCTCCACAAAAGAATCCACCTAAGAAGAAATTATTGGTATTTCTGGAAAGTGGAAACCGTCATCCTGACTTACCGATTACGTAAATTAAACCACTTGGTCCGACGCATGCTGAGCACGAGTACCGTGCTGTCGGCATCTTCCCTAATTCCCTCCACGCATCATTCTTGGGATCGTAAGACAGCGCGGTATCGGTGGCTGTATCACTAAACGTCCGTCCGCCAAACACATAAATCCGCCCATTAGACACCACCGTAGCGAAGTTGGCTAGCGCCGTCGGGAGGCTGGCCACAAACTGCCATTCACTGTGAAACGGAGGGTAGTGTAATCGGTAGTCGTAGCGTTCCATGCTCGCTTGATATCCATGCGTGTCAACATATCCACCAATGGCGTAAATGTAACCGTTCAGATACGCTGCCCCGTGACACGCGCGCGGCGTCTGCATGCGTCCCATTGGCTCAAACTGGTCAGCGTAGGGATCGTATCGCACATTGGCGTGCAGCCAGAACTCGTTGTTCATGTAGCCGCCACTGAGGAAGACGTACTTGTCGTCCACGTTGACCACACCGTTGTCGGCGACGTTGACGAATACCGCGCTCTTCCAGCTATTCCACGACTTTTTTAATGGATCGAAGTACTCCACGCAGTTTGTATCGTTCAGGTTGTCTCCTTTTCCTCCAATCAAGCAAATCACGGTTGTTGTTCCTGAAGCAATTATTTAATATATTACATCCAAACGATACCGGCATTTTCTCGTGTAATTAACGCACTTACCGAATAATTTCCGTGGATGATTTAAACATGCAGCAACTTCTTCGGTTCTCTCAGTTCCTGGATTTAATTGAGAAGTCGAAGAACCTGCTCCTTCTCCAGCAGGACGGTTTTTAACAGTCTCCAGCAGAGGCAGGAAATAATTTTGTTGGAATGCCCTATTTAGAAACGGCTGACGAATGCACTGCAGAATTGCGTACATTTGGGGTCGCCGTTCCTCGAGGTCATGATTAAACCATCGAACAACGATACTTAACACGTCCTCCTCATGCTCGACGCACAAGTCGTCGGCACTAATCAGTTCCACTAACTGCAAAAATAATACGAGTAACACAAAGGTCACGAATGATGTCAGCACGAGTATAATTAAATTAATGTTCCTTGCGCTATTCTACCTGTGCAAGCGTATTGCAGTGTTGTGCCATACTTTTACCGCGTATACTGTAATCAGCATTTTTGTACTTACTTTATCAGTGCTTAATTCTAAAAAGTCAGGGTTAGAGGAAGCCTCCATAAAATGTCGCAGAACCATGGCTTTGGCTTGTTTCATTAGATCGGGTTTATATATTTCGCACAGAGGGAAGCAGTACCGCTCCAGGCAGTTTTTGTCATCCAGAGTGCGCTCCAGAAAATCCCAACATGTGCTGACTAACGGAGCAATATCCAGGAAGTGTGCTGCGGCAAGAAGGGATAGGGCATTATCCTCGTCGATGCTGATGTCGGTAGCATAGATGTAGTCAATTATACTGCAAAGGTTACTGTTAACATATTAATCAAATTTAGATTGACAACCCGATTCTTTGGAACTCGGGCAAAAATGTCAACTTGTGTTACACATTTTTTGCAGTATACTGGATTGCGAAATTGTTGAATGTATAAAGCCTGGCAGTTCTTTTATATAGAGAAGGTAGGAATGAATTTGGTAAAATTAATGGTGAGTTATTTTTGTAAATGAACGTTAACCATTGACAGTTTACTAAGATCTACAAACGCTACTCGTAGTAAACAACCTGTTTAAATTTATATTTATCAAACCATATATCTTACTGCCACTAACGGCGAGACGCGACTGTACTCACGACTGTAAAATGGGAGCTGATACTTCCGGTAGTGGAACTACTTCCTCATGGCATTCCCTCAATCCGATGGTAAACATGGTACGGAAGAAGGTACTGTGAGCGCTGAGGATGAAACGGTGGCAAGGAATCGCGGCCGATGATTCTTCTTGCCCTTTTAAGATCACATCGCACAACACTCCACCGGTACGCAGACTGTTAATGACCCCGGCGAAGTGCTCACTGCCCATTCCGGTTCGCACTGAATAGCCGTCCACGGCCGATGTATTGTGCGTGGCTGCCATAGGATATCCAACAACTGGAGGATATGGGCGACGAGACGTACTCTGGATCTCCTAGGGTTGTGGTTGACCTTTCGTTAAATATGTACTTATAACATACTAAACGGGAGCAGTAATAATTAGTTACTGCGAGCAGCTTTTGTTCTGTCATGACCATTCTGTCAAGAGTGTTTACAGCAGCGATTACAACGATTATAGCGAAAGCGATAAAGAGGTTATGATAAGGAATTAACGGCACACGAAATCAGCATTTACTGTCGGAGATAGTGATGGTGTTACCGACAATTACGCTAATCGTGAGATAAGTTGGAATACAAAAATAGTTATGTTTGACAAATTATGATTTGTCCAATTATAAGCTTAGATTTTGGCCTACGTGCTAAAAGGTCAGGGTTCATAAAGATGGGCGAGTTGGTGAATAATGTGATTTATACGTATAATAGTTCCATACGAGTAATGATTATGATAGCGCAAAGTGTACATGCACAATACGCGTATTGTGCATGCACACTTTGCGCAAACACAACACGTACGTGTTGTGTAATGTGTACTAGCTAATATCAATTTTGTGGTTTGTTTAGTAAATGACAGCAGTCAGCAGACATATTTTTAATTATTGTATCGTGGTTTGTACGTGTATTGTATTGTGTATTGTAATTAATTACTTATTGTATTGTGTTTGTATTGTGTTATTAATAGAGTTGTAAGAAAGTTCGATAACATAGCGGCGACTGGAAAATATGAAAAATTTTGAGAGAGATTTATTGATAATTAGTTATATAATCAGCATTACAATCTTACTAACAGTTGTAAGTGTCAGCCGGAGCCACTCCGTTGTGTTTGTTTCACCGACTGCAAAAAAGGTGAAGAAATTGACACTATAGTAAATTATTGACTACAAAAATTAAAGGTTTGAAATACTCAGCACATTATAGTTGAAAAATTAGAACACAGTTGCCCTGAAAATTACATAAATAAAAAAATAGTAAAATTTAATAATTTTGATGTATACCGCTGAAGTATGATGCAACGATTTCTCGTACTTACTCAACCGCGAAAAGTATAAACGTGCAATACAGCACTAATTTATAGAGGTGCAGCTGAGAATTTGAAGTATAAAATAAATATTAGTCGTCTATTATTATTTGCTTTTGACTGAGTGTAAAATTAATAATAATTTGTAAGTTATTTGTGACAGTTGTAACGAAAAGCAAATAACCGTGACACGGTGTTCAAACAGTTACACCAGCGTTAATCGCCGGTTAGGCAGCTATACCGAACTGCCTCTTCACTAACAGCCGACACAGTACTAATAATTCAGCCCTTGTAGCTAAGTGGCTATAGCGCTGGCCTTCTAAGCCAGAGGTCGCGGGTTCGACCCCCGCCAAGGGTGGTTTTTTCTTTTTTCTTGTGGAAACACTTCATTTACGGTTTCTACTACATCACGTGATCCTTTCCTAAGCAAATCTGGATAACAAAAAAGGAAAACATGCTAATGCAAACGCCTACGAACGCCTACGACGCACGCTAATTGCAAACGCTGTCATAAGATTCGCGACACGTATTCCGTAGCCGTCAACGCACCGAACGATCTGTTTTTATTGCTTGTATACATGGTTGTTAATAAAACCTTCACCGCCGCTGCATAGAAATCCCAGCCAGTGTCCGAACAAAGTTAACCAAAAAACAAAAACCAGCCGAGACAAAGAAAAATAATTCGCTCTGTACAAACAGGATTTCGTGCGTAATTCTGCATACAAATATTCCCCCGCTCATTATCCCCTGCCCCCTGGGTGGCGACTAGTAGGGATGGTTCTGCTCCTGCTTAATAAACCCGCCCGCCCCGTACCCGAACCCCCCGGCATCGGGGGGCGACACCGGGGTAATCGCGCCACTGGCGGCACTCCCCGCGCTGCCCGGCGGGTTCCCGAAGGCCGCGAAGAACTCCGCCGTCAGACTGTTCATGGGGCTGGGCGTGGCCAGGGGCGTGCGCAGGCGTTTGTGGTACTCGTCGGTCTCCACTTCCAGGGCGATCTGGCGGAGATCGCGCGTGGGGGACTGGATGAGCTTGTAGAGGAAGGTGTCGAAGGGGAGGGTGGGAAAGAGTTGGGAGAAGAAGAGCGGCTCCAGGCACTTGAGACCGATACTGCGCAGGGACGGCAGGCGGAGGAGGAGCTTGGCGAAGCGCGACAGGTCGGTGGGGTGGTGCTGCTGGCAGTGCTCTTCCAGGGCGCTGTATAGCAGCTCCCGGCAGGCTTCGATGCGGTCCGCATTGGACAGGCCTTTGGCGTCTGTGTGCCGGGAAATATAAATAATTTCAAGTTTCAACATTAACTGATTTTCCAGCTAACTGCTGGTTTTAAGGGTTTATTATAATACGTTCTAGATGCTACTGCAATTAATTTTAAAATATACAATTTAATAATATTTAAAAACAAATATATAAAAAATAAATACAATTTAAATTACTTTAACAAAAATCAGTAATACAGTTATACAATTATTTTATATACTTAGGTAAATATTATAAAAATAAGCAATTCTTTTTCTAACAATCGGAAATGCCAATAATTATGGAGATTTTCTGTAATACCTGGATTGAAAAGGATAATCCCGCGCAGGCACGCCAACTCGTAGTTGTCCACGCGGAGTTCGGACATCTTGGCGATCAGTTCACTGGACATTCGCTCAATGAGACCACTGAGCCCGAATAAATGCGCCTGACTGGGCGTAATACACATCCCGGTGGACAGGACCAGTCCGTGAGCAACACCGGCAAATACAGCACGCGCACCCATCGCCGACAGATGCAGCTCATTCCAGCCTAAAAAATAACCGAAAATTCATACATCACAAATCAAAAATTCATGCAGCGCGGCAAACTGTCAGAAAATCGGTGAATTAACGAAACCATACATAAAATTAAAATTACCAAACTGAAATCTGGAGCATTTTGATTCGCAATTTTAATGCTCATTATAAAAAGGCAATCAAAGTAAGTACAGTCATTAATTTGCATTCAATAATTATTTATTGATATATTTGTCTTTTTCATATATTCAGTAATTATTTTTAATTTTATATAACAAGTATCAGTGATCGTATTAATCAGGAAAAATGCCGGTTATTATGTTGAAATACGAGACTTCATTCGTCTGTTAAGCAAAATACCGGTGATTCACTGTTTACCCAATTATTCATTAACTAACTGACCGCATTTGATGAGGGCCACCTGGTCGCTGAGCGGCATCTCGCCGATGAGCGGGCACATGCGCGCATACTGCGCGGCCTGGTGCAGCTCCCGCTCGCAGACCTCCACCAGCTGGCGGTTGGCTTCCGGCTGGTGCAGGGTGGCCGTCAGCAGCGCCAGATCCAGCGGGCGCACCTGCGCGCCCTCCTGCTCGTGCAGGAAGGAGCCCAGCATGATGGAGTCGGCGGCCAGCAGTTTGTCCACACTGAAGTCCGCCCGGCTGATGCGCTGCTGCTGCTCCAGGGGTTCACCGTCGGGGTGGCGCTGGTGGCCCGCTCCGACTCGCTGTCGTTGCTGGCCGTACTGCTCATGTGCAGGGCGCTGCCGGCGCGCGCTGCCTTGGAACGCTGGCGTTCCTCTTGGACGGCTGCAATAAATGATCATATTTGTTTATTGAACCGTTTATCGTCGTTTTATTCTTTATCATCTTTTAAAAATCTGTTCCGGAAATTTATATTTTCTTCGGTATGCATACAGATATCAACGACAGTGAAGATGTACCACACAACATAACTATGACAATTTATAATCACAGAATAAACAAACACAGAATTTTATAAGTAAAATAAATAACTGTACGATATGTTAGTTAATATAAAAAAACAGCAAACACGGGCTTACAACATCCCGATTTAACCGAGATAAAAGCGTTATGAAATCGCTCTTTCAATATCAGACATTGAACCGACCCTTACGGAAATTCTCCGTAATCTGTGACCTGGCATCGAAAGCCAAAATTGACTAGTCTAACCTTGAAAGTTGAAACCATCACAGCGTACAGTTATTCCCAGAATACAGACAGTTTATTTTGTTACAGTAATTTCGGCTGGTCGTTTAACAATTAAATTAAGGTACTATCTCAGTATACCTAAAGTTTCGTAAGTGGTTTATTTTAATAAGATATTATCATCATTAGTCGGCAACATTTCAGTTAGATAACAGTCTATTACGTTTATCCGCAACCGAAATCAGACAGTACAAAAAACCGACCAAAGTCCACACGTCATTCAATTCGAAATTCCAAGTCCATCAAACGGCTTATCGCATAAAATGCGGCATAATGGACTTTAAATGCTCCTCTTTCAAATCTCAATTTTCTATTTGCTGTAGCGCCATAAAAAAGAGAAATGTCACAACTGTCAGTCATCTTCCACAGAAAACACAGCGCTACAATTTTATAATCAATCCACTTCTATTAAGAATTATTATCAGATTATTTTATGTTATTTAAAAAAAAATCTAGCGTTATATTTTGAAAAACAATCTGCGTTACAATTTTATAATTAAATTTATTGCAAAATAATTATTCATGTATTTCCCAGTTTAGTTATTAATAATCTCTTATTTTATTTCTCCAAGTGATAGTAAAATTATGGAAAGGGTTCAGGAAGCTTAGTAAGCATCGTCAGGCAGTTTTTATTTGGTGTGCGTGTGCAGCCACACCGCGGCACTTCCGGGCCAAGAGGAAGTGGCCCACAGCGCGCGGCGTGCATTAGCATACAGCACGTGTACTCAACGGCGACATGATCAGTATTCATAACCGGGTCTGCATAAAATACCCGTATACACCGATCGATTGATCAGCAGCATGCACGCGGCAATAACAATCATAAATGTGCTGTACCTTCACGTCGCATGCCCATCTGCAGGCATTTCTCATAGCGGCAGTACTGACAGCGGTTCCGCTGGCGTTTGTCCACCAGACAGTTGCGATCTTCGCGGCACGCGTACGTTAGCTCCTTCCGCACTGTCCGCTTGAAGAAGCCCTTGCATCCTTCGCAGCTGCAATCAAAACTTCATTTATTAACGCCACTGCGCGGTAAAATGAACAAAATTTGAAGCGTGAAAATGTCTTTCCGCTCATCATTCAATACGGAAAAATCAACAGAATTATTTCACTTTAATTATTAAAGAAATTATCATAACTAAAAAGGCACTGCAGACTAAAACATAAAATTTTAAAAAAAATTTGGTTGTTATTATTTTAACGTTAAATTTTAACTATGAGTAGCATGACGGCGCTTGCACTTTTTGCTTTTTTGATGGCTATTTTCTTTCAAAGCACAAATTTTTAAAAAAAAATTAGAAGATGTCAAATATTGATAGCAGAATTTTTCATCATTGTGAATTTATTATTAACTTTATTATTAACATCGAAGTCGAGCACCACTCATATCCACTGCACTACAACTGCCATATTTGATTGGGCATATCGAAGTTCTGCACGTTGTCGACAAAAACGTAAGTTCAAGCACTGTACATATTCGGTATTCCCATTATTTTTAATGCATGTTTAGTTGCTCACAAAAATGTTCTTATTAAAAAATTATTATTAATATTATTATATTAATTTAGAATATGCAGCAATCCAGCAGAAACCTGGGAAAAATTCTTTTGTGCTCCTTATTACATATATCGAGCAATCACTACGCAAAGTCGCAAAGTACACTGCGGTATGGCTTCAGCGTTGTAGTAAAAAAAATTACTCGGCAAATTCTTTATGACTAACGAAACAAAAAGGCCTCGTTTTCAATCAAGCGTTCAACCGGCTAACAAAGGCCGTTTTACGGATGAGTAAGCTGTTTCCGCCGGAACAACCACGTCCTGCACGCTGCTGCTGTATGTGTATGATTGCTCGTATAATTAGATTTTCGCTTCTCACACACCATCCTGTCACGTACATATATAAAAGTCTCCTAGTCTGTCATGTTTTTTTCCAGGCCAACGTTGGACCCCGCGGGCCAATCATGCGGCCGTAAAATGCCGCACTGCATTCCAGACCGCTTTTTGTACCGCGCACTGGCTTCAAACGCTGCAGTTAAGACGATTAAGGAAGGCTTTTTGTCAAGGTGTAAATATCGGCTATATAAATCGTTTACAATAAAAATTGATATGTCTTCGTCTGTTTAACGGGCATGCCGGAAACGTGATCGGTGCGGTATTATGCAATGGATTGAGCGTGACAGGACGAAGGACGAAAACCGCCGATCGCATTATTTATTTTCCATAAGTTCGGTGATACTTGTTTTTTTATTTTTGCAAGCAATTATACTGAACAGAAAAATTCCCAAAATAATTGTCAAAATTCTGATAATAAATTCCATTTAAGCACTGTAAATTCTGTCATCATCGGATTTACAAAATATATAAATTATATATTAAAATTAAAATATTAAATATATAGAACTTTTTAAAAGAATAGTAGAATAAACAAACGAATTTCTAAAGAATTTTTTATTATTACACCAAGCAATTTAATTTTTAAATTGTAGGATTAGCATGATCGAAGCTCAAATTTTAAACATACTCCGAGTGCAATTCTCCAAAATTGCTCCTTAATTTCTGCAGTATGTCAAATGTCACTTTCTAGTCATGGTGAAATTTTTCAGGAATGCATGTTGCGCATATAAATCAATTAACAGCCACATTTTTGCGCTCACACGCACATCCACACGCGATGTCAATAAAAGCAGATCTCGGTAAACACATTCGGCAATCTGGTGAGAACGCAGGCTCTTTTCGAAAACCAAACCGTTCGTTTGCACATGTTCCCATAATAAACAGTCACAAATTTTGTACAGCAAGTTGTACAGTCTGTAAACAGAAAAAGCCTTTTCAAAGAATTGAAAATCTTCAGTTTTTCAATTCTGGCATAACTGTGAAATATAAAAAAAATTCAAAAAATTCATTGTAATGTTTTCCAGTATTTGTCTAATATCAGTCGCATCCCACCATGAGCTATATTTTTTAATGTAATCTAACTGTCTTCTAACTGCTGTTAAAATTAAGTTTTAATGCTACTTTAAATAATGTATTTTTCTATTGACTTCGGAAATTAATTACAAATTCAAATTCCCATAATTTTCATATATTAAAGATTAAAGCCTAGTCGTACGAATAGCAGTATGTTGTGCAATTTATTTAAAAAAACAGAAACTAATTCAGAAAATCAGTCGATTAAAATAAATTTTAATGCTATTTATAATATTTTTCTATCGCCTTCAGAAGTTAATTACAAATTTAAATTCCCACAACTTTCATTTATTAAAACCCCAAGTTTTTCGGGAAATTCCTCCTCGCCTTCGTCGGCCGTACATCTCAGAATTTCAACGACACACACGCACACAAGACAGCGCGCCGCTCGACGCGGGGACTGGAAATTCCAGCTGAGGCCAGCAGAAAAAAATCCAGACCGGTTTTTAAGGAACAAGTGACAATCTACCGGCAGTTCGCTTACTTTTTCTAACCACACTGAAGCACTCTTTCTCTGTGTTTGGATCATCTCTCTTGCAGCGGGCGTTCTGCTTGCGCAACCTGTACGCCGGTGAACACGACGGCCGTAAAAATGATAAACCTGTTCAGTTATGCGCCGAGCGCGGTCTGACTCATTTCCATAGACATCATGTGCGCCGCTAATTATCAATTCCACCTATTCAAACGCACTGGAGAGATCTCGCTCGTAAACACGTCGTTTAAGTGTTCAGTTTACAACCGCGTACGCGAAATATCGATATCGGTGCGGTGGCCTTTATTTTCATTCTCATCACATGAATAATTTTTCCGGCGTGGATTGTTGGTTTGTGTGCCGACGAAGAGAGCAGCTCCGATCAAAAAATGAATTATAAAAATTAGGGAAAAACATTTACCAATACCACAAATTATTTCAAGCCGATTTTAAATTCTAAAAAAAGCAGAATAATCTAAAATTCAATTAATTTCCACGGAAGTCAGTGAAATTTCACATAAAAATTGAACAGAAAACAATACATAATAATTACAAGAATGAAAATACAAATCAAGCCAAAACGATTTACAAATAACACAAATTATTTCAAGCCAATCTGAATTTTAAAAAAAAAGCGCAGCTCGATTAATTTCCACTAACAGCTGCGGAAATCTATAACAAATCCGTAATTTCATAAAAAAAATTGAACAGGTCAACATATAACAATCACCTAATAAAATGCAAAATTATATTCAGCCTATTAAATATAATTTTAAAAAATGCCGAAGAAAATAAGCGGTGTGCGGTAATATATGGGAAATTAACACTGACAGGCCTAACCGTCAACTGTCACGGACACTTCGTTCCAGCGTGCCGTTTCTGCGTGTTTCCTAAATGTTTGCCATGGCTAACGGATCGCTACGGAATCGCCTACTAATACTCTACTCTTAATTCAATATGCACACTATCGCCAAGAATAACCCGCCACTGTAAACAATCCGCATTAAAAATAAAGCCTTCGACGCAACAGATAAAACGGTCCCGCTCTCAGCTGTGAGGATAAGAAGAGTAAAGATGCGAAAATGACGACGTTTATCGCGATTCCCACCATTGCCCAAACAAAACCATTCAGTTCCTACGCACTGTAATTATTAAAAACTGATAATAGTTCCGCTAATTTCACAACCAAAGTCTACTAAAAAATTAAATGCGCTGTTTCACAATAAACGTCAATTTTCAATTTATCATCAGATTTTTTCGTGTTGTCTCAATAGGTATTTAATGACGCACACTTCCTTTATTTGCAGTTGCTAACATTGACTTTCAGCTGTAAAAACCTTTGCTCACGAAGCGAATTACACCCGATAAATCCATAAAATATCAATGCTACTACGTCGATAAATTTTTCTCGTAAAATCATTCAATTTTAGTATTTGTCAACGACTGCGCGATTTGACTGGGGCAATAAAAACAAATAAATATTATTTCAAGAACAAATAACAAACCGAACCGGTCCTGAACACAATTAACGTCAACACAATCAATTCATTTCCGAAGTGGTACTATTTTCAGTATTTTTTACAATCTTAGTTCATGTGTCAATAAATTTATTAAAATCTAGCCTAGAAATTAAGCCGCGCACTCGCACAACAAAATAATTAACAGCATGCATCAATAATTAATTACTTGCCGTTATTTCCGGCATGCGACGGAAGCGTCACGGCGTAATATTAAATTTCGAAAAATCTGATATCTACATCTAATTTAAATTAAATTATTAAGAAATAGACCAACCGCAAAAACAAATAATGAGGGTTCTACTCAAATGTGAAAATTCGATAGCACATTGGATAATTTAATTCAAAAATAAAATACTAAACTATTTATTATTCACTACTTATTATTCACTTTAAGTGAATTTAATATTTTATTTGATAATTAAATTAACGAAAAAATTGAGAAATGAATAGCAAGTACCAGAGTAGGGAAAAAAATACTAAATAAGAAATTAAAGTATGCCAAAATTAACGGAATAAAATTATTACGCAATCGCCAAGACCCACCTGTAGACGCCGTAATGTTTCCCGGACGCCCGGTCCCCACAGATGGCGCACAAATGTTTGGACATGGATAGCGGATGATGCGGTGGAAATCCCTGATTACTGCCCGGTCCCGTGGGACTGGTCGTACCACCGGAGGACGTGGCTGCCGACGACGGGGGTGGCGCAGCGCTGGTGCCCTGACCCGGGGGTTGGTGTTGCATAACGTGTGACGATGGCGACGACGAGGGCGGTAGGACTGGCGGCAGCAGCTGACTGGGCACAAATAAATCACCACTACTCAACCGTCTCAACAGATCCTCCCCATCATCGGCCCGGTCGCTATCCGACGAGCTGATGGGTGAATGGTGCAGCGGCGGGGCGGTGCGCGCGGGATACGGCGGGGGCGTGGGGAAGGCGGGGGTCTCCAAGGGGAAGGGGGAGAAATTATTCATAGGGAGCACTAACCGCAGCGATCAAACCGTGGGTGAACAGACGCGTGCCCACCGCGAATTTACAAGGATAAGATTATCAGCAGGGTTTTACGAGGCGGCTAATTGCCACAATACCGGGCACTATTCGGAAATTGGTGCCAATGCACACAGGTACGCTGATGGGCCGATAAAAACACATTCGAGAGTAGAGAAGAATGGCAGCAAAATGGAGCGACAGCGTTTGGAGGTTTTTACGGTTGTGTGTGTGATGTGTGTGACTGTCTGGCCAGTGTATACATGTTTATCTAATGTGGATCGGTAATTTTGCTGGGCGCTTTCTATCAGCCGCGCGGCTGTGTGAGATAAAAATTGTGCAGTGAGTGTCAAAGGCGGTTGTGCACCGTTGGCGAAAATGGGTGTGATACAGTTGATTAATTTATGGCGCAGCGGATGACTTGTTTGTAGCTGGGCGTAATTTACAGTGGCATCAATACTGGAAATCATAAACCAGCGCACATTAAACGGGTGCGCACGCACAGCTGATAGCCTCGCCCACCGTCGTGGTTGTAGTACGCTCATTCAGAGATTTTGACGATTGCGATTGGTTGGCCGGTGGGTGTACGACCGCTCGTGTACTCGTACGTGTAGAATGCCGTATTCTGCTTCGCTCTGCCTGCACTGCGCATTATGGCAGGCGGCTCGGCTTGTCACAAGTATCATTGCGTTATCGATTGCGATTGCATGTAATTTGATAAGGTACATTAACTGCGACATTGATCTGCTTTCTTTTTAAAGTAGCCGTGGCGGAAAGCGATGGATAAAAAAGACAGGACAAATAAATGCACTTGTCCATTAAGACGGGAAGTGAGCTTTTATCGGGGGATTATCGTTGTAAGATGGCAGATCTGTCGATTTCGCGCGGGTTCTAGTCGAAATAGAACGAAAGTCTTGTACCGGACATCAGTAGTATTGATTTTCCCAACCAGGGTACAAAAATATTGTTGACAGTGCAGCTGTTGAGTTTACACGAGCCGATGCGGGTTTATCTTATGTATACGTCGTGTACAACGACGCGAGAGAGAGAAAGAGACAGCCAAGCGACCTTGACATTATGCAACGGCACCGCGTCATCGATCAGCTCATGATTTGATGGACGGATGCTGGCTGCAGCTACTGTGCCCGCAGCGGCTGACTAGGTCAGATTGCAAACTGTGCAGATGCGGCGCAAATGATGAGGTAATCTGATGGGGTCGGAATCGCTGTGATGATGATTAGTTTGTGAATAGTATGTTGTGCATGAAGAGCGAAGAAAAGAAGGATGTTCCAGTCAATAGAATAGCGTTGATCGGTACAAGTCAACACGTGAGCATATGGGTGCCGAGGGAAATCTAAACTGGAAAATTCTGTAGAATATTTGCACCATTATAACATTTTATGAAATCCAGCGAACCAGCAAAATGACTCTGAAGCTAAAGAGCCAGATCATAGAAACACTATAAAAATTTTGAATATGTATTTGTACTGAACACATGTTTTCCAAATCGGTAAATAATATTGAGGGTCAAATCGTAGCACTTTATTGCACTTCGTCTAATGATTATTAGTGAGCAACACACTTTATGGATTAACTTCCGTAGGTTTATGTCGCCCGTAAGTTCGACGTAGCTTATTAAACAACCATAAAAGCGGAAGACTGCTTTGGCGAAATTCTTTGCATGTTTAGTAAGATGACAGACGTGTCTTTGTGCTTCGTAAAAGTGACCTTTCGTCTACAATTCCTTTACAAAAGCAGAAGCTACTACGCACTTGGTATTCAAATATGGCGATGGATATCAAATTAAGAGCTATTTTTACCTTTATTTCCGTGTACCTTGTAGGTAGGTGTTCGATTTTGCCGGCACTGACATAATTAAATTATGTCACTGCGTGGTTAGGTACCGACCTTTTGTGAGAGCTTCAGACTACCGGGATTTAAATGGATCCTTTTATTGAACTTCCTGCGTTGCGGCTGTGGATGATACGCACAACCATTTGTTTCTGTTTTTAGTGATCCAAGCGGATGTTTTGCCTAACAATCGTTCCCCGGCGTCATGGCTGCGAACACGGCAATTCCCGAATGAATCCGACGGGGATTCCAATTCCGTAATCACCAAAGCGGATTTTGAATTGCATTTAAACGCTAGCGGATGGCGCGGTGCTGACGTCGATGCTAACTTCTCACGATCGCATCCCCAACCTGACCTGCTTATTAGTGATGATGACGGCCATCTGGATGCTGTGTCGCTCACCGACGTGAGCTCGCTGCAACCCGATGGCGGGGATGATATTCTGGCACATGAAGAAGATTTTCGTTTTATCAACGATACCAGCGCGAATAGTACGGGCGGCGGAGATTTCGCCGTTTCTGTACCCACTGGGGTTGTGGTCATCAAAGATATACCTAAACCGAACGCCAGGTAATCGTCGTGTGTTAGTTTTAACAATTTAACGCATACAGATCCTAGAACGACATACTGTATTAGCAATATAGCTGCATTATGTATCGCACAAAATATCAGTCGGCCGGATTAACTTGAAAGCGTCAAAAAATGCGCGCGAAATCGTAGTGTAAGCGTTGAACGTGATGACCTTTTCACTGTAGCTTTTCCCGCCGAAATGTTACGGCGAACTGGGACGACAGGGAAAACATGATTGTAACAAATTATAATGCGCAAGAAAGGTCATATTCCTCTGGCGAGCCAGCACCAAGGATTTACGGATTGACTGGAGGATACGGTGGTCACGGTTGGGGTGCTCCGACATTCAGGTAAGGAGCGGAATTTTTTACAAAACAAAAACGGTATTCCAGCATACGTAGAATACTTAGTCTTTTCTTTGCTTGGTGTTTTGTTACCTGTCTTCGCAAAAATCGTGACGGAATTAATACCATACGAAGTGTATGCAAATCCTGTTAAAGGTTACCAAGACCACCGCTTGCCCCCTTACCCCCCATCGCCCCCATGATGGTCATGCGGCCTCCACCGCCACCGCCGATGCCTCCGATCATTCCCATCCGGCCTCCGCCCATGCCGCCGATGATGATGATGCCTCCGCCGCCCATACCAATGGTACCCGGTGTGCCGGCTGTTCCCTCAATCATAATGCCCCCGGTACCGTATCCGCCGCCCGTACCGGCATTTAGTTTTCCTTCGTATGGTAGTGGATGGGGCTACCGATAATGTCAATCTTTATTTCGTAATTTTTAGTTCGTAATAATATTTGTAGAAGTTTGGAAAAATACTTTATAAATTTTTCGGATTGTTTTGCAATTGGATGTTTGATTTTGTTCGTCTCCTTAGTGAAACGTTAACTAAAGCCAAATCTGTGTGCAGTTTTGCTGGCTCAGTATGCTCAGTGCCTCAGTTACTAGTGGTCCTTGACTTAAGCGTGCAGCACGCAGCTGGTTCGAAAGTCGGAAATGCAAACGAGAATTTAGCGCGCCACCGTATTGTAAAATACTTGTTGTGACGGCCTACCCATATGGGTTAAAAATACTCCATACGCAAAAGACATGCAAAACAGAAACAGGGACAAGCTGCTGTTTACTTGCACCACTGCAATTTCTTCTTTAACTCTCGAAGTTAATTGCCCGCTCGATGTCTGGCAATGTGAATTCTCCACATCAGTATTTAATTTACGATGCTTTACTTCCAAGTTCCACAAGAATATGCCACTATGCTTTGGATACTTGTAGCTGGTACAGTTCACCAACAAGTCGATAACCGGCTAGATTTGCAAAGCACACTACGTTTTATCTCTTCTTTATTCTGTTCGGCAAGCTTTAGTACCACAGCATAGTCACTAAGCATCGTTTCTTTATCGATAATATTTTGTTTCTTATCGTGTCTTTTTGATTTAACGCGCTTTATGATTTACAATTTTATGCCACGGCAACCGCATGTTGAAACAGACTGCATTACGATGTGAAACGAAGCATATAAGAAAACAGGAAAAAGACTGTAAAAACCATGCCGTCCAAGGAACCAGTGACCGGTGAACCACCGAACGGTGGATTTGGTTGGGTGGTTGTTGTTGCTGTTTTATGATCCATTTTGTGGCGTTTGGCTTGCCGTATACCTTGGGAGTCTATTATCCCACACTCCAAGGAAGAATTCCAGTCGGATTCGGCGACCACAGCATGGGTTGCCGGGACGCATTTGGCGGTGGCTTTCGGAAGTGGTAGGTAAGAAATGCAGGTGTAAATCTTTGCAGTGGCCTCGAAAAATAACGTTCAATCTCTTGTAAAACTATTGAAAATAATTTCACACAGGTCCTGCTGCTGGGTGGCTCGTGGATAGATTTGGAACGAGAAGCGTTGCATTCGTTGGAGGAATTATTTCCACCGTTGGCTGCGTTATTGCCGCCTTTTCCAGCTCCATTATTGTCATCATTTTACTACTAGGAGTTTTTGCCGGTAAAGTAATTCAGAATAACGTGCTATGTACCCGTTAAAACTATCCAGGAAGCGAAAGTTTCATGATTGCTTTGCTTTACGTGACATCCTGTGCAAATTGTCAAGGTATCGGAACCGGTTTGATGTTCATCGCGGCCATTTCATCAGTGACCCGATGGTTCTCCACAAAGCGCTCGCTAGCCACAGGAATCGCTGTATGTGGCGCTGGCTGTGGAGTTATCGCCTTCGCTCCGCTGATTCGGTATCTCTTGGTGGTTTACGACAGAAAAGGTGCAATGCTGATCGAAGCCGGATTGGTGCTGCAAGGTTGTGTTTTCGGACTACTCCTTCGCCCGGTTCCCCAACGGCGAACCCCATCCAGTCATGTCGAAATGCAGCCATTACAGCAGAAACCAGCGGTTAAAGCTCCCCCAAACGAAAGCCTGAAGACCTTGTTAAAAGGCAGCATGTTCTGGCTGTTCGCTGTCAGTCAGCTCTTCACCTTTATCTCCGCCAGCATCGGATTGATATTCATGTACAGCCGTACTGTAAAAGATCTCCATATTGAATCTATGGAAGCGTCCCTTGTCGTGGCAATTATGGGGATTTGCAACACGGCGGGAAGGGTGTTGTTCGGAATTACCGGGAACGTTTTACCGAAATTTAGGACGTATTTGTTGAGTGGTGCGATTATGCTGTACGGTGCGGCGACAGCGTTCAGTGTGCTGGGAACGTCGTTTTGGTCGGCAGCTTTACACGGCGGATTGTTTGGTGCCGGTTACGGTTAGTAGCAACAAAGGTCATACTGAGTTGGAACCATTCAAGACTAGTGCTTTCGCAGGTGGGATGTTCGCGCTGTCGACTGTGGTTTTAGTTGACTACTTTGGGATGGGATCGTTCAGTACTCTATACGGCATGATCGGGGTGTTTCGTGGTATTGCATGTCTTATCGCTCCCCCCACCGGAGGTACGCAAAACGCTTATACGGAACTAGACTGGGACCTCTGCGCCGGAACTGTGAACAGCTTTATGCACTATCTGGATCATGCAGTGGTGTTTATGGTTTCGGGTTCACTTGGTTTATTGGTTTGATGCATGTCTTATCGCTCCCCCCACCGGAGGTACGCAAAACGCTTATACGGAACTAGACTGGGACCTCGGGTTCTGCGCCGGAACTGTGAACAGCTTTATGTTTTTTAGGTTGGATAGTATCACTATCTGGAGGAAGTCATGCAGTGGTGTTTATGGTTTCGAGTTCACTTGGTTTAATTGGTGGTTTGATGCTGTTTATGGCGCCCGTACTGCAGCATCAGAAAACTTCCCGAGATATATGAAGGGTTATAAATACTTTTGGAGATCATGAGGTCACTTAAGGCAACGCTAATTCTGCATTCGTAATTTCGTACATCCCAAGCAAGCATTAGCTCTGAACCGACTCGTTCTGCACTATACTGGAGCATTGTTACTATTGTATAAAGCGTTAACTGGTGAGTGCCACGGAACAGACATCAGATCTAGACAGAATGGTAATGCGCCTTTAAAACACACATAAAACTTTATATGGTGGCGTGCGCCTAGTAAACAAGTGCACTCCATCATTGCCAGTGCTTCGTTCGAAGATTTTCAAAACACAGAAACGTGTTGTTTATATAATTGGTCCATAATCTGCATAGCGTTCTTTTCCTTTCGAATCAAGTAACCATATCACGCAGCCACGTTTGTTTTCAACTATTGCACTTTACGTTGGTCTAGCTACAACTTCAGTGCAGTGGGAGCTTGTCGCTGTACAACAACTGGCTTCCTTCAACAACGCAATCCGGATCTAGCCTTGTGGGTTGCTAGGTTTACAGCGTTACATGGCCTTATCAAATCTCGGTCTTATCGATGTACGTAAAATGTACTGTATAGATATGTATACAGCTTTTAACTTCTTTAAATGGGTTACTTTGCAAAAGAACTGCATTTAAACAAGGTACGCAGTACATGCATAATCAACTCCACGGACACCTGTTTGAATTTCGTTGCAACAAGGCATTGCGCTACAATATTGCATTCAGTTATGGACATATGGCAACAACTTACACATTTTCCGATTTTCGCAACGAAAAGAACTGCAGCGGGACGGGCTGTTTCACTTTTGTCGCAACGCTAACCCCCGCAGTGGCTCCATCCTGTCTGTTGGTTGTAAAACCAATGTATGGCCAGTCGCTATCCACTTTGTGAATTGTGCGGTGCCCGACTTACATTTTGAAGCGTATTAGTTTTACAGTTGTGGAAAAGACTGCGCAACGCACCCTGAACCATTTAGAGGGCCAGTCAGGTAATCCAGATTCAACCTTGTGCCTTGTATAGTCAGCTGACCATGGTGAGAACAATTTCAAAATCCCATCTTCCGAAAATCCTGCCTCGACTAAAGAACCATTTCCCCAGCAGTCTTTCGGTGGGTTATGCTCTACTGTACGGTTCGCTCTTTCCCTGTCGTATATGTAATGGGACGTCATTCTTTAACCTGTTAGTCATTTGACTCATTTCGTAACTATCTAACGTGAGCGTATTCTGTCGCAGGTGTACCATATGGCTCTGAACATCATGGATAACCGGTTTGCTTGGCCTGGCATGAGGTTTATTGTGGATTCGACACCTTCGCGTGCTTGCCAGCGCAAAGGCAAAGCCAAAGGCAAAGGTCCCAAAGTGTGGATCTGCAAACCAATGCGCTACAAGAAGCGCAGAGACTACATTCCCATGATGGACAGCCATCTTCCGATCTTCGTGCATGCCGTTAGTGCTAAGGCCTTTTACAATCTGTTGCAGAAGGAACCAGACGTGTTCAATTGGCAAGAAGGACATCACATTTGTTGGTACGTAGACCGTAGTTGTTGGTGGTTTTGGAGACCTAAGCTGGATTTGCGGTACTCGTATAACCTATCCGAGCACCTGAATACCCAGACGAGAACACCTGATTTGAGATGTCAACAAGCTTTACAAATCGTTTATTTGCTAGCAATGAAAGCGTAGAAGTCCCGAACTGATACTTAACATTCCGCAAAAAGCGACATCATATTACTTTAGCAATCATCCGATCATTCCGATGTACTGTAGTATGCTGATCTCTTCAGTTCAGCAACTGACATACTGTAATGTTCTTGAACTAAACTTTCTTGATAACCATTTAGTTGGCGAAGCTGATACGATATATACTGCACGAAGTTTTCATAATCATGGATGTCGCTAAACCGCGAACGTCGTCTGTACTCTGTCGCAGGCAGATGGCACAAGAAGATTTCGTTCGTTTTACAGATAAGATTTCGTTCGTTTTATAGATATGCACTTAGAACTGGCAGAAACGCTACTGGGTGCGCAAGAGCGCCGAAAGATGAAGCGTCTGGTACCCATGGAGGGATTTCCAACAGGTGCGCGGTCTTTTACTACGACCTGGCACAGTATGATTTTGAACGGTAAATACTCTTTCATAGCGACCACACTCACTTACTACAGCATCGAGCAGCTTCGACACTGCCATTGGATATTTTCTTTAGATTACTTTCGGAGCTACCGGTTCCCTCGGACCTGCGATTGGGAGAATTAACCGTTGCGCATCGTGACTTCGTCGTTGCCAACTGCAGCTACGGACATCCAGGATGGCGTTACCTTTTTCACCACATGTTGAGCAACGGCTTTCCCACTGTCGCTCTGTTCGCTGGCGGGAACGAACCAGTGGCGTACTGCATGTACCTGTTGCATGGCTGTATCGGCGCTGTCTACGTGCACCACGCTTACCGTAATCGCAGTCTGTTTAAAATCATGCTCGGGCATTTATTAGCTAAACTGCGCCTGGCTGGAGTGCCATCCACATGGGTGCAGACCATGCACTTTCCCCTGGAACAGCAGCTGGCGGATCTGCGGTTTTTCGGCGGAACGGAGTATACGAAAGGCGGTGCGGCCTTCCTCACGTGGGTTCGGTATACTCCAACGGCATTTGCACCCGTTGTTGAAACGGAGCGGCAGGAGGATCATGTGCAGTTTCAAATTAGTGAGGAGTTCCAGGACTGGTATGATGGTACTTCGGATTGGTGTGCCGATGACCGCGAGACATGCCGTAAGCGGTCTTCGGAAGCCGAGAAGCAGATTAGGCAAGATAATGGAAATGACCGTGCTGGGGAAGCGGTGAGGGTGCTAGCTGCTAGTGGACGTCGCAAATCGTTGCGAGCGAGTAATGAGCGTGAAGATGGATTTCTCCAGGAGAGCGAAGATGTGATGGCTGGTGACGACGAACTGGACGAGGAAAACGAGGATAGTGATTCGGAAGAGAGTGATCTCGACGACCCGAGCGTCATCAGCGACACAGATGGGGAAGAATGAGAAGCCGGTTCGCATGCGTTACCGCTCTTACACTGTGTACAGTATCGCTCTTTGCTCACTTGTACTGTATTTCCCTAGCTGAATACCTGAACCCAACCAACTATGTTCGTTATTACGTATCGACTTGCCTTGTTGTTTTTTTGGGTGAAGCTTTTTTTCCGTAACTGTCTGATTGTTGCTTCGTTTTGGGGAACCGAAGTTGATTTGGTTTTGTAGGTACTCGCACTTGTACTCGTATTTCATGCAGGTCTCGGAGCTGGACTGGGACAAGCCAGCTTTATGTTAGGACTTGCGTTCAAAATCTTCAGTTGAATTATGTGTTACTGCAATAAAGTATGTATTTCGATGAGGTTTTGTAAACTAGCGTGTCTGCTACATTTATCATCGTGCTGATGTTTTACTGACTTAATTAATAATTACATAAGCCGTTTATGCAACTCATCGACTTTCGACTGCACTAGCAGTTTATGGCTCTGAAGTATCCCTGAAAACAGCTGACCATGTACAGTATGAGTAACAAGTATGCACAACATTGTAGTTACAGTGTAGTGCATTTAGGTAATCAAGGTGTTGTAGACAGTTTGTGCTTTATGTTTGCCTTGCTTTATGTTTGGTTGTGCAAGTTTTACTGCCTAGTACCTATTCACTTTACTTACAAGCTCACTTACAACACTGTCATATTCTGCTTTAGCTGCTGCAAACTTCGGGTTTTTGCAATACGACATTTCAAACATGACTTTTTTCACGTAAATTATGAAGAATGGGTCGGAAAAAAAATCGCCGAATTACCCTATCGAACGAAAAATTGCAAACCCTCCTACCATGGCTGGAGCAACAGTTTCCAAGCAGCTTGCCGGTAAAACCTTAACTATATGTACTATTCGATGATTTTAAAAAATATGTTATTCAAACCGAAGCTTAACTCTATGTTTTCGTTGCTGCATAATGTTTTGTACCTAGATATACCACATCGCGTGCAATATTTTGGAAAACCGTTTCTCCTACCCGAAAGCCATCTTCATCGTCGATAAACTGCCCACGCCGTCGGTGATTGTCTGTAGACTTATGTGCATACACGGTTTGTCACGCACTCGAAGAGGATATATCCCGGCATTCAACGATCACCAGCTGATATTTCTATATGCTGAGCCAGCCAAGAAATTTGTGGCTCTTCGGGCCATGCTACGGGGCGTTTCGGCACTTTTTAGTTGGCGCAGAGACATGACGTTCATCGGTCTTACAGAATAATCCTATGTATTTCAAACTGGTTTCCAAAAGATTTAATTTCTGAAGTAGGTGCTCCTTTTAAAATTCTTCGTACTGCTCGTAGATGTGGATCCCGGTGTTGGAAAAATACTGCTGTCTCTCGAGGATCGTGATTTCGCACTAGTACCGTCAGCAGCAGGACGTCCAAATGGGGAGCTAGTGTTTAATTTCGACTTGGTCCGTTGTGCATTCCAACGGTAAGGATGATCTTTGTATTTTCTTAATAAGGAGCTTTTTTTAGTGTGAGAATTAAAGCCAGAGTCCATGACTCCATATAGCACGAATTTATACATAGTAGTGTAACGTAGTTTTTGGTTGGTGCCCCAGAAGCCAACTGGGACAAATTTTTCATTCGAACGTATCCATTTGTTGTGTGCGATGCTCGTCTCTGTAAATATTGCAAATAAAGTGCTGCATTACAGACAAATGTACACACAGCCCGGTGATTAATTTCTTGCGTAATGGTACAGGTAAAAATACTGATTGATTGGTTGCGATACGCTCCGTACCACGGCCCACCACGCCAAACTCTTTACATTTCGACCATTTGACATGGTTGATGCACGTAGCGATATCGTAAATTGCAGGTTTTTATAATGGCTTCTCATTGTATAAATAAATTTATTATTGCGATTATTGTATCGTATACCTGTACAAGAAACAGCCTCGGCTTCGCCTCCGCGTTTCTTGGGTTCTAAACTCCTTGGCCGGTTTTACGGATTGTTAACTTAGAACGGATAAATCTGAAGAGCTCGATAACAAAAATTTTATAAAAAAATGGATGTTTTGGTTTCGTGCAGTCGAACGCAATTACTTTGACTTTACAGATCATTTTTTGTTAAATTTTCTTAGCGAAAAACCATCCGAATCTAATCACCCACGAGAGTATCACATTACAAACTAAAAGGACGCTAAGACTGGACAGTGGTGCTAGATAGGTCACCCATTAAGAACTTAGCAGGCCCTGCTCTATTTTGCTCAGTAATATTGCAGTTTGGTCATACGTTCACCTAACGGGCTCTGTGCACTGGACAGTATTGGTAGCTCGGTCACCCATCTACCTAACGGGATCTATGCACTGGACAGTATTGGTAGCTCGGTCATCCATCTACCTAACGGGATCTATGCACTGGACAGTATCGGCAGCTCGGTCACCCATCTACCTAACGGGCTCTGTGCACTGGATAGCTTTGGTAGCTCGGTCACCCACCTACCTAACGGGATCTAGCAAAGGACAGTACTGGTAACTCGGTCACTAGATCACTTAACGGAGTTTCTGCGCTGGACAGTAGTGGTACCTCAGTACAAGATCACTTAACGGAGTTCGTGCACTGGACAGTAGTGGTACCTCGGTCACTAGATCACTTAACGGAGTTCGTGCACTGGACAGTAGTGGTAGCTCGGTCACGCGTTCACCTAACGGGCTCTGTGCACTGGACAGTATTGGTAGCTTGGTCACCCATCTTCCTAACGGGATCTATGCACTGGACAGTAGTGGTAGCTCGGTCACTAGATCACTTAACGGAGTTTGTGCACTGGACAGTAGTGGTATCTCGGTACTCTTTCACCTAACGGGTTCTGGGCACTGGACAGTGGTGGTAGCTCGGTCACGTACTCCCCTAGCGATTTTTTGACGCACTCAATCACTAGGTGAGTGACTGACCGAGCTCAACCTGTCCAGTAAAAAATATCGCTAGGTAAGGAGAAAAATCGCTAGGTGAGGATGTGACCCTGCTACAACTACTGTCCAGTGCACAGAGCCCTTTAGGTGAGCAGAGCAAAGCCCGCTCGATGACTCACTCACCTAGAAATTCCGCTCAGTGGGCAGTAATGGTGTTTCGGTCACTCACTTGTCTAGTGATTTTTCTTACTGGTCAGTGGTGGTAGCTTGGTCACCCACTCATCTAGAGATTCCGCTCAGTGGTCGGTGATAGTGTTTCGGTCACTCACTCGTCCAGTGATTTTTCGTATTGATTTTATATTTGATATTTTTACAATTTATATCGGTTAATTTTAAACTTGTTTCGAGCTCGGCAACACCGGCAGCAATGTTTGAATAACGCGAGTGTTTGAATAAGTACAATAATTTATTTATTTTTCGGTTTAATTAGTGTGATAATTATGTCAATTGGTATTTTGTATTGTATCTAGGCAAATATTTCTAAGTTTCAAGGTGACCTTTAAGATGGGTTGGATCAATCTGGTCTTGATGCCGGCTTGATGCCGGCTCGATATTTTCATAAAAAAAACACATGCCGGCCACTTCTGAACTATTACGAATCTGATGGCGTTGTCCGTTTTTCCAGAAGTTTTATGGTGATAGAGATCTCAAAACTATGGGGCGCCGCGCGTAGTATAGATCTTGTACTTAATTAGTAATAACCGCTTTCAAAGCGAAATTAAGCATCGCGCACATGTACTATCTGTTATTTTACTTTTTTACGAAAGAAGTTGATCACCGGCTGGTCCATTCCCTCAAATACAAGAAACTGATTGGGATAGTTGAATCGTTTACCGAAAAGCATCGTCAAACTCTTTTAGGTATCCAGTACCCGATGACCTGATGCTAGGACGCCTCAGGATTGATCACGCCGAGCGGATCGTAGAAGAATGCCATTACGCTAATCTTTCCTGGATAAAGGTCTTCCAGTACCTGCTGTTCCATGGATATCCAAGCATGGCATTGTACGACAGCAATGATGTGCCCATCGCGTACTGCATGTACATGCTGTATGGTTGCATCGGTGCCATCTACGTGCACCCTTCCCATCGCAACCGGAATCTGTTCCGCCTTGTGCTCGGAGAATTACTGGTGTGGCTTCAGACGCGGGCAATACCGTCGGTTTGGATGCAGACCATGAATTTCCCGTTAGCAGCACAGCTGGAAGTTATTCGCGGTTTTGGCGGGGAAGAGTTCAGGCGCGGCTATGCTATGTGCTGGATGACTTACAGAGCGCCACGTGTTTATCGTGATCCTCTTCAAGTAGCTCCCGATCGACAGCACATTCGCCGCAAAACGACACCGAGGCCGGACAACGAAAACTTGATTGACGATAACTGCGACCTGCAGATCTACGAATCAGCAACTGAAGAAGACGAGAGTGTCGATAGCGATTTTTACGACCCGAAAGAATCGAGCAATCGAAAGATACGAGAAATCCTCTCATTCGGCAAACCAGGCAGGTCCGGAAGATCGGGTGCCCCATCGAGAACAGTTGAAAGATTTCCGATAACCCGGAATACCCATTTGGTATAATACTGGAAGCGGAAGGTGAAAGTCACAAAAATCACAATCTCTACTGTAGTGATTCCTTGATGACTGACCATTAGCGCAGTCTGGAGCGATCTTTTGCATTCCCATTGGTGGCGGAGCATAGTCTTCTATTCATCAAACTATATCAGTGTTATAGTAGTACGTACTTCTTGCACGATGCCCAGGCTTTGCATTATAATTACAATTGTGCTTCACATAATACTTTTGAAAAACTAACAAGTTAGACTTAGCCAATTCATGGGAAAGTTGCTGCTCGATAAATCGTTACTGTAAAAAATATTGATAAGCGATTAAGTAATAACTGATTAGCATGTCTGCTATTCTTGTTATCATGCTGATTTACCGGCGTGGATATGCAAAAGTTAAAGCCGTGAAAGACACCTTAGTGAACATTCAAGGAGCAGCCGCCACGGTGGGCTTACAGTTGAACACAGGAAAGTGTGAGCTGTACGTAGACGGCGGATCTCCCGAAGAACGCCAGCACGTAATCCAGTCCATCCTGAACGTAGCACCAGATATCCGACTGTCAAAACCGGAGGAACTGGAGCTGTTGGGTTCACCGCTGTTGAACGAATCTGTTTCGGGCGCGTTGTTGAGGAAGGTTGGTCAAGCACATGTGCTTGCCGACCAGCTCGGTATATTGCCTTCACATCAGGCGCTGTTTTTGCTTAAGAACTGTTTGTCGCTGCCGAAATTGTTGTATCTTCTTAGAACATCACCGTGCTGGCAATTTCCGGATGAGCTGAAAAAATTTGATGAAGTTATCCGAGTGAAAGCAGAACAACTGACGAACGTGACAATGTCCGGCCCGGTATGGGAGCAAGCCTCGTTGCCTACAAAATTTGGAGGCTTGGGACTAATCAGCGCATCCGATGTCGCGCTAGCCGCCTACGCCTCTTCGGTACACGGAGCAGCCGGCATGGTTGGCAGCATAGCAGGTGACGCGGCAGTAAAAGACCGCTGTTATCAGCTCACAAAAGCGTGGTCAGATCGTTTTTCCTTGGAACCTCCCCGCACGGAAAGCCGATGTTTCCAGTCGGTTTGGACAGCTCTGCAGCATACCCAGACAGTATCCCGCATGATGGAGAATGCCGACGTATTTACCTCTGCTCGCCTGTTGGCTGCATCCTCACCGGAGTCGCGCGCCTGGTTATCTGCCTTGCCTGTATCCATATTCGGAAATTTGCTGGAGGACACTCACTTACGGATTGCCGTGGCCCGGCGGTTGGGAGCTCCCGTATGCCAGCCTCATGTTTGTCGGTGCGGCAGCACAGTGGACAGTCTCGGACACCATGGCTTGGTATGCAAGCTAGCGAAAGGAAGGCACGGAGTCCACGCCGTCCTGAACGAAGCTACAAAGCGGGCATTGTGCTCGGCAAGAGTACCATCGTCACTTGAGCCAGCAGGCTTAAACAGAGGAGATGGAAAGCGGCCTGATGGAGTCACAGCATTCCCTTGGAAAAATGGCAAGCCGCTAGTATGGGATGTAACCGTGGCTGACACCTTTGCCCTAACATACATCGCCCAGACGTCCAGGGTGCCGGGAAGCGCAGCGGAAATTCGTGAAAATCGGAAATTAGGAAAGTACAGCGGGCTGGCAGACCGTTACAACGTTCAACCGCTGGCGTTTGGAAACCTCGGGTACATTCGGACCACTGACAAAGAAATTCTTCAAAGATCTGTCGAGAAAGATTAGCGACTGTACAGGCAACCCTCGCTCAGGGGAGTTTTTGCGACAGAAAATCGGTATCGAGATTCAGGGAGGAAATGCAGTTTCTGTTCTCGGTACATTCAGCGACATGGTTGAGCGGGAAGATGTGTATTTTGCCTTCAAATTAGCTCAGCGAGAATGATGTTGTGTATTTTTGTTATTGTTACTTGTGTAATACGCGATGTATTTATTAAATTGGGTCTAATAAAGTACTGTACATTGCAAAAGTTTGTGCAATGTGCACACGTACAAGTACTCCCGACGTTTTACTACACCCGCAGTACAGGTGCGCATTAGGGTGGAAGCACCATTGAAACTGCTGACTTGTGTACACTGTAGTACAGTATGTTTAAAACAAAGAACTTGTTTATGCCTTTTTGGAGTTAAGTAAACCCGAATACTTACAATTTAACCAAGCAGAAAGCTGCAGCCTTCTGCTCCATGTTTTACGCAGCTGTTGCGTGATGTTGCGATAAAACTTTTCAAACTTGACGCTTTGAACGAAGCTCGAGGAATGGGTCAGATAAAGCTATCCAAGACTAAATTAAGAAGCATCCTACCATGGCTGGAGCAGCAATTTCCAAACAGCTTGCCGGTAAAACCGATCTTACCGTTTGGTTCTATACTTATGTTATGGTTCAAAAAGATTTATGCAAACCAAGATTAATTATAAGTCTATAGTTTTGCCGTGTATTCAGGTTTACCACATCGCATGCAATATTCTGGAGAACCGTTTCTCATACCCGAAAATGAAATTCGTCGTTGATAAATTGCCAACACCGTCGGTGTGCGTATGCAAACCTGTGCGTAGCAAAACGACCCGCGATTATATCCCCGAGTTCAGTGAGCACCTACTGGTATTTGTACATTCCAAGCAAGCCAAGCAATGCAGGGCTTTCTGGGCCATGCAGCGGAACGTGCCGGAACTCTTTAACTGGGGCAAGGATATGACGTTTATCGGTATAACCGAAACCGCGAAAACGAAACTAACTTTTTCAACGATAATTTGCAAAGTGCTTGTAGATGTGGATCCGACCGTTGCACAAATATTGCTGTCAGTGGAGGACCGTGTAAGGGCGGGACGCTCCGCCCTCCTGAGTAGCTATTCGCTGTTTCTGGGGATTTCCACCCCGCACATTGCTGCGCTGTTTTGACGGATCTGCAGCACAGTTGCACTGGCTGCAGAATCCTTCCTCGTTAGTCTGGTGTTGCTGCGCCACGGTGCGCATTAGATTCGGCAATAAAGCCTCATCCGGGTTCACGCTGTTCGCTGTCGAGGATACGCGTGGCGCCCATACGGCCCCGCGTTATAATCGTGATTTTAAACTTGTACCTCCAGCACAAGGGTGTCCAACAGGAGAACGGTTGTTTAATTTCGACCTGAGCAGTTGCGCAATTCAGCGGTAAGGAAATCGCCACATTTGGCATTTGACAGCTAAGGAAGTTCCCTTCTTCAACTATCTAAAGAAGTATGAATGAGACATCGAATCGTCTCAGTGCTGACTACCTGTTTCTACGCCTTTCTCAGACAGTTGTCGATCGAAAACCTGCTGTGTGATCAGCAGCAGCGGAAAGTTGGTGGACGTGTTGTTTCATAGCGTGTATTAAAGTGACACTATATTAATGATTTCTATGTGACAAAGAGTTTTTAACGCTTTACCAAAGAACATATTTTGAGAGTGAAGATGTCTTTTCAGTTTTCCTTCTTCCTGATGTTTATAGTAGTACTGATTGAAATTATTGCTGACATCGGGATAATATTCAAGTTCGTACCACAGGCAAATACTCCCACTCTGGTAGGATAGGTAGTAGTCGGGTGACCGGATCCGGAGAACCGGGAGGATCGTACCGCTGTGCCTGTGGGCAAACTGGTCGAGCAATACAGCGCACATAAAGTAATAATCGTTTATGACGGTAATCATGGCTTGTAGGTATCCGATACCCGATGACCTGAAGCTGGGAATCCTAACAGCTGAGGACGCCGAACAGATTGTCCAAGAATGCCGGTTCGCGAACCCGTCCTGGATGAAGGTGTTCCAGTACATGCTGTCACATGAATTTCCCAGCGTGGCATTGTACGACGACAGGGATAAGCCCGTCGCGTGCTGCATGTACATGCTGCACGGCTGCGTCGGCGCCGTGTACGTCCACCCTTCGTATCGCAACCCGGATTTGTTCCGCCTTGTGCTCGGAAAATTGTTGGCTCGCCTTCAGGCGTTGGAAATACCGTCGGTTTGGATTCAGACCATGAATTTCCCGTTAGTTTCACAACTGGAAGTACGACGACACGGTGCTTTGAACAGCATCGTGTGCCGATCATTGGTTTCGGCGGGCATTCCAGCAAAACTCGAACCTCGTGGCACATCCCATACATCTGAACGTCGCCCAGACGGATGCACGACCTTTGCCTGGAAACGTGGTATGCGTCTGGCATAGGACGTCACCTGCGTCGACACTGTCGCCCCGTCCCATATCAAGTCCACTTCCTCAGCTGCCGGATCCGCCGCTGCCCAGGCCGAAAGACAAGAAAACCAGATTCAATGCGTACCTCTGAAGGCAGATACATTTTTACTGCACTAGCCTTTGAAACGCTCGGGCCCTGGGGAAAATCGGCATCTGCTTTAATAAAGGAAATCGGCAAGCGGCTACAGCAACACACCGGGGAACCTCGCTCACACGAATTCTTACGTCAACGTCTGTCGATCGAAATACAGCGAGGCAACGCGGCTTCCGTGCTGGGGACAATGGAAGGCGCGGATAAATTAGAAGAAATTTTGTTATTGTAATTCTCTATTTGTTGCCAATTCATGTATTCTAACTGGCTTGTGCTAATAAAATATTTTACTGGAAGTTATTCGCGGTTTTTCGGTGAAGAGTTCAAGCGCCGCAATGCTATGTGTTGGTTGACGTACACAGCGCCACCTGTATGCGTTGATCCGTTATAAAAAGTTCCCGCTCGACGACACCGCAGTCGCCGTAAAAATACTGAAAAGGCTCCGAGTCAGCCCAGTGAAAACGTGGCTGATCATGATTTTACGTTGGAAATCTACGAATCAGCAACTGAGGAGGACGGGAACGTAGGCAGCGATTTCTACGATCCGGAAGAATCGACCAGCCGAAAGATTCGAGAACATTTGCCTTACGGTAGACCTAACAAACCACGAAGGCTAGAGCGCTCTGGTGAAGTTATTATACACAATAAAATGACCTTCGATAACCAGGAATATCCTTTTGGCGGACTACCTAGGAACGATGGGAGCGGACGACGAAAGTCACTGAAAGGACACAATCGCAAGGGAGACCTTGATGACTGACCATCAGCATAGTCGGGAGCGATCTTTCGCAACATCGGCAATGGCGCATCGATCGCTTTTATTAAGTTCATTAATCAGACCATTTTCCTTGTACAACTGACAACAGTAGTTATTGCACGTAGAGTAGTCGTTCTTTTACTTTTAATTTCTGGAAACCCGAATTACGGTATGTTAATGATTCATTAGCTCAGTTTACGGTCTTGGGCACTATCTTTCGGACGTGAAAACGACAAACAGTACATTAAAATTTAAGGTAAAGTATGTTATATGCAAAAGTGAGGTCGTTTTACGGTATTTATGCTACCTGAGTGAGTAAGGCTCTGCTACTGAATTGTCGATACTGATTCATAATTACTTAGAATTAAGATTTCAAGAGATCATTCAGCGCCATCATGGTACTGCATCCACAAACCGACATAATATCTGTTTTGCAACCATTGCGCGAAAACGAAATATTAATATTATTTGGCATACTCTCACCGTCGCCGCTGACCTGTAATCTGTGATGCTTAGCTACAGATAACTGAAAAGTCTGCGGAAAGCGCTTCTTTATACCTGTGCAGGAATGTAACGAATGGGAAGTTTACTTTAGAACGTTTTAAAAGAATCCGTTATTCCGAGCGTGTCTCAAAAGGCTTTGCCGTTTCTTGCTTCTTGCTCTTATCTTGTTACAGGACCTTTCCCTGGTTAAATGAGGATGTAGCATTTGGACCAGAGGGCAGTATTTATGTTTCTTGCTTTGTCATCACGGGTAGTGCGAACGGTACTGAGAGGAGGAGTGGCCTCCCCGCACACCCGCACTGGTGCGGGTGCTAAGTTGTTTTGCTGTTTTTCGATAGTGATTTTCTCCATCTGCCAGATCTTCGGTCTGGCAGATTCTTCAGTTGCTAGCCATCGTCGTCTGAGTAACTTGCTGTACTTTTAGCCCCGCAGCATTCTGCTGCGGGAGCGAATGCTGCGGGAGCTTCTGTAGTGTCATGTGAATGGGATAAAGTGTGCAGTTGATTGTCGGGTGTCTTGCGTTTCCGCATAACTCGTAGTATACAACACTGCTCACTCTGCAGGATAGATTCCGTTTCTGTCTCTGTCCGTGGATTCTTCCTAGATCCACCATCATAGTACCTTTGTGGTTGTTGCATCTTCTTTAAGGCGCAACCAGCTTAGACTGTTTGCTGCATAGTACGAAATCATCTTGTGTGAGATACGAAAGTTATATATAAGGTTTTTCCATGTCGCATTGTGCTCAACTGATATCAGTTATGTGCCAACACTGTGAATCTCGTAGAATATTTGAACGTACGAGTAGTGTGTTATCAAAGATCACGGTTTACGATGGCTTCTACACAGTTACTTCAGATTGCGCTCGTTCTCGGCATTTTTGGATACAGTTGCTGCATGTCAGGAGAAGGTAAGACTATGAGCTACTAAAAAATCATTTCAAATTGAAGCGCGTTTTATCATCATTTCAAAAATCATTTCAAATTGAAACGATTATAACTTATGTATTTCTTAACATGGCTGTTGCCCCTAGTTTTCCAAATTTTTGGATTTTTGATGATTTTTGGTATTATGCAAAAGCTTAGGAAGCGATCACTTATCAAATCAATGATTTCTTAACCCAGAAATAACGACAGGAGCGTTAGCTGATATTTCGAGTAGAATATATGTACTATGTAGATTGCAGTATTGCAGCAGAGTTGATTCATTAGGAATCCCTGACGAGCGTCTTCTGGGTTACGGCTTGGGTGGAATCGGTGGATACGGTACCTACGGCTTGGGCGGAGTGGGTAGTTACGGCGGTCTGGGCACTTATGGTGGACTCGGTTACGGTGGTGTTGGGACTCTCGGCTACGGCGGTCTTGGCGGCTACGGTTTAGGTGGAATCGGCTACGGACGCGGAGGTATGGTTCATTCGGCATTCCGTAATTTTTCTAGAATTTTTGCCTTGATTTTTCCCCGTAAACCACTTCCGCTGAACTCCATTTATTAGTTTCCTTAGTTCAACATTATCTCTTTAAGCACTTAAATATAATTTTTTATACATAATAACTTGTTAATTTCGCCATAAATGTGCAGATTTAACATCTTTGCCGTGCCGGTACGGCGGATTAAACTGAGTTACTTAATTAAAAAAAAAACTTATTTCAGCTTCTAACAGTAAATTTTAAAGCATTTGGCACCTAAGCCGTTTCTGACCGGTCGCGGTATAATTTTTGGCAGGTCTGCTCTACGACGAGGACCCCAGTGCCGAAAATGACGAATTCCAGGATGAAGCCATGACCTCCAAAGGCGACTACAAGACCGTCATCATTCCCGGACACAAGATCCGCAAACTGAAGGTGCAGCTGTACAAGAAGCACGGAGAAGAGTCCGCTATCGACCACGCCACGACCGCCACCGGCACTTCCAACATGGAGACCATGCCCACCGAGAACAAGAGTGGCAACGAGAATATCTGCGTCATCCGTGTCTCCCCCATCACATCTTCCGCCGACTCATGCATCAGATGCGTGAAGTTGCCGAGGTCACCCCCCATTACCGACAACAGTGCCGCTGAATCCAACGTGGACATTAACATCGACGTCGACAACACCCAGGAAGAAGCGTCTAAGTGGAAGAACTGGAAGGGCGTGCATGAACTGCGTCATCCGCATCACATCAAGCGCGACAAAGAGAATTCCATGATTCGGATTGTCAGTTCCTCGTCACGCTTTTAAGGGCCTGAACGAGTTTGCTGACGGTGAGATGGCTGACGAATAAATGTGGCTACAGCTGTTGTTACGTCTGCCTAATTTGTTGAAAAACTGTGTTTTTCTGGTCAACGAATAATGGATGCTTTTCGAAAAGCTGTTGTTGTTATCGTCAAAGCTATGCGCAGTTTTTCGTTATTAAAGAAATTTTGTTATTGTGGAAACTTAATTAAAAGAAAGTGCGCTGGAAAAATTATCGTGCACGAGTAAACCTGCAGAATATTAAATTTTGCTCTCACTTGCTGAACGCCTTATAAAATAAAATTAATTTTATTGTTTCAACCAGTTTTGTTGCAAATTGCGGAAAACACTTAATTAAAAGTTGACGCGCTGGAAAAATTACACAATGGAACCTTTGACTCGGATAAATTTCGGTTACAATTTTATTCGAAGAAAATTACTTCCACATTTTCAATCAAAAGTAGAAATTTTACAACATCATAGTTTACAGACGTCTACAACAAGTAAGCATGTTCTTGTCGAGTCGTTTTTCTCCTTTTTAGAAGTAGTCTACCTCCTTGTGCAGAGCAATCCTGATTGGTGTAGGTATTAAACAGAGGAAACAAACAATGTATCTGTATGCAGGCAGTATCTGTAATTGTTGAAAATGTTACAATCACACGGCACACTCTCCAAATACGCTGCAAAATCGAAAGCGCCTGCGTTCTCTTACTTCCGTCCTTCGTACAGTACAGCAACCGGAATTTGTTTCGCCTTGCGCTTGGAGAACGGTTAAATCGCTTACGACACTGGAAGTACCACCGATCTATACACCAACTAGAATTTCCCTCACGGCTGGAAGACATTCGCGGTTTTGAGGGCTGAGAGTTAAAAAGCTGTCAGGTGTTGGTTGACGTACAAAGCCTCGCCATGCGGTACCAGAAATATCATTGCACCTTCTTTCTAGGACTATCGCCACTCTGAATTTTATTAGAACTCTCGTGACCTATTTACAGGGCTGTTGCGATGGCGTTTGCGGCGTCACCGATGACTCGGCGAACTCACGATTTTACGGGGTTCACGATGCTTATTTCTTTGCGTTCGTGATTTAATAAGTGTTTTGTGCAGGATATGGGGCGCAGTGTACCTGATCATTTGAAGCGGGACGGGGTTGCATTTACAAATGACTGTATTGAAAGAGGTGGTACAGAACTGGATATATCCCAATGGCAGGAAACAACCGCACAGAGGCATATAACTGGGAATACGGGACCGCTCCAGTCGGTATAACTAAGCCTATTTGGAGCACGTCTGTAACGGATGTGCAAATGTAGTACGGTATGGCTTCTTTTGCGACTTGGGGAAACAATTTCTGGTTGCGAGATTATATGCAGCCTTTTATCGATCCTGGATGCGAATCATGCCGATTCATGTGATCAATCCCGTCCCGATAGTAAGAGCTACAAAGGCACTGTCATATCATTTATGCTGATTTCATTGCAGCATAACACAGATTAGTGCCGGTAAAGGGTGGAATACAACTGCCGTATCCACGCTCATGTTATTCATGCAGTTATGTTCAGTTTAATTGATTAAACACAAGTGTTTTTAACCTAACTTACATTAATGCTAACTTCACGGATTGCGAGATTGCCGTTCATCCTTTAACCACCATTTGATTACCAGTTACCGTGAGCTGTCACGCTCGGAATATCACTCTTATCGCGGAGGATACTCCTGTTGATAGGAATACCCTACAATTAATATCGGCAAGCAAGTGGTATTTATACTACTACCATTATTATTGTTACAGACGCTGAGAGACCGCAACACGCGATTCACAGATAACTTAAAATTTTTCATAGGAAAAGAGCTGGAAAAGTGGGAAAACCAGATAATAGAGAAAATTCTGGTGCGGCTGGGGAAAGCACTAGAAATCCGTGAAGTGCAGATTATGAACAAGATACTATTAAGGTCATGTATAATAACAAGATAACAATTCTGTCATATGCAGTTGCACATGACAGAAACAGTTGATGCGGACAAATCATGCGACTGAGCAATGATCGTTGTAATCGTTACCGCTGTCGGTTCCGGCGTTCCGACTCTAATCATGGTAGTAAAAGAAAGGAATGGAGGGATTTTTCGCGACAAAAAAGCAGACGAAAAGTTCAGGGTCACTGAAGACCACACGGAACGATCGAAGCTTCAAGATGTCTTGGCAAAGGTACTGGACTTTGTTAAGACATCCTGCAGTTTCGATCACCAAGACATCTTGAAGCTTGAAGTTGGAGGAGATCAGGACAAATACAGCCAATCAGCGCTCAATTGATAAATGGGGATCAAAGGGTCCACTGCCACAATTCTTTCCTCTGCCACAAGAGTTTTCAACTGCAGAGACAAAACTATATAACAGCGAAAATCCGCACCACGCGAAATCGCGAAATTCGCACCATGATTCGGGAAGCTGGTTGTCAGAATTTCCGGGCGGACACTACCCAGAAGGCCATGCCTGCCTCTATCAGCCCCTTTTGGCGCAATGGGAGTGAAGATACAGTAGCTTAAAGATAATGCTCTACAGTAGTTTAGCGCGCATGCAGCGCGCTTCGTTGTTCGCACGCAGCAATGGCAATTTAAGAACATGGGATTTGTTCCTGTTGCACACATTTAATTTAATGTGATTGTTAAATTTTCGAACAACCGAGCAATGAAAATTAGCAAATAAATGAACAACTACTACGCGCTGATTATAGGTGCATAAGTAATTGCTCACAATTATTTGTAACTGTAGGTACGTATGGAAATAAGGTTACTCTTGAATAATTTTCTTATCAATTATAATTATTAGCAAATGGTTATTGCGTGGATTTCATCAATTACGTTGGCATTTAAGCGGTGTAATTTTTGCGAACTTTTGTCAAATAAACAGAACGCTCATGACAATGACGCCGTTTTTGCAGGTTTTGCTGACGGTGTTTACATATGTAGTATGTTTGCCATCGTCTTATCGATTGAATTCCCAGAATAGAGGCAGTTGCGGGAACCATCAGAAAAATATTCCCGGTAGTTAAGAAAAACCAGTTGTGATCACCAGTGATTCACCACACACCAATCAACTGTACTGTATAGTTATACTGCAAAATTATTTGGATATTACATCCCAAATAATTAAAGTTTGGAGTAAGAATTGCTAGTACGAGGTTGTCAGTTTTTCGGTCGTATCTTGTTTGACATACCGGAACGCTGACATAAACATTAAGAGAATATACTGCAGACCAGTGAATATCTTGAACGAGCAAAATAATTTAAGAATTGATCAGTTTTTAATGGTGACGTTCCTAAATTAATTAACAGCGGCATTGCAGCTTTGCAAGCCACGGTTATTCTCTGGCCTCGCGCATCTGTACAGTAGAAATTACAGTATCTGTACAGTAGAAATTTTGTACATAATAAATACCGCATAATAATTATTACGTCAACTTACCAAGCATTTCTACCGACGCAGGCGCCACCCATCCAAGCAATGCCCGTCAATATTCACCTTGAAGGTTAAGCACAGTGTCTGCGGTATAACAAGCGGCTGCAAAGTCCCACCACTCACCGGCAAACCAGGTCACATACCCACCAAGCACTACGACGACGAGTTCTCCAATACACTGAACGGAACAAGAGCAAGTACTATTAAGACAAACCAGAGGTTGGCTAAATCAGCCGGCATTCAACAGGGTATAAGTAGGGAATAAACAGTTCAACTGCAAGTGACGAGGTGCTACAGGTTACAGTTTTGTTAAATAGAACAGACGTGAATAACGTTACATATACTTGACAAAATAACTCTGGACTATCACTGCAGATCTGTTGAATCGTCTAAAAGGAATGCGCGATAACCTCCTCAATAACGAGCTCGTATTGCCAGCCTCAGATCGGAGCATAATCGGATAATTTGTAAACGAGTGTATTCTGCACTCGTTGACAAATAAAAGCAAAGCATTAAACCGATGTGTTCGCTGCAGAATGCCGATTAGGCGACTCTATGCGCCGGTGAGGCAAAACGGCATCAATTGAAATCTATTGCTGCCGTAATGTGCAGCGAAGAAGAAGATCGATGAGCTCACCAACGAGCTGAACTGCTTGAAGGAGTACGGCGAATATCAAAATCGCAAGTGCAAATAAACTGGAAGATAAATCTTTCCGGCTGGAATGTTAACTGGACAGTGCTGTGCTCTGTAATGAGTTGATGCAGATAAAATATCAGAGCCGGGAGAACAATTATATATATGAACAGCGGATAGCGAAGATGTGCGATAAAGTATGCGCCAGCTGTGTGAGTTCAAACAGGAGCGCAAGGCAGAATCGGCCAAAAGAACCCGGGGTGGAGAACACGAGAGTATTATGACCGGGAATGATGCGTATGAGACTACAATGAGTTACATTTATCGATCTCTTGATTTCATCTCTTATTGTTAATAAACCCGTAATTTCGTTTAAATAAATTTATTTATTCTTAAAATAACAGTAGTCATTCACTAAGCTTCCTAAAGGATCCTATGTCTTATGGCGTATGCTAATGGCGGAGACGGTCTTGTGGGCAAGAAAAAGGAATGGAATTAACTCTTAAATTGCCTCGTATTGTTAAGTTGGTGATTTCCGGTCGTTGTGTAGCGCTGCACTAGCCGCGGGTCTATGGCACTATTGATTATGATTTCTCGTTTGAAAAACAATTAGTACATAGTTTTCGGTGACACGCATTCGAATGTACCTAAATACATGCATTGTACAAGTTGAACCGGTTTGCTTGAATGCAGCAAGACGTTGCTACAATAAGTACTTAATGTTACTCACACAGTATTTAATGGGAGGTGCGTACTCGTACTTTGTACAAGCCGGTCGACAAACTGAGCATGCAAAGCTACAGGTAGAGCGATATTAACGCAAGGTTGTACTCTGTACAACTTTGCGTTAATATCGCTCTGTACTCTGTACAATACTTGGTGTTAACCACTCGTGCAGTGTACAGATATAGCCATAAAAGTAATATCTATATTTTAATGGTGAAGGCTCCGAATATACCACCTCTTACCACCTTTGGCTCCTAATACCACCTTTTGTACACCACTTTTTTCCGCATACTACCGTTCAGTTTTTATCCAATTGTATTACTGTATTATGAAAATGTATTAATAATATCTGGGACATCCGAATGGTTTGCCTGTGCAGCCACGTCCAAACGGACGCTCTGCGCTTCTTGTAATGCTGCATCGGAAGTTATAAATTAAATCCTGATTTTTATTTTTTTTCCGGCTCGTCTAGTTTTTAGGGGCAGAAGTTCTTTCTTAACAAAACACTCCACTATCCATTGTCGGGATACTTTGTTCAGTGTGCAATGTTCGTAACGCTGACATTATAGGTTGTATCCAGAACAAGCACTTCCGGTGTGTGTTCGAACTATTTTTTCCATAGCGTCGGCGTTCTAGCAATTCCACTTTTGCTTAAAGTTTTAAAACAATTAAGTGGTGCTATGCGGAGTCATAGGTGGTGTGCAAAAGGTGGTAATAGGAGCCAAAGGTGGTATGAAAGGTGGTACTAAAAGCCAACGGTGGTATAAAGGTGGTACGCGGAGCCTTCACCTATTATAATTAACGTTCCATGATTAAAAACCTATTGGAAATTTGGAGTAGTTTTACTATTGTTATTAGTTATTATTATTGACTTTTTTTTTAAACCTTGCAGGGAAATATCCTGGTAGATTGTACCGAATTCCTACGTACTAATAGTTTATTGTCTGCGCCATCCCTATAGCTGTAGACATTGTTTTGTGGCACCCTGTAATTACACAAAGTACTATTATATAAAAGTATCATTATCACAGTGCACCACGGCGCAGTAATTTTTGACCATTACAGAACAAAACCAGAATAAACACGTTATTATTTAGCAATGACTTATTGATGGTAAAGAATTCAGTCAAATAAAGCTGACATAAGTCTTTTGGACGTACCACTCATTAATATTCCGGTCAGGCTGTGCCCAGCATTCAACTAGCGTCGGCGACAGCTTCATGTCACGTTTCATAAACACGGTAAATGTCGAATTACACGGCGCTCCTCGCGCTTCCTCAGCGAACGTCGAGCAACGCCCCTTACTCTCGAATTCGCTAACTCCATAAGGATAAGACTTTGAATCAAACAGCTGCTTCAGATAATGCCTGAGTTGCTTTGACATGATGGCAAATTTTCCGTCAAATTTCCAGATAAAGTACGGTCCGCCATGTAAGCAGCTGCAGTCGACGTATGCGGTGCAGGTTAGGGAAGCCTGAAAATACGGTGTGCTGACATTGCGCAATCGGCCAACAAATACGTCTTCCGCCCTGGGTCGAGTCTGTAGCTTGAAATGCTTGACGAGATATACTTCCTCTTCGTGATACTGGAAGCACCGTACCGATCCAGCGGCCAGCGTCGTAACGTTGTGTATGGACAAATAATGGCTACCGTTCAACTCATGTCGGCTGTAGTTAAAGGTCGTGGAAGCCGGCACCGTGTGGTCAGCATAGACGGTAACGTTCTGATGCCGCCAGATGATCTGTTGCGCAAATTTTTCCGCTTCTGTTGTAGGGGTATTACAGGAGAATACGGCTGTTCGGCCAATGGTAGTGCGGACAATACTGGGATCAAGTGGCGGCAGATTAGGCATTGGTAGGAGTATGATGTCGTCTTGCATTTGCTGCTCAGCGGCTAGAACTAATTGTTCAGTCCTTCCAACTGCAATTATGATTTATGCATATACTTGCCATTATGATTACGATGTAAGGCAGAACGAAGATGTCTCAAGCGGTAACCCGCCAATTTGTAGATGAAAATTCGCCGATTGTCACTAAGTCAAAAAAGCACGATGTCGATCCGCCACGAAGTTGAGGTAATGTTTTGCTAAACTGCCTTAGTTTTCTCAGTTTGTTAAGGTGTTTTTAGGGTCTCAGGATTTTGTTAGGTTTCTCACATTCCGAAGGTTGTTAGTTTATCAGTTCTCCTAGATTTTCTAGTTTGTTTATCTTTGCTGTCTGGCCGTCGCCCTCGTGACGGTCGATATCGTGCGGTGACATTGTAACGATCGACACAGTGTTAGTCAAAATAATGTCTCTGATCTGTCTTAAGCAGCTCTAATACAGTAATACTGCGTTAAATATTTATATTTAAATGTTAAATAATGTTACAGGTGTCGATCCCAGTTCTAAATTACAGTTATTGACAGCTAAAAGGATGGCTCGGTCACCTACCCCGTATTCCGACCGATAACAAGCGATTCTGTTCAAAACCGGCTTTACAGCCTGCATACAAACATACAATGTGTCGCAGCGCACTGTATGGTAAAGAAAAGCCTGTTATACTCTGTAGTTCGATTTGTGCATGGTATGATATTTAAATGCATATAGAGCGACGGAGCTACCAATGGTCCAGTTCCAGCATTAAACCGTCAGTTGTACGCCAACATAGTCAACTGTACAGCTGTGGAAGAACGCATATCAGTTGCTTTATTCCACTGACTTCGTCCCATTGACTTCGTCCCATGCTATTACGGCGGAAGCCGACAAACGAATTGAAATCCGACTAAATTTTTATTCACACGTAAAACGTCGGACCTTCAATCGTACAATAGAGCAGCATATCTATTTTAGCTCGTTGACAGCAGGTAGCTTCTTCCCGGGTACTCTCGGTGACAATCTAGCATGGGATCAGGCTATGCCAGCTAGAAAACCGGGTTTGAATGGAATAGCTTGCTGTCAGACGGAATACTGAACATCTCGATCCCAATTTTGTCGCAGTTAATATTATGTACGGCCTTTCGCTTACCGCGAGAGACACTACAAGCAGAAACAAAAGGCGGGGTCGCTATCCACAAGCACATCGCAATGCAGCAATTCGAGAATGCAACAGCAAAAAATGTCATAATATGACATAACTAATCCCAGATAAGCTACGCACCGCTCAATATTGAATGCTAATTATCTAAGTTCTTAATTAATAATAATAATAATAATAATAAGTAATAAAAATAATAATGATACTGTAAATAGAAAGGACAATATGACTGGAAATAAATCAAATAATTATAAGCAGCCTGGTATGGGCCTTTTGTGTTAACATTCTTGACAGAGTGGTACTTTATTTTGCAGGATGTTGGATTGTGACGGCTTATACGGCTTAGTGCCAGTATTGTGAAGCACGAGTAAAATTTTATAGTGGAATGTTTCTGTAAATCTAGTACTGGCAAAACGTCCCTGTACATTAAGTAGTCTTATTGTTGATGATACATAAGTACTTAATAGTACTTACTTAATCTCCAGATGTACTGCGCTACTTTTCCTGGTTATTATTACAGACTGTTATCCTGCGCTCTTGCAACGATGGTAAAAGGGCCGCACTCCGCGGTGTCAGTGTTCTGCAATGCAGAGTTGCAGACATGACTGTGGTCTGTGGGTGCACGGTTTTATCTGCACGTAATGTTGCCGCGCAACTGGGATTCTTGCATGCATAGCAAACGAAGGGCAATCCGATAGTGGAAGCATGTGAAAATTTTATTTTCATCGCAGCGCAGGTTGTAGAAGTGGAGTTTTCACTGCTGAAGTGAATTTGCAACTGTAAACAGGACGGGAACCTCGTAATTGCACGTCATAGCGAATGTACAGTAGTTCATTGCGCACGCAGAAAGTACCGCTTTGGCGTTCGTCGTTATTCCACAGTTATTAACGTTTTAATTAGTCGTTGTTGCTTTATCATTACTTTCCGGCTCGTGTACGTGGTATATGGTACGACCTTGCGTGTATAGAATGTCTTACCGTGACCTTCTACTTGTACTGTGTTCCTAGTTACGATCGATGCAGTGTACGTATGCTTGCTGGCTAGTACAATTACAGATATTTGTTCTACACATCATCAAACGATAAATACACTACAATGCATTTCATTTTGGTTAGAAATGATATCTTTTCAATACAGTACTTTGTGGAGGTTTCTTAGTTTGACTTAGACAAACCGCCTTTATATTACGATTTCACGCTCATGACCTTCTGGTGGATCGAACGTTTTGTTTAGTTTATTCAATGAGCATACAAACCCTCGAGGCACCCGCAAGTCTGGTCAGCATCAAAATATGAACTTGAAAGCATCAGAAAAAGAATTATGAATATTGCAAGAGACTTCAATGAAGACAGAGCTGCTCCAAAAAAAAAGAACCACTAAATGCAAAAAGTTATGTACTGCTGTAAGCGTTAGTAATCTAGAGTAGAGTGTGTGCTGTTATTTTGCCGGCTAAATTATGCATAGTTGTTTTTTGTGCTAAATTATGCAGAGCTGTTGTGCAGTGTTACTTAGTAGCCTCCTTGAAAAAGAACAACATCCTTTCAGCCAAGTAGTCAGGATTTAAAAAAGGCTGTATGTCCTTTGGATCTGAAGAAAGCATTTGATTCGGTTTCACGTGCACAGTTAATTGAAAAGCTCCGGATGACTGGAGCCGAAAGAAGCGCGATAAAGTTGTGTCATAGCTACTCTGTATTTTGTACTTAACAAGTTGCAAGCCGAATTTAAAAGTGACCGCGCCAGTGATTAGCGTGTGTGCCATTCTTATTATCGTGCTGATATTTAGCGTCGTGGTTATAGAAGTTTGTGCAATTTGTATACCCTCGATTTCCACTACGATTTCCAGCAGATGTAGAAGTAATTATTAGGAATGAAGTACCACTGAAACAACTGACTTGTGTAAACTGTGGTATGGTTAAATACTGTACTTTGTAATACGCCTGTTTATGCCGTTATGGTGAGGTAAGTAAACTTCCCAAATACCCAGCGCAGTCTAACTGATTTGTGAGCGCTGTCGCCTTCCGCATTATGTCATACGGAAATCATTCGTGTTGATGCGATACAACGTGCTGTATAAATGTAGCGCATTAAACGAGACTCGAAGGTCGGATGGGTCGGATACCGCTATCGAAGGCTAAATTAAATCTTACCATAGCTGGAGCAACAGTTTCCAAACAGCTTGCCGGTAAAAAAGCAAGTGTTAGCCGATATTACGGGCAGTACTCTGTACGTAGATACTAGATTGTAGCATTACAGCAGAGTTGATTTACTAGCAATTCCTGACGAGCGTCTCCTGGGCTACGGCTTGAGTGGAATCGGTGGATACGGTACTTACGCCTTGGATGGACTGGGTGGTTACGGCGGTTTGGGTACTTATAGAGGACTAGATTACGGTGGTCTCGGGACTGTCGGCTATGGCGGTCTTGGCGGCTACGGTTCAGGTGGACTTGGTTACGGACGCGGAGGTACAGTTCATTCAGAAATTCCGCAAATTTTCTCGAACTTTTATCATAATATTTTCCAGTAAGTTACTTTTGTTCAGCTAAATCTATCAATTTCATCAGTTCAACAATATCTTTTCAAGTACTTAAATCTAATTTTTGTACATAATAAAACATAACAATCTGCTGATTTCACCATAAGTGTGAAAACTTAATATCTTTGCCGTGCCGGTTGTGGTACGGCGTATTAAACGTTGGTTACTTATGTAGGAGTAGATAGAAAACTAAACTTGTTGCAACTTCTAGTAATAATTTTAAAACGCTTGACACTTTAACGGTTTCTGACTGGTAGCGGCATAATGTTTGTAGGCCTGATCTACGACGAGGACCTCAGTGCCGAGAACGACGAATTCCCGGATGAAGCCATGACCTCCAAGGGCGACTACAAGACCGTCATCATTCCCGGTCACAAGATCCGCAAACTGAAGATGAAGCTGTACAAGAAGCACGGAGAAGAGTCCGCTATCGACCACGCCACTACCATCACCGGCAATTCCAATATGGAGACCATGCCCACCGAGAACAAGAGTGGCAACGAGAATATCTACGTCATCCGTGTCTCCCCATCATATCTTCCGCCGTCTCATGCATCAGATGCGTGAAGCTGCAGAGGTCACGCCCATTACCGACAACAGTGCCACTGAATGCAACGTGGACAGCATTAGCAACATCTGTGGACAACAGCCAAGAGGAAGCGTCTCTAGTGGAAGAGCGTGCATATGAACTGCGTGAGCGTCTTATCAAGCGCGGTAAAAGAGAACGCCATGATCCGGATTGTTACTGTACCGCGTCATATCTGTCTTTAAGGGCCTAAAATATTAAGCTCGCGGAGGGTGACGAATAATTGCGACTTGTTTTATTTATTTTTTAAAAGCTGCGCTGTTCTGGTCAGCAAATGAAGAATCGTGTTTGCCGAAATGACGGTTTTGTTGCAAATTGCGGAAAACCCTTAATTAAAAGTTAACGCGCTGAAATAATTAGCAAGTTGGAACGAACCTGTGACTCAGCAATTTTGGTTACAATTTTATTGGAAGAAAATTAATTCTACACATTTACAATCAGAAGAAGGAATTTTAGAACTCCACAGTTTACAGACGTCTGTTACAAGTAAGAATGTTCTTGTCTAGTCGTTTTTCTTCTTATTAGAAGTAGTCGACCTCCTTGTGCAGAGCAATCCTGATTGTTGTAGATATTAAACAGAGGAAACAAGCAATGCATGCTGGCAGTATATGTAATTGTTGAATGGAGTACCAAATAAATGCTACAATCACTCGGCACACTCCACAAACACGCTGAAAAATCGAAAGCGCCTTCGTTCTCGTACTTCCGTCCCTCGTACCGAAACCGGAATTTGTTCCGCCTTGTGCTTGCAGAACGGTTAAATCGCTTACGACACTGGAAGTACTACCGGTCTGTACACAAACTAGAATTTCCTTCACGGCTGGAAGACATTCGCGGTTTTGACGGTTAATAGTTAAAAAGCTGCAGTGTCAGGTATTGGTTGGCGTAAAAAGCCTCCCCAAGCGCCAAGCGGTGCCAGAAATATCACCTTCTTTCTAACGACTTCCGCTATTCTGAATATTATTATGACATTTGTGACCTTTTTGCAGGACTGTTGCGATGATGTTTGTGTCACCGATGATTCGGCGGATTCCCGATTTTATGGGATTTACGATACTTACTGCTTTCCGCTCATGATATCAATTAAAAAGCGTTTTGTGCATGATTTGGGACGCGATGTTACCCGATCATTTGAAGCGGGACGAACGACTGTATAGTATTGAAAGAGGTTGTACAAAACTGAATAGTATCATAATATCCCGAAGGGCGAAAACCAAAGCGGCGCAACCGATGTGAATACGGGACCGCTGCCGTCAGTATAATTGCCCTAATCTGGAGCATGTCTTTAACGGATGTGCCAATGCAGCACGGCATGACTGTTTTTGCAACATGAGGAGACAATTTCTCGTTGTAGGATCGTATGTAATCTTTTACCGATCCTGGATGCGAATCATGCCGATTCATGTGATCAATCCCGTCGCGACAGCAAGAGCTATAAAGGCACTGTGTCATATCATATATGATTTCATTCCAGCATAACGCAGATTAGTGCCGGTAAACACCTGCCACGGTAAGCCAGTGATTATACCTGCCATCCTGCCTAGATTATACCTGTTTGTGTCATTTATGCAACGAGACGCGGGCACTCTACTTTACTTTAATTTTAGCTACTGTACTTTATTTCTTCTTTGCGCTTAATTTTGCTTAATTTAATTTTGAATTAACACAGTTAATTTAATTTAACTTAGATTAACTCCAACTTCCCCGATCACACGATTACCGTTCATCCTTTACCTTCGTCATCTGATCAGTTACCATGGGCTGTCACACTGGGAATATGACTCTTATCGGGGAGGGAATTCCTGTTAATGCCACCTGCTGCTGCTTGCCATTGTTGTTAATGTTGGAGACGGTGCGAAACTGCAACGTTCGAGTCACGGATGATTTCCTATTTCGCATGGGAAAAGAGCTGGAAATCTGGGAAAACCAGATTACGGACAAAATTATGGATCAGGCGGAGAAAGCGCTAGACATCTGGGAAGCACAAATCATGGACAAGGTTGCATTAAACGTGGAGTTGTACATGAAAGAACCCGTTGATGCGAACAAATCCTATAATTGGATTATGATCGGTGCAGTGTGTATCCTTGCCGCTGTGGGTATCCTTTCCAGCTGGTTCGGGGTTCCGGCGCTGATTGTGGCGATAAAAGAATGGGATATTCGCGACCAAAAAGACGCCGAGAAGTTAAAGGACACCGACAGCCATGCGGAATGGTCTCAGCTTGAATATCTTTTGAAAAAAATCCGGGGCGAAGTGGAGGAGATCGAGAAACATACAGCCAATCAGCGCCGCACCTTTGATAAGCAAGAGGAAAGGATTGCGGCGTTGGAACGTAATTTCGCTGCTCTAATCAGCGGGTTGTCAGCTGCAAAGATAAACCGTTACAGCGGGCAGCGAGAAAGCTGGGATCTGGAACCCGGTTGCCAGGATGTCCAGGTGGAGATTGCTCAGAAGGCACACCAGCTAGGCCACACAGTACAGAAACTGGAAGCTGCAGCAGCGGAATTGGGAGAACTGATTACCGGCATTCGGCGGTCATCCAGACAGCAAACCGTTTGGACCAGCGATGAAGAAATCTTTTAAAGCAGAGAAAGAGATCATGAACCCATCCATCATCAAGCTCGCCGACCTCGTCCTTTTCCAGCGCAGAAGCTGGGTCGGTTTATTATATCCCCTGTTGCAGTCCGTTGGCAAGTGATCAGGCCAGCGGCGCCTGAAAGGCGTTTTATTTTTAATTAATTTTATTGATGAGTAATTTCAAGCAGACTACTCTGACACAGGTAGTCAGGTACTAAATATCATGTTGTTTCATTCACTCCATGCTTGCCTCTATCAGCCAGGTTTTGCGCAATAAGAGAGAAGGTAGCTGCAAAAAAAGTAATACTTCGGTATATTACGTTTTGTATTTATACGTATGACGAAAGCATAACGCTTCAGTTAATTGCATAAAGCGTACATGCAACGCGCTTCTTTGTTCTGACGCAATGCCGGCAGTTTAAGCGCACAGGATTTTTTCCTGCACACATTTAATTGTATTCGGTTATTAAATTTTTAAAAACGGAGTGGCGAAAAAATAATAAATAAATGGACAAACGCGCTGCATAGTAATTGCTCAAATTATTTGAGATTGAGATTGTAGGTATGAAAAGTATTGGTTTCTGATCAGTGATAATCGATAGCCAACGGTTATTGGGTAGATTTCATGAATTGCGTTGCGCTCTTAAGTAGCGCAATCTTTTTCTGGACTTTTGTCAGGTAAATAAAAAGCTTATGACAGTGACGCTGATTCGACAATTTTTGCTGAAGATGTTTATAATGGGAATGTTTGCCATCCTCATATCAATTAAATTCCCAGAATAGAAGCATTTGGCGCGAACCACCAGAAAAACCTTTTCCGGTAGTTTAGAAAACCTGCTCTGATCACAACGCACCAGTTTATATAACGCATTTATCCGCTGCTCTACCCGGGTAGCATTACAAGACCGCGAAGATGCTAATACTATACTTCAGCGGAAAAAGGCCAGATCCCCTGAAAATAACCTGATCCAAAAATCACATCGCGATTAGTGCAATTCCCAGTCCGCGTATCCGATCGCATGGTGCACACAACGTCAACAGTGATATACGGTACTATGACTGTATAATAGTGTACCATAATGAATATTATGTTCCGACATTAGAATTACGAGTAGATGCCAGGCATGCGCCGGCTCGCCGTTAACAAAACTTACAAAAGTGTCTATTCATGTTATGTAGCGCACCTTTCTGTGTAATTTATTGTATTGTATACCTCACAATTGTTTCGATGCATCCCAAAAATTACAATTTGGAGTAAGAATTATTAGTACAAGGTTGCTAGTTCTTTGGTCGTATCGTGCGTGTATGGCATGCCACAACGCTGGCATAAACATAAAAACAATAAAAAGAACAGTCAACATTAACAGTAAATCTAGAAGAATAAAATAATTTAAGAATTAATCAGTTCTTAATGGCAAGGTTTTTGAATTAATCAATAGTTGAACTGCAAGGCATGGTTATTCTTTAGCATCGCATATACAGTAAAAATTTTGTAACGTCCTCGTATACAATACCGCATAATAACTATTATGCCAAATTTACCAAGCTTTTCTATGATAAGACTGCGACTAGTACAGTACTGTACAACAGTACTTCTGGAAAAAATCATACGAGCTGTAGTTATAATATTATTTAGCGGTTTAATACAGCGTTTGAAGAAGGGCACTACTTTGTTTTCTGAATTTTATTTCCAGTAGCATTAGGAAAATTTCCTAAACTACTACTAGAAGGAATAATAATACTGTAACTCGTACGAGTGGTAAATACGAGTATCGCTTAATACAGCTGCTTCAGATAATGCCGAAGATGCTTCAATATCGGTAATGTCTAGTTACTGGGCGCTGGAAAATCTCCAGAAAGCCCCCAAAGTTTTAGACAGGCAGTTTTCATATTTTCGGCGATTTCCCCTGTTCGACGAAGACCTGCATGAAATGTGATGCACGCAATAGAATTTATTGTTAGTAACGAGTTTCATTTTTAAAAATGTTCTAAAGAAATCCGGTATTCCAAACGCATTCAAATTCCAAACGTGCTTCGTCGTTTGTTTTTACCTGCCGTTAAATGAGGATGTGGCATTCGGACCAGATGTCAGTATGCGTGTTTCTTGCCTCGTCATCACGGACAGAGCGAACGGCGCCTTTGTAAATGTTGCAGATCCTTATGGCGTAAGCAGCTTCGACAAACTGCTTCGTAAAACAACCATATTGTCTGAAACTCGAAAGTTATACCGGTATATAAGGTTTTAAATTGCATGTTGTATTTTTATTCGTATCACTAGTGTGTCAAAGCTCTCGTAGTTTATTTGAAAGTTATTGGTTTTGCAATTTAGTCTACTTGTTACAGAACGAGCACTTCGTTATTAAAGGTCACGGTTAGCAATGGCCTCTACACAGTTTTTTCTGATTACTCTCGTTCTCGGCCTTTTTGGATACAGTTACGGCATGTCAGGGGAAGGCAACAACGGTAAGACGTTAAGGTTTTTAAAAAGATCAGTTTGTGGGAAAGCGATGTAACCTTTGTATAAGTCTGTTTTTAAACTTTTAGACATAACTGCTGCAGTCACAGCATTCTTAAATATTTTTAAATTCGTCGTTCATATTGATATTCAAAGCTTAAGTTAGAACGCGATATAACAAAAATTTGACTACCAAGTGCTTAACGAATGAAATGTTAACTGAATGTTACCCGTAGTCGGTCGTAGCGTTACAGCAAAATTGATTTAATAGGAATCCCTGACGAGCGTCTCCTGGGCTACGGCTTGGGTGGAATCGGTGGATACGGTACTTACGGCTTGGGCGGATTGGGTGGTTACGGCGGTTATGGTGGACTCGGTTACGGTGGTGTCGGGACTCTGGGCTACGGCGGTCTTGGCGGCTATGGCTTAGGCGGACTTGGTTACGGACGCGGAGGTATAGTTCATTCAGCCTGCTGCTATTTTGCTCGAATTGTTACCTTGACATTTTTCCGCAAACAACTTCCATTCAAACATTTTCTGATAACTTCTTTACTGCTCATCTTTAACTAAATATAGTCTTAATTATACTACTTTGTCAACTACAGAATAAGTTTAGTGTGACGATTGGCGACTTTAGCGTATCGGTACCATGTGTTAAAACTGAGTTACTTGGTTGTAAAAATAAACCCATTTTAATTTCTCAGTCGAATGATATTAGAATTTTAAGATTTTTGACACTTTCTGACTGGCGCGATTTCTGACTGGGTGCTGATGCTTGGCAGGTCTGATCTACGACGAAGATCCCAGCGCCGAGAACGACGAATTCCAGGATGAAGCCATGACCTCCAAGGGCGACTACAAGACCGTCATCATTCCCGGCCACAAGATCCGCAAACTGAAGGTGCAGTTGTACAAGAAGCACGGAGAAGAGTCCGCTGTCGACCACGCCACGACCACCACCGGTTCGTCCAACATGGAGACCATGCCCACGGAGAACAAGAGCTCCAACGAGAACGTCCGCGTCATCCGTGTCCCCCATCACATCTTCCGCCGCCTCATGCATCAGATGCGCGAAGTTGCCGAGGTCACCCCCATTACCGACAACAGTGCCACTGAATCCAACGTGGACAGTAACATCGACGTGGACAACACCCAGGAGGAAGCGTCCAAGTGGAAGAACTGGAAGGGCGTGCATGAACTGCGTCATCCGCATCACATCAAGCGCGATAAAGAGAACTCCATGATTCGGGTTGTTACTGTTCCGCGTCACGTTTATAAGGGCCTGAATGAGTTTGCCGATGGTGAGATGGCTGACGAGTAAATATCCCTAAAGTTGTTGTTACGTTTGTCTGATTTGTTGAATTTGTATTTTTCTGGTCAACGAATCATGGATGTTATTCGAAAAGCTGTTGTTGTTATTGTGGAAAACTTACTGTATTTAAAAGAAAACGCGCTGGTAGCGTTATCATAATTACTGGCATCGTTGAGATTTATTGATGCAGTATCAGTTTTGTTAAAGACAATTACATGAAGCAATAAAACAAAAATTTCGCGCCTTGAAACTTTCAATACGCTGCATTAAACAGACATCTGTATTACCATCATACCATGTAATTGTACGTACGAATGTTTGCAGAATCGGTACGAGCAGTTTAGTACGAGTACTAGTAATTTGCAGAATATTTGCTCGTACAACGCTCGTACAACAACATTCTGAGCGGATTAAAAAAATAAAATTTAATGTTACAACAGGTTTTCTACTCAAATAGGAAGAAACAACATGGAGTACGAAATAGATCAGCCTTTAGAGAAATTACTGTACAATGCAGTACGTACAGAGCGTACTGAATAGATTTGGGTTGAACAGCCATCACAGCGCTCATCACAAAATTAATCCGATCGCAACGAATCAACGATCAGCCGTCCTTGATCTCGGGCTATGGATGGGCAGGGCGTTCACACACGCTGAAAACGGCAAGCGCTTGGATTCTTAATCGCGCCGTACAGCCGAATGATTGTCAGTTTCAAGCTGCAAATTGTCAAAGTTTCAGATTCCATTCGCAAATTTCAGTTGTCGGGAAAGCTTGAGTGTTGGTTTTGGTGTTTTTGTTTAACTTCTACCTACTGGACGCGGACAGAACATGGACCGTCTTCGGATACCACTCACCAAGGAGAATCTGGCCAGGGTCCTGCCATGGCTGGAAAAGGATTTCCCAAACAGCTTGCCCGTAAGGTTTCACCTTCCTGGTGAACTGTGGCGTAATGCTGGTGCCTGATCACGTGGGCCAACAAATTTACGGTGACCGTTCTATTATGCAGGTGTACCACATGGCGCGCAACATTGTGGAGAATCGCTTCGCCTATCCGGAGATGAAGTTCATCGTGGATAAACTGCCTGTACCATCTGTGTGCCTGTGCAAGCCCATGCGCAGCAAAACTACCTCACGATCGATCTTCAATGACCACTTGCTGGTCTATGTGCACGCGCACTCCGTGAAGGCCTTCCAGAAAATGCTGCGCTGCCAGCCGGATCTCTTTCACTGGAGCAAGGACATGACGTTTATCGGTACGAGCCATTAGCATGAGGAAAATCGAGCGACTAAGAAACCGGTTTTGTCTTAACAGAGCGAACTGGTTATGCATTGGCTAGCTGCAGTCGTTTCCTAGTATCTACTGAAAAGCGATTAAATTTTTTCAAAAGAAGAAGCGACATATTTTCCCTAATTGAATCGATTCGTAGCTCAAATTACTGAAAATGTTAGTCTTTAGTCTTGAAGTCTTTAGCACACGCTTTTGAAACTGCACCTGTGCCTTATTCAGATTTTTCAGTACATGCGACGATTGTAGCCAAATTTTACTTTCTACTAAAACACGAACAGTAAACTTTCGTCCTGCAGATATACACCCGGCAATGGCGCAGGTGTTCATGTCGATGGAGGGCGGCGGCTTTTCACCAGTGACTCCGGAAGAAGGATGCCCGTCAGGAGAGCGCGTGTTCAGTTTCGACCTGACCGGTGGCAAGATTTCTCGGTAAGAGTTTAAATCGACTGAGCTTTTCACCTAAAGAAACATCACAAAATAACCGGGTACCTTTTTACTGTAGGCTGCCGATGCCCAGTGATCTAGATCTGCGTCTGGGCACCCTGTCCGCTACGCACGTTGGACAGATCGCGAAAGAATGCCGTTTCACGGCGCCATCGTGGAAGAAACTCTTCCGTTTCATGCTGTCCCATGGATTTCCCAGCGTGGCGCTGTACGACGACAACGTCGCACTGGACACGCCCATCGCGTACTGCATGTACATGATGCAGGGGTTGCGTCGGGGCCGTCTATGTCCAGCCGGCGTATCGCCATCGAGATTTATTTGGAGTGGTTATCAGGGAATTGTTGATTCAATTGCAGACACGCAAAGTGCCCTCAGTGTGGATGCAAACGATGAATCTTCCCTTAGAACCACAGTTGGAGGTCTTTCGCGGTTTGGGCGGTGTGGAATACAAGCGCCGTGATGCCCTGTGCTGGATGACGTTCCGGACGCAGCCGGGTTATATTGATCCGTTCGAAGACATTCCCGTTGGAACGCGTCAACAGCGCAAACAGAAGGTGGGTGCGATTCGCAAGAAGAACGCCGAAGCGGGTACCAGTGGGCCTCGACTGCCAGCTCTCCCAGGCAACCGTTCAAGAGGATGACGATGACGAGGAGGACGATTGGCAAGAACCGGAATTACCGGTGCCGGTGCTGCAGAAATCGGGATGGCAGGAACCGGGAGAAGCGACTAGTCGGAAGGTTCGCGACAGTGTTCCTTTTGGTAAACCGACCCGTTCGCGAAAGCCGAACAGTAGAGGGAGTGGAAAAGATCTGGATGACGATGACCTGGGTTATTGTCGTAAGGCAGGACGCGGTGATGCCGGGAAGGGGAAACAGAAGGCTTCCAAAGGGCGAGGTAGACGCGAACGGGATTTTGACGATTGGGCCTAAAGAAAGTCACTGGCGAGAGGCGGTTTTGCGTTGGAGAATAATCCGGATGACCCGTTGGACCCACCCGCTGATTATTTTTTCTGGATTTTTCATCAATTCATTGCTTTGATTGAACATTTGGTTTTTGTGTAGTTGAGTTGCACCTTTGACGCTTGGTCTTCCTTACGGAATTACTCTTTCATTGAATCTTTCCTTACTTAATTCAACGCTCAGTCCACTAAGTGATCCTTTTGTATAGCTTCGTACATTTGATATTTTATCCTCTTATTTTTGTAAATAGTTTGTTTGCATACCGACGTTATAACTACACTTTACCATTTTTTTTTGCTTTGTCAAGTTTTACAGAATGTAAATGTACAGAACCTGTTATAGATAAGCAGCACGTAAAAAACTGTGAAAAACTTGGTCTTCTGTCGTTGCACTGATTACAGACTTTAAATCAAACTGTGGATCATAGTTCTGATTAATGCCCGTTGCCGTGCTGTCGTGGCCTTGTTCTGTGCTCTAGAAAATTAACAGAAATAATAGTTTTGCTTCTGTGAATGAGGAGATCACCTGTGACTTGAATAAAAGATGAAGCACAGAGAAATTTAGTACGTATCACTCTGGACCCATTATTTTCGCAGATTTGTTTTCAGTTTTATTTGAAGCAGTCAGTAACGGTGAACCTCCAGTACAACGTAAAATTTATTAAAGTGCCTCGTTTGCAGCCAAAAACCTGACAATTTTGATACACGTACGCACTGACCATCTTAAAATCAATACAAAGTATTAATAAACTATTAAACAATAATCACTATGCACCTTTGTACAGTACGTACAACTGGTACTCTGCTCTGTTGAGGAAATCGGGAAGCGGCTACAGCAGTAAACAGGCGAACCTCGCTCATTCGAATTTTTGCGCCAACGCCTATCCATCGAAATCCAACGCGGCTTCCGTACTCGGAAGTCGGGACCATGGACGGAAGGGAAAATTTAAATGAAATCTTACTTTTGTTACGCACTGTGTTTTGTTTCAAGTTGAATTGGTGTGACTGGCTTGTGCTAATAAAGACACTTGTACTCTGCACAGGAAAATCAGGCTCATCAGAATCAGCACTCGTACTCGTGATGCTTGTTCCGGCTTTAAACGGTACGTTATCAGACTCATCACAGATCCACATCATACAGCGCTCGCTGCCAGAGTACGTACATAATTAAACCGGTTCACCACAGCCACCAATCAACGATAATCGGCTTTGTTCTCGGTTGTGATAGGCGATGCCCACGTCGTGGAAGAGCAACGCGTAGGTACCGAGTAGGCGCCATTACAATTTTCACATTTCTGATTTCTTTTCGAATTGTTAATCTCAGGAGCGGTTAAATGTTATCCTTTCGTGTGTTTGTTACATTCCATGTAACCAGCATCATTCCTGCGCTCTTGACAATTCATAATATCACTTAGGCGGAGAAAATGCCGGCCGTGCCTCTAGATCGCCTGCGGATTCCAGTACCCAAAGAGAAACTTGTCAACATCCTGCCATGGCTGGAAGAAGAGCTACCAAACAGCTTGCCAGTAAGGCTTTCTTTCACTCGTTCCTTGTGCCTGATTACGTGAACAGCCTGTCACTGGTTTAACTGTGATTCTTTTCATCCAGATGTACCATATGGCGTGCAACATTGTGGAGAACCGCTTCGACTATCCGGAGATGAAATTCATCGTCGATAAGCTGCCGAAACCGTCCGTGTGCGTGTGTAAGCCCATGCGCAGTAAAACAACACGCGGCTACCATCCGATCTTTAACGATCACTTGCTGGTCTATGTCCATGCGCACTCCGTGAAGGCATTCCGCGCCATGCTGCGCTGCAACCCGGAACTGTTCAACTGGGGCAAGGACATCACGTTTATTGGTACGAGTATGGACATTTTCTGTTTTTATTATCACATGGCTGCTCTTGTCAGTATAGCTGCGTAAATGGTGCCCTTTCGTATGCAGACATACATCCGGCGCTGGCGCAAGTGTTTCTGTCGATGGAGGGACGTGGTGGTTTCTCTCGAGTAACTCCGGAAGAAGGATGCCCGTCCGGGCAACGAGTGTTTAATTTCGGCCTGGAAAGCTGCAATTTGTCTCCGTGAGACCAAATCAGCTTATCGTTTTAGCTTGTAACAGGTTAGTTAACAACGCCTAAAGTCTGAACCGTTCTTTTAGGCTTCCGATTCCCAGTGATTTGCGGCTGGGAATCCTTTCCCCTGACCATGTCGAACAGATCGTCCAAGAATGCCGTTACACTCATCCGTCCTGGAAGAAAGTCTTCCGTCACATGCTGTCCCATGGATTTCCCAGCATCGCGCTGTACGACGACAACGTCGCACAGGACTCGCGCATCGCGTACTGCATGTACATGATGCATGTTGGCATCGGGGCCGTCTATGTCCAGCCGGCTTACCGCCACCGGGATCTCTTCGGGGTGGTCATCAGCGAGTTACTAGTGCAGCTGCAGACCCACAACGTGCCGTACGCGTCGGTGTGGATGCAGACGGTGAATCTGCCGTTAGAACCGCAGCTGGAGGTCCTGCGCGGTTTGGGTGGTGTCGAATGCAGTCGTCATAATGTGATGTGCTCAGTGACGTACCGGGCGCAGCCGGATCACATTGATCCGTTTGAAGCGGTTCCCATTGGGACGCGTCAGCAGCGTCAAAAGGTGGTGGAGAAGAAAAGCAGAAGCAATGCAGATTGTCCTCGTCTGCCGTTTTTCGAGACAACGATTAACGAGGATCCTATTGTGCGGCAGTTTTGTCCAGAGTTGGGAGAAGCGACCAGTCGGAAGATTCGGGACAGTGTTCCGTATGGGAAACCGACCAGATCGCGAAAACCGGAGCGGAATGGTGGAGTGAAGGGAGAAGGTCCGGATGCTGACGACGAAGGTTATCATTGTAAGACATGACGCGAGGATGCCGGGAAAGGGCGGAAGAAGGCTTCAAAAGGGCGAGGTAGACGCGACGGGGACGAATGGTCCTGAAGAAACTCCCCTATGAAAGGTGGCTTTGATTCCTTTCGAAAACTATTGCTTTTCGGATCTTTTTAATCAACCGCTTTGATTTTTCAAGCCATATGTTTTCTATTCAATAGCTACGTATACGCACTTTGGACATTTTATAGTTTTTGTCGATATTTTGACTGCATTAACGGCGCTGTAAAGGTTATAGTCATTTTTGGTAATCGTATACTGTTAAGTGTTATAACGAATATTGCAAAATGTGTTATAGATGATATTTTACAGTATTATTTTTAGTTGAACACTGTAATGATCACAATAAATCAAATCGTACATCACAATGTAGACTATTGCTTGAAGGCCCGGAACGGAAATAAGAAGGTCCTTTTCGGACAGTATACCTTTTAAAGGTTTAATTTGTGTCAGTTTGACTTACTGATTCTCGATTTTATTGTTAGTCAAAGGCTTATGGAATGATATAAAAATAAGTGAATAAGAAAACTACATGTATCAATAAGTAACGAAAGGTATGTTTTGTCTGAAGCTTCTGCACTTAATTATGCATAGTGAACTCGCGGGATACGGTTGTCTTAGCGCGCGGCGTCTGTGGTTTAGATGGACGTGGCTACGAATGCGGAAGTGTAATTACTTTACGATAAAGTATTTATTCAGCATTCCGCAATTTTTTTCCAATTTTTACGATAATTTTCCTAGTAAATACGAGTAACTTCATCTTTCACTATGACTGAGTAATTGTATTCTACCGAGTAGGTGTAATAGCCTGACCAGTGAGTATGTATGGAAAGCTTGATGACGGCGGAACGGCCGAAGCATAAATGTAATACTTTTTTATTTGTAACGTGGATGTGTATTATCTTCTGTTCAGCATGTACATAGTAGGAATTATGGTTTTTGAGATATTGCTGGTTTTTTTTATTGCGAAGCACTTTTTTATACTATGATTTATATACTTTTTTTATACAGGTTATTTAATACTATGATTTATGAACTATAAAGTACTGTACCGATTACAGTTACCAATTAGACTACTTTAAGGGATTTGGCCCGGTACATAACACCAAATATACACGGGAACTTTCGCTGTCGCGCACTCTCAAACCCTTTTTTGCATTGCTTTATGATATTTTGTAGCCAAAGGATTGGTATACACAGGCGAAAAAACCGTTTGTGCGCGCAACACCTGTTTTCGTGCAAAATTCGAAGAGCATCGGTTCATAATGAGACTTTTGGTAAACCTCCGCGCGCTTAAACTTTTGGAATTTTATTTCATTTATAGCTCCAGAACCGGATAGCTATATTATCATCATGGAAGTTAAGCTTTAATAAGAATCAATAATGCGAGTACAAACTACAGTAAGTACCAAACAAAACGGCATTATAACAGAAACACTTCCTCTATGCTATCCTGATCGGGGATCGTACCCATAACACAAATCGTGTTTCTCCGTTGTATTTCGATAGATTTTCTGATACTCGCTGCTTCGCGCGTTTCTGGCCCGTGGAAGTTGCTGTACCGTTTCCAGCCTTTTCCACTAGCTTTTTCGTTCCTTCTCCCCAAAGTCTCCTCCACTATCATAATCATTATGATTCTGTCTATATTCATTCATGGTATGCATGGGGAAATTAGAATTTAATAGTACTCAGTACCTTGTACCGTACATTGGCGTACAATGAGTACCTTCTGCAGCGAGGAAATGCAGAATTCTGTTCTCGGTACATTAATTGGCGACACGGTAGTGTGTACTTCGGATTTCATTTAGCGAACGGAAACGATGTTATGATTTTTTCTTTCTTAACTGACACCCTTGTATTACTTTTTCCAGTATAAATCGCTAATAAAATTATTGAAAAAGCAACATAAATTAAAATACCTTGTGCGTTGTGATAGCTTGAACTTGAAGTACCATCACAGATTCACAATCCGAAAACTTTCGTTATGTAACGTACTCGTATTCTTGGACTAAGTTAAATATGTGGCTGTTGCAGTGTAATCGCAGTATGTGTAAATTTTGCGGAGGTGCTATACTGATTGTTACGAACATGGACCATTCGGAATTAACAAGGAATTGAGAACCCGAAAACTTCGCAGTCACAGTCTTCGCCGCCAAAGTACTGCTGATCGCTCACCAATCAGTGACCATCGTTCTTTGTTCCGAGCTGCTGATGGGCGGGGCCTTCACCCTGGGAACGTACGAGTGTGCATTGGAAAGCGCTACGCTTGATCATGCCGACACCGACACTCTCTGACAGCACAACTGAGCACATATCAGTGATACCACTGATTCACTTTTCGGTTGAAATTCTCGCTCTAATCCACACTATCCACAGCAGATTTTCGGAAGAATCCATTTCGAATTTTTGGTTTCCCAATCCAGGAGAGTGCATTTTTTAAAATAGCACTGTTTTGCGTTATTGAGACAGAATTTTGTTTCATCAATTGGATGTGTGTGGAACGTTGTACTCGCACATGGATCGCCTGAGGATACCGTTACCAAAGGAGAAACTGGCTAAGATCCTGCCATGGCTGGAAAAGGATTTTCCGAACAGCTTGCCAGTAAGTGTATCACGTTACTCATTCCCTTTGTGCACTGTGTTTGTTTCTGATGTTCTGCCTGAACACTTTTCCTGGTTTTCCTGTTATACACTTTTAATAAGTTGTGAACTTGTTAGTCGTGTTTTTGTTCTCGGTGACATTCAGCTGTGCATTACGATTTTGAGTCTTACTCGTTTGTAGCTGCTTGTTTGCTGCTTAAATTTAATTACGTTTGTTTAAGATTACCGTTAGGAAAATTGTTTCCTTTTTGTCCATTACTGTAGTGGCTGAAACGCTCTATATCCGCCCGGCTCTAAGCGAACTGTTACAATTTATCATTTATGGGCCGTAAAATTCCTGAGCTGACAGGAGAAGCGCGTTCTACTGCTTACGGTTGTTTCGCTGTTATTAAAGGGAATTTGCTACGGCTGCTTTAAGCACGGGAGGATAGAGATTTTGGTTGTTTTTTTCAGTGTTTAAATGTAACTGTAAAGTAGCGGGCCCCGCTTACACTGTATGTCATTTTGTTGCTATCGCCTATTAAAATGTAAAATTACCGGTTACGTTAACCAAATTGGTTGATCAATTTCTTGGTCTACGTAGGTCTACCATATGGCGCGCAATATTGTGGAAGATCGCTTCGCCTATCCGGAGATGAAGTTCATCGTGGATAAACTGCCTGTACCATCTGTGTGCCTGTGCAAGCCCATGCGCAGTAAAACTACACGCTCCTACGATCCGATCTTCAACGATCACTTGCTGGTTTACGTCCACGCGCATTCCGTGAAGGCCTTCCAGAAAATGCTGCGATGCCAACCGGAACTGTTCTTTTGGGGCAAAGACACCACGTTTATCGGTATGAGCGGTATCTGACTGCATTGATTATGCTGAACACATTTAAGAAAAATGGGCGATTAAGGCGTTGATTCGATAAGACTTTTTCTCTTGGCTAAGTTTGAGGTCGTTGCGCTTTAAGTGAGTCCAAAAGAGGGTTTCCCTTCCGGCCAGCGCGTGTTCACCTTCAACCTGGACAAGTGTAAAGTTTCCCGGTAAGGGAATTGGTTGTAATTTTATAGCCTTAAAAAGCCCTTCACACTTTACAATAACCACCGAACGATCCCCTTAGATGTCCGCTTCCCAGTGATCTGCGGCTGGGAATCCTTTCCCCTGAGCACGCTGAACAGATCGTCCAAGAGTGCCGTTACGCTAACACGACGTGGACAAAACTCTTCCGCTATATGCTGTCCCATGGATTTCCCAGCGTCGCGCTGTACGACGACAACGTCGCACGGGACACGCCCATCGCGTACTGCATGTACTTGATGCACGGCTGCGTCGGGGCCGTCTATGTCCAACCGGCGTATTGCCACCGGGATTTATTTGGAGTGGTCATCGGCGAATTGTTGATTCAGTTGCAGACACGGAAAGTGCCGTCGGTGTGGATGCAGACGATGAATCTTCCCTTAGATCCGCAGCTGGAGATCCTTCGCGGATTGGGCGGTGTTCAATATAAGCGGCGCGATGCCCTGTGCTGGACGACGTTCCGTAGGGTGGCGAATTACATTGACCCTTTCCCGGTAATTCCCACCGGAACGGTCCAGCAGCGTATAAAGGCAGCGAAGAAAATTCGCAAGGAGAACAAAATAGTTGGTACAGGTGGTCCTCGGCTGCCGGTTGTCCAGAAAATTAGTAAAAAAGACCATGTTTTGTGTGATGATTGGGAAGAAGCGGAACGATAGGATTCCGAGCCGGAGTGGGAAGAACCGAGAGAATCGACCTGTCGGAAGATTCGTGAGTGCGGAAGCGGGAAAACAGCCCGATCGCGAAAGCCGGGTTGGGGAAAAGATGAGGATGCCGACGAAGAAGGATATCACCGCAAGACAGGGCGCGAAGGCGGGAACGAGCGAAAGAAGGCTTCGAAGGGGCGAGACAGACGCGAACGCGGCGGTGACGAATGGGGTTGAAGAGAATCATTTGCGAAAAGGTGGTTCTGTATTTCTCGGATAACTGTTTGCTTTTTGATCTTTGATGCGTAATTCGTGGTTTTGTTTTGATTAAGAGGTTCTTATAGGTACTTTCATACTTTGATATTCTGATTTTGTTCCATTTTTGTTGCATAAACTGCGCTGTACGAGTGTTTCATTTTATATTGGTTCGTTTGTCCTTTCCTTTCGTATTTGTTGCTGCTGTTGAGTGTTACAGGCGATGTACAGAACCTTTTGTAGATAATAAACTGAATTATTCTTAGTTACTTAGTTAGTGCCTTAGTGGAACCTCCTCCTGATCACAATCATGAATCCAAAAATTAAATTGTAAATCACAATTCAGAATAATGCCGAAAAGTAAATAACGAAATACTTCCGTTTTCAGGCCTTTTATTAATTGTGCCAGTAGTGTAATACTCTGGGAGCGACATCTTTGTTCCCGTACGCTGATCCGCCATACGTCAGGTATCCCTGCACCAGATGCTTGGGTACCGGCGTCAGATCTTTTTCCTCCCCGAACACCCACACGGTCTGCATACCCATGACCATATGCTGCAGAATATGACAATGCAGCATCCACACTCCCGGATTCCGCACCCGGATGCGCATTGCCCGCCAACTATACACTGCCCCGGGACCCAGCGTCTGTGTCGCCAGCGGCGTCCGATACAGATTCGATGTGTCCCGCATCAGAAATCGTCCCCTGCGTTTCTGCAGTTTGGCCTCATTGGCCACCGGGTCGTAATTCCCGCTGCCGGTTCCGGCGTCCCAAAAGTGGTCCCCGTGTACGTGCATCGGGTGGGTCTCCACGACCCCGGTGAAATTGTTGCCGAGATTCATCCAGACGATCTCCAGTACCTCCCCGATGCGGGCGGGGAAGGTGCGGGTCACCGGGTCGAAACCATCGTTGTCCATGGCGCGCCCGTAATTCGGGAAGTACCGGGTCTCGTTTTTATACAAAGAGACTAGATACGGTTCTTTCGGGAAGTTCTCAAACCAGGGATAATGATTCTGATACCAGGAGACGAACCCGGCGGTCCCGTTGGTCCATCCCTGTTGGATATACACCGTCACCCGGCGGGTGACCTCTTGTAAAGTTGGAAACGTGTCTTCCGGGTCTTCGTATAAATTTCTCAGTTTATCTTCTAACCAGCCATCCGTATACGTTTCGTTCGGCATATTAATCGGTACACTCTGCGGTACCGAAAACGTATCAACCGGACCGTTCGATAAACCGTAACTAAGGATCCCGTAGGCGGTTGTCACTAAAGGTCGCGATCGTGTGGTCATCTGGATCCAGAACCGATTTTTTAACCCGCCGTTGCTCTGCCGCAGTTCTTGCGCTGATTTCGCGAATAAGATGGCGCTGTAGCGTTGCCCACTGTGTACTTCCAGATGGTCGACGACATGCGGTAAAATGTACCTTCCGTCAACCTCAATTAAGACGAGATTAAGGTGCTCTTCAAAAGCCACGAACACCTGTGATAATGACGCCGCCCCGATGAACCGGAACCGGTACACTTTATCCGGTTGGATGTCAATCACGGCTTGTTCGCAACTGGGACTGGCTTGGGCTACGGTGGCATTGGGGCCGCGGCTCTTGCCGTTCAGTGCCACGTTGTTGATCTCGCCGCTCCAGCGAAAGGGTTTCTGGAGGAGTCCCTGGATGATGTAGGAGTCGTTGAGGTGGAAGACGTCGGAGAACATGATCACCCGGTCTTCGTCGTACTGAAGGGCGGTTTGCCGTCGGCTTCGTCGATGATGAGGGCGCCACCGGCGGTCACGGCCTGGAAGGCGACGTGGGAGTGGTAGAAGTAGGTACCGGCGTCGCCGCGGCGTAACTGGAATTCGTAGTCGAAATAGTGGGCGGGTGGAATTGGCCATTGGCTGGCGGCCGGGGTCCCGTCTGAGAAGGGCGACATGCGCTGTGTTAGACCGTGCCAGTGCTGTGCGTTAAAAAAAATAACAGGTCACTTATTTTAGGAGTTTGTGTATCGTTAATTGTGTCTAATTCTATGTCGTAGGGTTTCCGGTTAATCCATAATCCGGAACACCTAATTTTCTTAAATCACTATCATACGCTGAACCATACGTTTAGCTAACGTCAACAGCCTAATTACAGTACTTAGGCCATAGCAGATGTATTGTAACCGTATACATTTCAGAAAAGGAAAGTTATCCGAAAAAATAACTCTTGGTCCGATGTATTAAAATTTCTGGATGGATTAATAAAAATTTGTTTAATTTCCATCTGGAAAATTTGAATGTCTTGGCTATTTTTGTACAATGGAAAATCTCCACTAACTTATGCTCGAAGTTTAATGGAGTAATCATACAGTTTGAAAAAATATGACAATAAACTTACCGGGTTTTCTTCCGTACGTAACAGTATTTTGAAAAACAAAAAATGTAAAAACATCATGGAGACAGAAACTTTAACCGCTATACTCGTATATTTGTAGCGGCCTGTGTCGTAACAGCATGATATTAGCAACAACAACTTATGCCTACGCGGAACATAAAAGCACTGATACCATAAGTTAGCAAAATAATTTTAAGCTGCGGCTAATGATTCATAGCTGGCAAATACTTCCGAATACAAATGCATACATTGATCATTATTATGCATACATTGACCATTATCATTATTATTATCAACATCTACCTGTACATGGAAAACTAAAATTCTTAGCACGTCCACGATGCGGATGGTTAAGAAATGATACTTATATTTTGAGATAACGTAAGATATCTGAAGTTGTGAATGTTTCCCTGTACACGTAGTAACTTTTCCCTGAATCTTCATACTCATACCACGTATGCACATACAATTGTCACGTTCTCGTCGTCCATATCGTTATACACCCGGATCCACACTTTCTGGCCCTCCTTGAAGCGTAACTCTGGAGCCGGTATACTGCCATTAATAATCACCGAGTACCGCGCGGTGCAATCCTGCTGGATGACATCCGCCGTGACCCGCAATATCACATCCGGTTGAAACGTATCATCATGTACCGCCAGATACGGTGGCGTATCGGGATAATAGTATTCCGACAGAACGCCGAAGTGTGGAGCCATTAATATGAGTATGCCTAAATTAAGCAAACCTGGTTTTGTGGCGGTCATGGTAAATGGTACCAAACTAACCACGACCGACCACACATCATCAATAACAGACAGAAAAAAACAAGAAAAAAAATTCGGCAACGTTCGAATGTGCCAGTTCTATAACCTGTTTAATTCGAGAAGAGTGTCAGATCAAGTGACATTTATGAAGCAATATTAGTTTTATAATTATCACCACTACAATTGCAATTTATGATTGGCCACTGTATCATGTAGAAGTATCAGTACTTGTTCTTCTGCAGTACTTCAGTGCGCTCAAGATACTTGCGAACCAACCGCCGTGATGCACTTGTCTGCCCGCGCACAACATGGGTTACAAAATCGAAGCCGGTAGACGACAGAAATCAAAAGCTAATAATTACCGGATCATTCAGCCGACCTGTCAAAATGAGGCACAATTGAATGCGCATTTTTGACAGCATCAAGCGTTTTCTATATTTACCGAAGTGATTAGTTTATTACACATTGCCATTGATATGTTTCTGGGTTTTGCTTACAACGATAACTTATTATAGCGGACACGTGGTACGTTTTTACTGTTTAACCACGTGCAGTGCAAGTAAGCAGTAAGCGATACTTCGAGAATACAGTAAAGATGATATTGGCAGAGCCGGGAAAGTTGAGCAACGTTTTGTAATCAGCATATACATTAACGTAGAAAAGCTTTGATGGAGAATCGGAGATGTGTTTGCGTGAGCGGCTGTCGTCCAACGGTACCACCCATGGGTGGAAGTAAATTGTTGTGCATGCAGGTTGCTGCACTGGTTACTGCCGCTTCTGGTGATATTACACGCGCTTGTTCGTTCCATTTTTGTACCTGCTCAATGTGAATTCTAACCGCTTATTTATAAATCCTAATGTGGTAAATTTGAATTATCAAAGTTTTTATTGTGCTCTGTATGTGTCCCAGAGGTACTCATTGCTGCATATATCGGTAATGATATACTTACGGGTTTGTTAACAGTTTTTACAGAACTTTATTTGTGTCTCTGCCGATCAACTGTGCATACAATACAGAAAACACCATCAAACTATAACAAAAAATCTCGTTCAATTTATCAGCGCCTTCCATAGTGCCCAGCACTGACGCCGCATTCCCCCGTTGTATTTCTATCGACAAACGCTGTCATATAAGAAACTCATGCGAGCGTGCTTCTCATGTATGCTGCCGTATTGTTTTACCCAGTTCCTTGACGATAGCGATTGCCGATGGTCGACTGAACTGTCGCAATAAATTATTTAATATACTTCTGTTGTACTATTGTAGAGCGGCAATACCGCGATGCATGCTATTTATTTTTTCTTTCTTTCGTATGCGCTAGCAATGCCTTTACTATGGAGTATGGACTATGGTTAGTATTGGTTAAAAGTTAGGAATGCCATTACTGAAGCTGATGAAATCCAACAAAATGGTTTGTGTGAAGAAAATTTTCCTTTGCCGGGCATAGGGTCTAAAACTGCGATCATGTTTGCCTTCTAGAGGCTAAAACTAAAAACTAATACATCTAACGCTCTGCTTCAGGAATACAGAAGATCGACTGTCAGCGATCTTCTCCCGTATCAGGCATCCAAAACAATTAAGGATGCCTTTCGTCGCTTCTTCAAGTACTACTACTGCCAGGTCCCCAGGGCATTGTCTCCATTCCGAACGAAAACTGTCGCTGTAACACGGGCGGTCCTTTATATGAGGAAACGGTACTTACTTTTGCCGTTAATGATCGATCCGCGAGGTGATGCATTTCCGTGACTCTGCTTCCTTCAGATTTCGGCTGCATTTCCCTTTTGTGCAAACTTATCCACCTCTGTTGCATTTCATACCATCGGTTTTTCTCTCTTTTACTGGAACGCTTTCAATCAAAATAATTATTGTTTGCGCTTGTTATAACAAGTGCCGTATTTGTATGGGCTTTCGAACAACTTTGAGAGAGCACTGAACAAATTTGACTTTACCGGTTTTTTTTTAAATGGAAGTTAGCTTACCAGAAAATCCCTTAGTTCGGCCTATCGGATACTGTATTTACACCGTACTGTGAATAAGCCTGCTCACGTCCTTCACTATTCATCGTTTGAAACTCATGACCTTTGTTTGTACACTGAGTCTAAGTATTTCACATCAGTGTCTGGCTTGCACTGCTTCTGGGCTCCGGACGTAGCTTTGCGCGATCATCCGACGCCTGGCTTAGCCGGAAATTACGTGGCCTTCTCGTAATGGCAGTTGGAGTGCACATGGGGTGCACGCGATTTGCTGCAACATTAAATCGGCCAATCCGGGGATGAGGTTTCAAATTACATAATTAACAGAGTGTTTACGTCTTATTTGACGAAATATTCGCGCTGCACTTTTATCACCCACACTGAGACATCTGATACTGCTATTAATTTTAGTACAAGTAGTGTAGTCAGACTAAGTAGTCAGATATGCATCTCCTTAATCAACATCAAGTTTTATAAACCTGAAATTCATAATTTCTTTGTTTTCTCTGGCTAAAACAACCGTTTGACCGATCATCAACATCCACTTATAGTGCTCCGTATTGCCGGAAGAATTCTCTTGCGCGATTGCCCTGCGGTGGCTGCGATAAGCGGGATAAGATACTTAATCGATTTTGTCGACCAGCTTCTTTTCAGATTTCGAATGCTGCAGGGATAAAATTTTAGCTTTGCTGAACCCGTGCGCGAGCTTTATCGTTTCGACCAGCTCCGCTGCAGTGCCGGCATGGACTGAGTGGGGCCAGCATATGAAGCTGCCAGAGTGTCTACGCAACTCTCCACCAATGCCGTCATGCCGAGGTGGTCGTCCGGCTGATCGCTTAAGGCGGCCCCATAGTCAACCTTTTTCTGAGACGGAGAGAAAGTTTTCCGAGGGCCCGGCGTCGACGGAGTTTCCGTGGTCACGGAATTCCGACGACGCGGTCACTCCGACTGATCGTCCAGTCGTGGTGTTCGAAATGTGTTCTCCTCATAGTTATCCGTATTCCGGCAAAAATAGTGACGCCCTTTTGACAGGAATGGTCAGCATAAAACCGCGCCATTCCGTTGTCTGGGCGCTTATATGTACATGTAAATCATGTACGGATACTGTCTGTACAGTGTACAATGCATATTGTCACATAATGAAACGATCAACACTGCAACACTGCGCTTCACAAATTTACTTTTTAACTTCGAGCATTTAGTAGTTTTATCGGTACCGCATTATAAAATGCATCCGATAAAAAAGCGCCCGTGTTTTATGAGTAAGCGCAAGAGGTCAGCTCTTGTGGCGTTGTGTTTACTTTTGGGGTTATTACGACAAAATAATTCCAGCAAGTTATTTGTTGAGCGGTCGTGCTACATGCGATATACCAGCCGTAATCGTAAAAAAACGGGAGAATTTTATACACTTGTGAGTGAAATGCGCCAATACGATCCACAGCGGCATTTCAAATATTTTCGGATGTCCAGTGCTACTTTTGATCGATTGTTGGCCATGATAACGCCGAAACTGTTGCACGGGAATAATCATGCGGTCGGGATACCTCCAGCCGAAAGACTATCTATGACGCTACACATGTTGGCCACCGGATGTAGCCAGATTAACATCGCTACCAGGTATCGCATGGGCGAAAGCACGGTAAATGCCATTTTCAAAGAAACCGTCAAAGCCATTTGGGAAACTCTTAAAGACGAGTACGTGCCAGCACCAACAAAGCAAACCTGGAAACGCAACGCCGACGACTTTGAAAGAATGTGGCAATTTCCCAACTGCGTCGGTGCTATCGATGGTAAACATGTAATTGTGAAAGCCCCAGCTAATTCCGGCAGTAATTTTTATAGTTATAAAAAGTCTTCCTCGATCATTTTGATGGCAATTTCGGATGCAAATTATCGGTTTACTGCAATTACTGCTGGAGGTTATGGTCGACAAAGTGATGGCGGTACATTTGCTGATTGGGAGGTCGGTCAAGCAATCATTAACAGAACCATGGACTTGCCAGATGAGCGCAAACTTCCCGGTTCACAAGCTGAATTTCCGTATGTATTTGTTGCCGATGATGGTGAACCATGAGGTGGCAAACTGTGAACTGTTTTCGGTGAACTATGAGGCGGCCTTTACACCGCCTTCAGGGCCTGCCTAACTCGTCTACCCACTCGCCACATTATTTAAATTGAAGGGGAGAGACGATAGGAGATGGAGTGGACATTCGACTGGGATTCTGAGATTATTAAAGGCAATTTACCACACGGATGTATTTGAATATGCAGTCATGGCGCGGAACTCCAGGCCGATGGCCTGAGCGGGAAAAGTAGCTGAGGTGAAGGTGCGATGTGCAACAGGGTGTTCCCACTGCATTGTATACATAGCATCTACCGTATGCAGTAGTGGTGTTGCAAAATTGTGTTACATGGCAGAAGGTCGATCGATGTACGATAAGAAACGTTTTTCCAGAACTATTGCCTGTCCGTAGTATTCAATTTGCCACAAGCTGGGTTTATGTCATCATGTACACCAAATGTACAGCTGCTTTACATGCACATACGTACACTTTGTAACATAATAAAAATTATTTAAATGAGGATAAGTCGGTAAGGGGAACCAATGTACAAATCCATGCACGTGGCACAGCGGCAATGCAAGGTAAACAAGCAGCGTGTGGTGTGGATTGTGATGATGGATAACGCATTACGCATTCGCATTCGACCCAGTCACCGGCATCGTATTCGCTTTTAAATGCTACAGACTGTGTTTCATGAAAAAATGAATCATTTGTTTTAAAATCAAAATCTAGCCTGCTGCATGCAGGAAGCGGCGGCCAACCATTTCTTATTTACTTCATTCACGCTTTACGAATTCTTGCGATGTACTGCAGCAAAGCGATTAAATATTTGTATGGAAATGTCTGATCACCCGGCAGTGTACAAAACAATGTATATCTTGGTACAAATGGTAGGAATGGAAATTTTATTAGTGTGATCAATCAGCAATATATATTATTAAACATTTCAGCTAACAAGCCGTGATTACATATATTTACGAGTATTTTAATTTTAGATACTTCTTGCTTATGACGTAATGGCCGGAATACGTTATAACGACACCAACGCCGAAAGCGATTAACAATGAAGGACGCCCTTTTGTTCACTACAATGCAAATGCTGCACCTGACCTTCGGAGAAATGCAGCTCACGTTTTTACACGGTATTGCTTTACTGTCATAATCCCATAAATATTTTTTTACGATTGTGCAGTTATCTGAAGTTCTGAAGCGATAGTACCGTTCAGTTAGAAAATGCACTGGATACTGACCGGGTGGTTTGTTATTCCACAGCAATGCCACCATACCTGCATCAACGTACTCCCAGTATCGGGAAAGCGACCGTTACAAGATCAGCAAAAACCATCGCTGGCGACCAAGGTAACAAACTGCGACACTTCGTAGTAGTCCGTACATTTGAACGATATTTAACTTAGCTAATGAAGTGACTGAACACAGAAATCTTGTCAACTCTTCGATAGAATTGTGATTACATTCTACAGAGTTCCGTTCCGTTCCGGACACTGGGCTATGTTTTCTCAGTGTTTAGAAATAAGTAATCGTACCGTACAAGACTATTATGCAGGCACAGGAACGCATCCTACGATCGTTACCAAAACAATCTGAGTGACCGCCACAACTTAGAATCCAGTTTTCCGGAAAAACTACCAAATCCTTATGAAAATATAAAATCTTCCCCATGCGCGGCTTCATTAGCGACATCAAGTTTACAACATATAGACCAATCTACGAAGACACAGACGACAACCGATATAAAAGCGCGTACGGTTTGCCAAGACGATAAAATTCTTTTCAAAGAAATTTCATGTCATGATTTATAATAAATTGCTGTTCCAATCGGTAAGAGGCTTCTTGTTTTTCTGCAGGTAAGCTCACGGTAAAAGAAATACAAATTGGGCGCTGGATTATTAAAGATGAGGAAAGCGACGGTAATCATTATCTAGTTTTTCGCGATTCAAATTCCGATGAGAATCGATTTACGGTACAAGAGGGAACCGGGAGCGCTGTAGCCATTGACTCGGACGGGAATCTTCACGTAAAAGATGTCGAGATAGTCGGACTAACGACGGCCATATTTATAACCCAACAGTTAACTTTAAACAGGCCAGCTTGAATGAGTAATTTGCAGGTGGCGAGTTTAAAAGTCATTGACACAATTACGACGCAGGCTTTGCTTGTCACTCAGCAGCTGATAAGCAACGGGCAAACAAAGCTAGCAAGCGCACAAAGCCTCACTTTAAACAGCCTGACCGTTACTGGCACGGCAACTGTGGACAATCTCCAAGCAGCGAGTGTGTCGACAGACAGTTTGACAGCAACGGGTAATCTGGCGGCACCAGGAACAAGCACCTTAGCTACAGTCACCGCTACAAGAGTATCCGCTACAGATGTAATATCTACCGTCGGCACCCTCAGCGTCACTGGCGCAAGCACGTTGGGCACCGTCACCGCTACAACAATATCCGCTACAGACGCTGTATCAACTGGCGGCACTCTCAGCGTCACTGGTGCCAGCACGTTGGGCACTGTCACCGCTACAACAATATCCGCTTCAGACACAATAACGGCTGTCGGCACTCTCAGCGTCACTGGCACAAGCACCATGAGCACCGTCGTCGCTTCAACATTATCCGCTACAGACGCAATATCTACCGTCGGCACTTTCAGCGTCACTGGCGCAACCACCTTGGGTACCGTCGCCGCTACAACAATATCCGCTTCAGAAGCAATAGCGACTATCGGCACTCTCAGCGTCACTGGCACAAGCACCATGAGCACCGTCGTCGCTTCAACATTATCCGCTACAGACGCAATATCTACCGTCGGCACTCTCAGCGTTACTGGTGCAAGCACCTTGGGCACCGTCGCCGCTACAACAATTTCCGCTTCAGAAGCAATATCGACTGTCGGCACTCTCAGCGTCACTGGCGCAACCACCTTGGGTACCGTCGCCGCTACAACAATTTCCGCTTCAGAAGCAATATCGACTATCGGCACTCTCAGCGTCACTGGAACAAGCACCATGAGCACCGTCGTCGCTTCAACATTATCCGCTACAGACGCAATATCTGCCGTCGGCACTCTCAGCGTTACTGGTGCAAGCACCTTGGGCACCGTCGCCGCTACAACAATTTCCGCTTCAGATGGATTATCTACTGTCGGTACTCTCAGCGTCACTGGTGCAAGCACGCTAACTGCTGTAACGGCTACAACCTTATCTGCTTCCGACGCTCTATCAACGGCCGGTACTTTCAGCGTCACTGGTGCAAGCACGCTAACTGCTGTTACGGCTACAACCTTATCTGCTTCCGACGCTCTATCAACGGCCGGCACTTTCAGCGTCACTGGTGCAAGCACGCTAACTGCTGTAACGGCTACAACCTTATCTGCTTCCGACGCTCTATCAACGGCCGGTACTTTCAGCGTCACTGGTGCAAGCACGCTAACTGCTGTAACGGCTACAACCTTATCTGCTTCCGACGCTCTATCAACGGCCGGTACTTTCAGCGTCACTGGTGCAAGCACGCTAACTGCTGTAACGGCTACAACCTTATCTGCTTCCGACGCTCTATCAACGGCCGGTACTTTCAGCGTCACTGGTGCAAGCACGCTAACTGCTGTAACGGCTACAACCTTAACTGCTTCCGACGCTCTATCAACGGCCGGTACTTTCAGCGTCACTGGTGCAAGCACGCTAACTGCTGTAACGGCTACAACCTTATCTGCTTCCGACGCTCTATCAACGGCCGGTACTCTCAGCGTCACTGGTGCAAGCACGCTAACTGCTGTAACGGCTACAACCTTATCTGCTTCCGACGCTCTATCAACGACCGGTACTCTCAGCGTCACTGGTGCAAGCTTGTTGGCCGCTGTTACGGCTACAACCTTATCAGCTTCCGACGCTCTATCAACGACCGGTACTCTCAGCGTCACTGGTGCAAGCTTGTTGGCCGCTGTTACGGCTACAACCTTATCAGCTTCTGACACTTTATCCACTGGTGGTACTCTCACCGCTACTGGTCTCAGTACGTTAGGGCAATCGAGTGTAGCTGGATTGTATTCCAGTGGATCAGTGTCCATCGGAGGCGAGCTAAGCGTTCAAGGAGCGACTATTCTACAACAAGTCAGTAGTGCCACGTTGAATGCCACCGGGGCCGTCACGGCACACCATTTAGCAGTCAATGGTGTCGTATACGCTACCCCTCAACCAACTCCATATTGGGAATACGCTGACACACTTATTCGAGGTATTGTTAGTATCGATGGGGATGTTTACCTTGGCGGATGTCGTTTAACGGTGCCACCAATGGGTGGAAGCATATATTGTGGGTAATTTTCGTAAACTGTGGTCCGGAAGGCCTTTGCAAAGATTACTTCTGCTTCTGGTGATAACTTGCTTTGTTTCTATCTGTTTTTGTATCTTTTTAATATCGCACGGATTAAAACTGGTCATGTGTTTAAATGATATATGCGGGCATGGGTTTCCTAGATAGCGGAATTATTTATACGGATTCCTGTTCGCGGTATCCTAACTGCGTGCTATTTATTTTATCAGTTCTTTCCCCTCGTAAACACTACCTATCATTCTGTATGTCATTGCTATGATTATAATGCCATTATTAATACAGATGAAATCAACTAAAACCGCCCTCGCCAACAAATTCACCTTTGCCCGGCAAGGGGCATAAAACTGCGATCGTGTCACGGAAACAAGTACAGTTCAAACGGTAGTTACTTTTGTCGCTATGCTTGTATGTTCGATCCACAAAGGCACTGCATTTCCGTAACTTTGCTCCTGCCTTCTCTCCGATTTGTGCGGTATTTTCCGTGTGTGTATACGCGTCCACCGTTGTCACATTCCCTACCATCGTGTTCTCCTGTAGCTTAATGTAGGCCAACGTACTGATCCTCGCGATTCCCAATCATTCCAACCAGAAGGCAATGCTCGTTTTGTAGTGTAACGCAGCATGGGTGCGGTAGCTTCCCTTCACAATCGGCATGCCAAACTATCTGTATGTTATCCACCAGTTATCCACTATGCTATTCCACCACCACCGATATACAGTCTACTGTACATGGTGCAGACTCCCGGCAGTTGCCCTCGCCGGCTCTGCTAGCGTGACTTCTATGAGGATGCAGCTTTTGGCCCCGTGTTTTTCCATTACATTTACGAGCATATTACCTCTTGCTTCCTGCTACATGATGGCATTAGCCGTTCGTTGACGATGCGGTTGATCAACGTCTATGTAAGAGTTCTCTTTCATTCGATTGTTAATTTACAGGTACAATTAGCCGGCCTTCGGGAATTTATTATGCTCTAATATTCGGAATGAGCGCATTTCCGTTTCAATAATGTATTGACGCGCAAAATTGTTTCGGTTACTCTCATACATAGCTGTACGATAGAACCATATTCCTAGGATAAGGAAATTTCTAATGAGAAGATTAATGAAAGATTCTGGAGCTGGTATCATACAATGGTTCTTGCGTCATGGGACATGATCCCCCTAATGAAACGAAGCTTTCGCATTCATACAGTAATCCACATAATGGATCTTGTTATCGATCATAAAAACATCGTGGTTTGCGTGTTCATAGTGAATCAACGAATTAATTTATAAACGCAGAAATGAGTGCTGCATTAATCTTTCGATGCGTTGAGCGTTAGAGTTGCATCAAAGTACATCCGAGCAAATATTTAGAAAACCATGATGGATAGCGGTAATATTACGACGCGTCATTTTAACTCCACCACTTCAGCTGCCATTCCAGTAGGCTGGAATCCCATGCCGGGTATGTTGACAGCCAGTGCTGTCGTTGCATTGGTTTTAAACGCCGGAACATTACTGCTGCAACTGTCACCACGGGTGCGACTGACATCGTTTACCATTTACCTAGTTTCTATTTGCATCAGTAACATTGTGACGCATGGCAACGGGTGCCATCGCAATGTCCTGTTATATATATGATATTCGTGTGGTTGTGTATTTAGTTGGTTAATTATTAAAGAGCACGACGCTCCACGTTGTGACAAACATCCCGGGTTTGGCCATTATGCGCGTCATTGCCGTGATCGTGGCTGTTAGCGGAGCCTGGCCGGGCGGCAAACCCGGGTGTATCCTGTATATGTACGTGCAGTTTGTCATCACGCAGATCCCGGTGTTGCTGCACGTCCTCATTTCGGTGAATCGACTGTGGGCTTTTCAGTATCCCCACTCGTACCGGCGACACCACAGCCAAAAGACGGCGGCATTGCTGTGTCTGACAACTGTGGCCTACGTCCATCTTGTGCACTTTCTTCTCTTTTTGCTGGAATTTTTCTACTACAGTCCGCCCGATAGCCACAACAGCTGTCAACCCAGCGGAGGGATTATGGAGTGGCGACGCGCGGATATCGTACTACACCGATTTGTTCCCCTGCTGCTAGTGATCGGAATTTATGTTTACGTGTTGATAAGACGATGGAAAAACAAACACGCAATCAACGTTGACTTTATCGCTGGGGCGAATCGTGGGGTCGATGGCAGTAAGACCGGAGAAAGCGTCACGGGTCTGCGAAGATCTTGCCGACTGAGAGGAAAACGTTCAGGTGCAACTCAACGAAAGGTCAAACCGTTTCTAGTGCTGTCGATTACATCGCTTAGCGTAATAATCTGCTGGCTGCCGGCGGATGTCTACTGGGCGATGCTCTACGCCGGCATCCGAATGCCGGTTTGGGCATTTAACGTCAGCATTATTCTGACGTCTCTGCAAACCATTTTTGACCCGGTCATGTGGCTTGTCAGTCTAAAGTAGCAGATCACGCGACTCACCTTCCATAGAACAGACATCGATATTATAACTTTTTATGTAAGTTTCCTTGTCAGTATTCCGTATTGGGTAGCTAGTTTTGCAAGGCACGTTCTGCGCATGATAACACCGTTCATGTCAGTCGTTTTCTCCAGTTGCCAGTAAAACTGGGCGGCCGAATATCTGTGTCCTGTAATTCCACACCTTGTTGTTTATACGACCATTGTATTCTCGTAATCTGTTTCTTTTACAACGTTTTCTCGGATTCTGATGTTTGTGCTTGTGATACTAATGGTAAGAGCTGTATCTGAGCGGGCAGTTAAAAAACTTTAAAATGAAAGTGCACTGAAAAGATTTTGTTGCCTACTGTAGCTTTCACACGAGCACGAATAGTTTATCAGCAAATGCCTTCAGTTTGGTTTTGTAAGATTGTTCTCTTGGTACAATGTACGTAGTACGAGTACTAGTACATAACCTGATCAGGTGATCGCCTGATCGGGTCCTTTACTTTAACACACACGGCTGAGTTTGGTATTTCACATCATTGTGTGGCTGGAACTGTTTTTGGTTTTGACATAGCCTTGCGCGATCATCCGACGTCTGGCTTCGCCGGAAATGAACGTGGCATTCTCGTAATGGCAGTATAAGCGCAAACGGGATGCACGAGAGTTACTGCTACATTAAAAGTGCTATTCCGGAGATGAGTTTCTAAATTACATAATTAACAGAGTGTTTACGTCTCATTTGACGGAAGGTTTGTTATTATGGGATCAAACTGGTCGCGTGGCTTTGTTAATTAATCCTAGTGCACTGCACGTTCATCATTATCCACTGATACTGCAGCACACGGTAACACCTCACGCGCGTACTTTTATTAATTTAGTAGTTTGCATTCATTCTTCCTAGTTAGGTATGCATAATGCGTAAGTTAGGTATGCATAATGCGTGCATAAAAAGTTAAATGGTGCAATTCTGAAACATTTAACTTCAGTATTTTTTCTCTGACGAAAACAACCATTTGATATGAGAATTGTCCGATCATCAACATCCACGTAAAACTTTAACATAAACGAACTAGCTTGCGGCAAATGTCAGAACAGTCGAATAATATAACAACAATACAGAATAACGGTACTGTAGTACAGATAATAGTGGCGCTTGCTCGTTTGCTGAAAATACCGTACATAACTTACGGTAGTGTTGGTATCGCAATTACCTGATTTATTGTTTCGTTTGTTGAATTTAAACCATGACAAAGAGTGTCTCTAAACGAACCCGCCGATGTGTTTTAGACTCAGGTAATGAACTGCAAAAGTACAATCTAAATTCGGGCTTGAATCTGTGAACAGATAATTTTCCTGCCGCTACTGTAATACATAACGACAACGTAAAATTATAGTTTCACATTTTGAAAACATAATACCGCTTGCCGTTTTCGGAAATAACCACAGCATTAGGGCTTTAATTAAGCTCGACTTAGTTACTTGAACCAGTGTTCTTAATGCATGCGCCAATTTTTGTATTACATGCGCTTTAATTGCAGTGAAAGTTCATTTAGTACCTAGGGTAGTACCTACGAACGGTAACAGTCAGGTTTGCCGGTCATATTAAATTTACCGGTACAGAGCGGCGGTGACCCGCATACGAAAAACAACAATCTCGACATAGGTACAAGTGCACCAAAAATGCCGGTAATTCTGATGGAAGTGCGATGACACCGAATTAAGACACAATTACTCCATTAATTATCTAACATATTTTTATTGTACCGTGTAATATGAAGCACGGTATGTATCCACTTGGTCAGTTGTTGTCGACATCTTGACAGAGAGCTTGCCGTGCGTCGCAGCACGCTGCTTATATTTCTTTTATATTTCCAACATCCTATGCCGATATGTAAAACACGTTCACTGAACCACGACCATTTGCATAGTTAATTTTTCTTTGATTTTACGCACACACTACGTAGCCATGCTTGGGCTCGGTGTCTTTCTGCTGCTTGCTCAATCCGCATTCGGAGCCATTCGCCAGTCGGCGACGGTCAACAATCCGCCTTATCTGGCCACCCATGATAGCAGCTTCGTGCCGGATAAGATTCTGAGGGTAACCGCTAAAAATGTCAGTTTGGACTGCACTACCCGCTATTCGGTCATCATCAACGGCAGTATACCGGGACCGGAACTGCGGTTTGTGGAAGGGCAGCACGTGTGGATTCGGGTGTACAACGATATGGAGGACACTAACGTGACCATCGTGAGTACCGTCATCCTTCTCTAAATATCAGGAGTTTGGTGTACGAAAATTTGCGGTATATTTAGGCTTTCTAAAACTTTTATCTCGAGATTTACACAAACATATTATATTATGTAGTGAGCACGGAGAACAGCACGATTTATATAGTAAACGGAAAATTAAGTTCGTTACATCTCGCTTTGGTATTATTTCCAGAATCGTGCTTGAAATTTCAGAAATCTTTACCTCCTGCCTCGTAGTGCAGGTTCAGACAAACCCTCCAGGTATTCTAATATTGAATTTAAATGCAGCAATATGCAAAAACTACGTAGAAAGAAGCATTATCTTTTTAGAAAATCTTCTTGGATTTCAGTAGTATCCAGTATGGCGAGTCATCAAACTGACACGAGAAGAAACTGAAAAAGCTTATAAAATATTCAAGTAGTTTAATCAAAATTTGTTAATTAGAATGTTAGTGATAATGAATAAGTGGCAGAATTTAGAAAATGTATACTATGTACATTACATAGATAGATATGCGGCAAAAGCATTGACGTGTACTGCTTCTGTGCATACGAACGTAGCCCGGTATCCCAGTTACCTTAACCTGACAGAAATCGAAAGTCGATTGATGTCTTTCATATGAACGAGCATAATCCATCAAAGGCGAACGTTATAAAGCGCACCTTCGCGATTACACGAGATTTCTCAACAGCGGACATTAATCGCTTCGATGATTGCCGGAAGCTTGTCCGATGTATACCATTCGGAGCAAATTAAGCTCGCGCTACAACGTGTTTATTGTGAGCAAATGACCACAATATAGAGCAGCAGAAAAAGCACGTTGTTGATACTGTTTTATGAAATACTGCTTTATTTAACCACTCATTAATGTATGTACTACAAGATTGTTGTACTAATCGGTAAGATCTGTAGAGTGATAATACTAATAATAATAAGATGGATATGATGCAAATAAATTTTCCTCATAGTCAGTATACTTAGGATTTCATTATTGTCATGATCAGTGGGCGCAGCGTTTATCACCCGCGTCCTATATGCTGTTACAGTATATATAAACCCACAACATCTCAGGCTGAAATCATACAGTATAAAACCTGAAATAAGTTTTTCTTGTGAGCTTTGTTAAAGATTAACCTGGAGAGCCAGTCGCACGCTGTAAGCATAGTAACTTTTAGTAAGAATGGTATAAATGCGTTGAAAATTATAACCTAAAGCGGCCCAAAGAGTCACATATGTTTGCATCACCTATATGTTTGCACGATAGAAGGCAGTACAGTCTCACGTAAAGACACATTTTCCTTAAACTAGTAATTTTAATCTTTTTTGAGTGGGTATAATGGTCAAAATGCACTTCGAGATTTTGACGGCAGCCGGCAGGTATTACGCGATACTAATTTCGGTGATCCGCCCATAAACGGTAGCAAACGTACTACTCGCACACGAACACTATAATCATACTCGTATCCATAATACTATGCGTCTATATTATTGCAGCACTGGCATGGTCTCAGCATGCGAATGTCACCGTTCTCCGACGGCACGCCCATGGTCAGCCAGTGGCCCATTCCCCCGATGCACTTCTTCGACTACGAATTCCAGCTGCAGAAAGGCGATGCCGGCACCTACTTCTACCACTCCCACGTCGGCTTCCAGGCTGTCACCGCCGGTGGCGCCCTCATCGTCGACGAGGCACCCGGCACACCCCGGCCCTATGAATACGACGAAGACCGCATCGTCATGATCAGCGACATCCACCACAAAACCGACGCCGTGGTGGAAGCCCAGCTAACCGGTATGCCTTTTATGTGGCCCGGCAACCCCGACAACGTGGCGGTGAACGGCAAATCCCGGTTCATCAACGCCACCAGTTCCCAAGCCGGCCCCTCGTGTGAACTGGCCGTGATCAACCTGGACCCGGGGAAGACGTACCGCTTCCGCTTTATCGGGGCACTGGCCGTGTCGTTCATCTACCTGAATCTGGAAGCCCACAACATGGTGATTATTGAGGTGGACGGACGGTACGTGATGCCGTACGTCCCCGACCATCTGGAGGTCAGTTCCGGGCAGCGCTACAGTGCCCTCGTTTTTGCCAAGACCCAGGCGGAGTTGACCGGTGCCGACGGGTCCATCAAGAACCGCTACTGGATGCAGTTGGAGACCCACCCCCAGGACGACGCTGACAACGTCCTGTACGCCATTATCAAATACAACGCCGGTTCTTCCGGTCCCGTTGACACGTTCACGCTGCCGGCCGCCCCGGTGCTGCCGCTCCCCAAGGAAACGTTCGCGGACGGATGGATTGAGGACCGCCTGCAGCCGTTGAACCCGGATCCGGATAACCCGTGGATCAAGATGGAGGACATCACCCGCCGCATCTATGTCAACTTAACTCTGCAGATCAACCCGGCCACCGGGCACGCGCAGTTCATCCAGGACGGCGCGCCGTGGTTTGAGAACACCCCGCAAGAGCCGTACCTCGTATCGCTGTATAAGAATAACACCAAGTACTTCCCGGATTACAACCGGGCGCTGGCTAACGGCGGCTTCGACCCGGTGACGACGACCTTCCCGGCCAAGATCGGTGAGGTCCTGGAGATTGTCTGGTACCTGGTGGGTGACAATCTGATGGGCTCCGTGGAAACGCATCCCTGGCATTCCCATGGCGACCACTACTGGGACGCCGGTACCGGCAACGGGACCTACGATCCTGTGGCCAATGAAGCGAAACTGACAGCTCGTCATGGACGCATCATTACACGGGATACCTCTAATACCTACCGTCCAAATGACCGTCCCTTCTTGAAGGGGGGTCCCGGGTTCACTTACAGCTGGCGGTCGTTCCGTATCCGTGTGAAGAACCCCGGTGTGTGGATGATGCATTGCCACATGTTGCAGCACATGGTCATGGGCATGCAGACCGTGTGGGTGTTTGGGGATGCTAAGGATGTTACACCGGTATCGCAGCATCTGCTGGATCAAGGGTACCTGGTGTACGGTGGAACGGCGTACGGGAATGCTACGTACGCTCCCCGCGTGCTGCATTATTTTGCCGATGAAGTGGACAAATAGATTTTTGTATGATCTTGTGCATGCTTTATAAACCTAAATTATTATGGTTACTTTTTTTGTTTCGTACGAGCAGCTGCGCTAAAAAAGATTGTAATTTCAGAAATATGTTGCTTCGAACAATGAAAATGACTGGCGTCCTGATTTGTGCTCTATTGTGCAGGCTTTTCACAATTCAGAAACCGCGTATTATATAAAAGAGTTAGCTCGCCTTTTTTATGGATTGCAGTTTATTGTTTTCTCCTTTTATGACAAGGTTTGAATAAGCGCGCATTACCAGCGGTGAATATACTTACTCGTACAAGTACCGTAACACCCAACATGCAGAAGATCGTTTTTGCATATCCTAAAATATATTTATTTAATTTATCCATCGCGGAATAGAAATGCTTAATTCCAGAATAACAGAAATAAAAATTGGGAGATAATAGCTAACAGAGCGTTTCAAATCTGGGACAACTTTCCCAAGAAAATTTCCACAACCTCCGTTCGTCGTTTAGCGCGATAATGTTGTTTACAAGGTTTTCCTTCAGTTCGAAACGTTCTCGTTTCGGTTTATGAAATGTGCATTGCGTCAACAACAGTGCTGTTTTCCGAAGTATTGCTTATTGGTATCGTCACCGCAGCGCTTGATCCGAACATCTTGCCGTTCGGTTTCAGGCAATGGTGTCAATACAATTAAAACATAGCCCTGTCGTGTATAAGCGTTCACGCTGGTTAGAGCTCCATGAACAATCTTTACTCTTCCACGCCTGTAATGCTCAATCGGTAGGCAACTCTCATCTCAAACTGTAACAGATCCTTATGGTGGAAACAAGACGAACGACTCAGAAACACGAGAACTCAGGAATCCCTCGGGAACACTCCAACCACAACTTCCGGTCGCAGTTTCTATGAGGATCAATAAAGAGCTAGGACGATTGTGTCACGAGCAAACCTGTATTCTATGCAATAATCCGGGAGCGATCATGTACATCAGAAGGAACAAGTATTGCTGTCTCTTTATTAATACACTTCACAGTCCACAACGCAAGGAAATCGTAATTAGAAAGCAGTCTCAGAAGTAAATCTCAGACTACTGATCCCGATATTAGAAGTGACAAGAACTTATATAGACTCCGCGTTGTGACATCATATACACCGCTAGTAAAAGAGAACAGCAAATCACAGCATAGATTGACTAGATTATCTGTTATGTTGCAGGTGGAAGGCGGACAGTCAGCATCCGTACGTACATCCCGGCGTGTGATCCTACTCCCACACGTCAAACTATGAACTACTGATACTGTGCCGTTTTAAAGCTTTAGGGTGATTATGCGTGTAGTATACGGCACAAGCTTTATTGAATGTAACATTAAAGTCTGAAAGTGGGAGTATGTTTTGATGCTGTTACTACTATGCAATAAACAAGCGGAACCGCAAAACCAACCGGCTGGTATTCTTACGAATTCTCGAAAACCAGATCACATCACATAGCAACAGTGTCAACAACAACAAACAAGTGAATCGCAAAAAGATCATGAGTACAAATCACAAATTACAGGTAAGGCGACAGAAGATATAAACCAGTAAAAGGATCACAACAACAAAGGAAAATCAACACGGTTCCAATGCATTGGAGTAAAACACAAAATAGCGCAATAACCAGTAACACAGGTGAGATCAAACGAGAACAACAGATCTGAACCAAAGGTTATTCAAGGTTACTTGCCAGCATTAGGAGCCAATGAAAACAGACCAGTGATTCCGGATCCAGATGCGGCTGCAGCGGCATCTAAGCGGCGAGAAACATCAGCAGCCATCTGTCGGCGACGATCCGCACCCAATTCGCCTGCTGCTGCTGAGCCAAGTATCCAGGCACAAAATTGTGATCCGCTGAACCGACAGGACCAGAGAGCGCACGCTGTCGATCCAACGGGGCATAAGAGACGGGCTTTTGCCCACTTTTCGGTGTAGTACGTATACTAAAACTTGATCTCCTGGTTTATACGAAACATGTGAAATATTCGCGTCGTAACGGATTTTGTCTTTTAGTTTGTGCCGGAACTCCTCGGCGTTCACCAAGTCCAAAGCCTCTCCGAGGCCACGCTGCATCTGCTGTACAAAAACGTGTGCGGGAACGACGAAGTCTTCTTCAAAAGGGAGAAAGTTGTTCACTGGTAAGCGCATCTCGGTGCCGTGCATCATAAAGAATGGTGTGCGGCCCGTCCGTTCCACAATTTTACTGTTAAAAGCAGCGCAAAGTGCCGGAAGGAAAATATCCCAGTCACTTTGCTGCTCGTTAACGTATTTCGTCAATGCCTTCTTGATTTCTCCTACACGTTTTTCAACTAAACCGTTGCCCTGCTGGTGACCAGACGCCGTAGGTGCATGGGCAACACCAGCGAGAGCAAGAAGCTCTCGAAACATCTCTGACATCAAGTTACTGCCACGATCTGACGTAATGTGCACCGGCATGCCGAAAACTGTTAAAATACGCCGATAAAATAATAATGCCAATGTAGCGGCATCATTTCTTTCAACTGCTTCCGCCACGATATATTTGCTCCCGTAATCGACTGCAATAATTATGTTTTTATTTCCAGATTCCGTTGTTGGAAGAGCCGGGGCGACATCGATTGCCCACACCAGTCGAGGAGGAACGGTCGGGTTTGATTGCAAAGCTCCAGCCGGAGCTGTAGCGGGGACATTCTGGGCAAGGCACGCCGCGCAGGATGCACAGTAGTTTTTCACCGACTCAAACATCCGTGGCCAATAGAAGTATTTATACATGCGCTAGTAGGTGGCCAAAACTCCTAAGTGTGCCGCTAAAGGTGAGTCGTGATTGTCTTGTAGGAACTGAAGACGCCAATGTACCGGCACATACATACAGTAGAAAATCTTCCGATTTAATTCAAACTTATAGTAAACGACACCCTGTTTAACGACAAATTTATTTAAATGTAACTGCTCATGCTCTGACATTTTTCCTTTCTATTTTCCAATAATGGCCGCCATCGGACAATGCGCGCGTCTCGAGACTGTTCTTCAGCCCAATATGAGGCTTTATCATCCGTAATCAACTTCTGCACCTTATCCGCGTCGAAGGCTTTCATGTCCTCTTCTGAAACGGCCTTCACTTCAGCCGACATCATTTCAAACCGTATATCAACATAGTCTCTTTCCAGGATAGCAAAACAACATTCAATCATCGCTGCATTACCGGCAAAAGGGTAAGTTTGCCGATAATCAAATTCGATATCTGAGTCGTCCGAGTCAGGTTCGGGTTGTTCTCCTGGGTTTCTGGTTAAAGCATCAGCAATAACGTTGTCTTTTCCGGGGATATGAACCGGTTTAGTATTGAATTGCTGAATATAGAGCGCCCATCGCCCAAGACGACCAGCGGCATCGCGCATATTATTAAGAAAAACCAACGCCTGATGATCAGTTTGGACTTCAAATTTATAGTCAGATAAGTAGTGCTTCCACTTCTTTAAGGCGCAAATAATCGCATAGGCTTCGAGTTCTGCAGGAAAGTAAAGTCTTTTCTGCGTCTCTGTCAATTTACGACTCAAGTATGCGATAGGTCTCCAATTCGTCGCCACGTCCGTCAGCTTATCCCGAGGGCACTGCATAAGCACTGCACCAACAGCGATTGTGCTGGCATCCACCACAACACGAGACAGGGCTTCAGGATCATACCGGGCCAAAACCGGTGCCGTGACCAGGGCCTCCTTCAACTGTTCGACCGCATGACACTGTTCTGTTCCCCATTCAAAGGTAACTTTTTTCGGGATCAGCTTTTGCAATGGATCCGCGATTTCTTGGAAGTTCTTAATAAATTGGCGATAATACCCAACCATGCCCAAGAAGCGTAATATGTCCTTCTTATCTTCTATAGGGCCAAATTCTTCAACCGCCTGAATCTTCTCTGGATCCCTTTGCTGCAGCCTGCCGGAGAGTGTGTACAAGTTCTAGGATGAGTGCGCATACAAATACTCCACTCGCATTTTACAGTGCATGTGCATGAGCATTTGTCCTTGTTGCACGCTGTGGGTGCTGGCGTACCAGACGGTGGTATAGTCGGTGCGGGCCCCGGTGTAACCTGTGGGGGCAAGGTGGCGGTCGCTACAGGAGCAGCAACCCGACGAGCAGAATTTCCGTTATTCGCCCGGTTAGTGGGTGTCTGCACTGCCGGTCGGCTCTGCCCACTTCGTACTCGTCCGCCTTGACTGAAACGCGAATTGTCCGCAGTAACGGTTGAGCACCGAAGAACGAATCCAAATACTAAAAGAAAAATGCATAAGGAAAGAGCCATTATAATAGCAGACTTCTGGAGTGGTCAAACCAAATCACCGGAATTCTCGTAAGCCTTCTTTAATTGCTAGAAAAATAAGTGCTTGCAGACTATGTTAAAATTGTCGCCTTCGATGCCAGCTTATTAGATGTTTAAATATCCCAAAATGTATAAGCAAAAAGCGGACCGGAATTTTCGCTCCAGGCATGCTGACAGCCTGACGCATATAAGGTACTCGAGTCGGTATGTAAACAATAACGAGATCGTAAATATCTGCGTATTCTGTATTAGAAACTGTCCTTGAAATTCTGCTGTGCGAGTACAGTACTAGTACATTCGGATAACAAAATTGCACCGTTTGTACTTGGTAGTCGATTATGTATCCGATATGCACTCGATATGTCTGTTCGTGTGTTGCAGTTGTTGAGCAAGTGGAAACTGGTGCAAGGACGCAGTGACCGCTATCCAAAGCTCCGAACAACTAACACCAGTAATTAATTACGGCATGTGAGCTTTTTTTCCGAACAGTTTTCCTCTAGATCGCCGCAGTCTTTTTGCGACAACGGCAAGAATTTTTTAAACGATATCTCAATTTTGCCAGTTATGCTGATTAAAGCATTGTAGGACGAGATTGTTTAATCATAATATGTATGTAATTGGCTGCAGCTTCTACAAAAAAATTAAACCGATTAAAACGCTTCCGCTTTTGGGCGGCTATACTAATTCCAGTATTACATTAGCTGCGTTGCCACTTGCCAGTGTTAGGATTATTTTAAGAGTACTTTTAGCCAGCTACAATAGCCACATTTTTGATTAGGCTTTGAAAAACGTTTAACGGTTTCTCTGAATGATGAGTATATTAATTTGT